TATTCCGGAATAGGCGCTAGTACGGGACTAAAAACAGCGTGTGTGAAAATTTAAAAAAAATAGTCCGGGGTTAAGGATACTACAGGGCTAAGCAAAGTACGGCGTTAAGCAAAACAGTGTGAAAAGAATATAAATGGTATGGGTTACAGAAATAGGATAGAATATCTGAGAAAGTTTGTCAATTTTTTGGCTACTTTATTTGCTTTGATTTAATAAATAAACTACATTGAAGTCGGGTATGGGAAATACGACAAAATACAGAAAATAAACGTTACACATGAAAATTTAAAAATGGGAACCCACTGCAATGGGCTAATTATGACTTGTTTTTATTTTTTCCATTGTGTGAATATGTGTATGTGTAATGCACATGACTAGTTGTTTTCCTCTCTTGTATGTTTAATACCGGAACCATTTGGAAGCCCTAGCCCCTTGAGGCAATGTGTTAGAGGGTGATCTTACGCAGATGACACAACTATCAATCTGGTTGCAACTAATTTACAAGGGCAGGGTTTCCTACATATTAGCAGCGAACTTTAAAGTTTACACATTCTGGTTGTTTGTTGCTATGGCAACACTTGAAGTAGAAAAGGTGACAAGTTGCTTCATCATCCTTCTTTCTTTTCTTTTTTGATCATTGCCTTTAAAAAAAACATCAAAAGATCTACTTAGCGTCTCAGCCCTGATTCCACATAAAGTAGATAATATGGGCTTATCTTCCTATACCAACCAAACTTTCCAAGCACAAAAAATGAGTTGTAAATTTATCCAAAAAGGGTTACATATGAATTCATAACCAATCAATCATATCTAATCAATTATATCTAAAACCATTAGAATTTGAGACCATTTACACTGTTGGGTCTTTCAAGCAACAACATCAATGTTCATTGTTTATTGTTTATCTATTTAAAAAAATGGAAAAATTATCAATATAATACGACACTAATATTTCAGGACAAAGGGGCATTTTTTTTATGCATCTAGTCATTCTATATGGCTACGAGTTAACCCAAAACTGCTGATTTTATGGAATTTTACCCAAGTTTGAAAAGAAATGAAGTTGTACCATGCTACTTTTGGTCTTCTTAAAGTCTATAAAGATCCCTATCGTAATCCAAAACCTCTCTTGGTCTTTTTAACAAACTGTCTGGTTTTCTGAGAATGTTCAAACATGTTCCAATGGGATGTCAGTGAACTTGTACTTGCAAGGGTTTCATGAAATACATTTGTATGCCCTGAATACAAAAAATTCAAATCACCATGCCTTGCAATGTCTATCCCTCAAACCTTTTTTTTTTTTTCGCAACGTGGCCTATTTATTACAGGGATCAGCGCATCTCTGGAGGGGTAATGAACGTTACCCGTATTACCATTCATTTCCCCTCTAATCCACCCACTGATACCACGTCAGGAAGAGACTCCCCCACGCTCCTACCCCGATCTCCCCCATGGACAGGCACGATAAGCCCCTAACGTGGGCTGGAAGTGACTCAAGAGAGAGGGTCTGGTGGGAAGGGTTGCCATGGTTACTGTTTACAGTCAATGAACAATAATATTAGTTTGTGGGATGGTATGAGTTTGCTTTCTATGGTAAAGAAGGATATTGATCTAGTGTTTATATATTTTTACAGTGATGTTTTTACGTACCGGTAGTTTACTACGTCATACTAGCAGGGGTGATAGTGAGCACTAACAAAATTTTAAAAAATCAGGAAACCGATTTAAATCAGGTAATTATCAGGCCTGTACTAGGGTCAAAGGAGAAGATTACCTCTCTATTTCTTCCCCCACAACCAACATTCATTGTACTTCAAAATAAAGTGCCCACTTAATCATTTCCATATATATGATTTTAATAGATACTTGTAATTGTTATTTGGTGAATACTGGGTTTCGTTGTGCACTTCTAAAAATCACGTTTTGGTTCATGAAGAGCAAAGTGCTGCCAATATCTAATCCAATAGAGCAAGGTTCAAATCATTTTCACTCATCTACAGTATGTTAATCATTCTCATTCAAATGTCTAACTATGAGCTTGCAAGCCACATTGACATTTCTTACAAAAGACAAAACTAAACCAAGAACAAACACATTCATCACCTGTTTGCAGCCAGAAGGGCAATAAGACCCCGTTCTCACTCACTTCGTTGGAGCGCTCTGGAGCGCTCTAACTAAGACCCGTTCCTCAGGAGCGGTTCTTAGGTGAGTGAGAACGGTCAAAGTGGTCCAGGAAGTGGACTTCTGGACCGCTCCAGAAGACCACCTTCCGAGGTGGTCTTGAGGAGCGGGTCTTATTAAGAGCGGTTTGGAGCGCTCTAACGTGCAATGTGAACGGAGAGCGTACTTTGAACGGAAGTGAGCTAGTGACCTTCGGTGCGAAACATGTAGTACGGTACATACGGTTTGTATTCCGCGTGCGAAAAAATTGATCTGCTGACCTGAGCTGCCATAGCAACAAGACCACTTTGACTCATGGAGCGGTTTGAGCCATTAAAAACTGCTCGGAGTGTGTACGCTCGCAAACCGTTCCTCAAGACCCGTTCCTCTGGAGCGGTCTAACTAAGACCACTTTCAAAGTGAGTGAGAACGGGGTCTTTCTCTACCCTTTTCTTTTTTTTGTAATCAAAATTTAACGCTCTTCTGGCTCTACCGGTAAACAGAAGACATTACCATATACCGGCCCTAGGTTTTTAATTCCAGCATACTGCCTTAAATGTTCATTGGATTGTAAAGATTCATTGATTGAATTATGTACATGTAGCTGTGTGCATTATGATACACATAATCATGGGAAATTTGATTGATTTACCTGAAAAAAATATCAGTCCTCCTAAAAATGAATTATAACCAGACAGGATGATGTCAATTTATGAATATGCATAAAGAGAGCTGCAGATATGCTACATGTAAGTCTGCTACCGATAATATAGATTACCATTCATCGCTGATTTTAACCATATCTGAAGATATCATCCATTTCTGATGATATCAAACATCAATTTCATATGTTTGTTTCATTGATTACTAACAAAACCTTGATGTTTTATTTTGTTATATACACAGACCTTAACAGCTCAAAGAATTACACACACCTCTCTGACATGAAAAAATGAACTGTATGAATATGACGTTTGATGATTTTAGTTAATCAATAATTTTACGGGAAAAAAACTGTGTCACTATCTACAATGCACTGTATCTCGCTACTGTATCTTTCAAGGTAAAATCTGGGACGAAATTCAAGTAAACAAAAAATGTGTTATCTGCCTATTGTCTAGGTAATTGATTTTCACTCTTTTGCTTTGTCATTTTTTTCTTTCATTCTTATGCAGATTACACATTTATTGATCTGCTTAAGTATAAATGTAAAATACATTTTTTTTTATGGATGAAGGTACTTTTTCCAACTCGATTAGATAATGTGAGTAAACAGACTGAGAAATTGTTTGTATGTTTCATTGTTATTAAGATTATTGTTGCTGTTGTTGTTGCTTTAATTTGGATATTCATATTTCTTAACATGCTCCAATAAATTATGATAATAGTTTGGGTTTACCAAAATATACATATTTTATTCATGGTTTCAAGTTGCCTCCTAACACTACGCTGGTTGAATCTATTCACTATTCTTGAATAATTCCTCATGGATAACTTTACTTCTCAAGCAGTACCTTACCACTCAATTGGCTCTTATTTCAGCTACCATATATTTGGGGGGGCATAGTGCTTTAGATTTTGGTCTACCTTTTTTGTGTTTTCAATTATCATTTCTTCTTGCTTATCGCCATCAGTCTAAAGTCGGCAAAATATCAAAAATGAAAAAAGTTCCACTCTTACAAGTTCTTAATTCATTGTAAAAAGGGTTTTTATACCGGAGTTTAATTGATATTCCCTGATTTTAAAAAGTGACAATTCCTCACTTTTGATAGGCAATTTCATTCCTGTTTTCATACCACTTGATATTTTTTCAGAGAAGTTTCATATGCAATGTATGTGTCTCTACTCTTTATACCTTGCATGAACTGATTTTTGTGCTGAATATTTTAAATTTTAAAACTTGGATCTTGCAACAACCAAATCTCGGCACGTTTTTCAACAGATTTTGTGTGCAAAACAAACATGTGAGGGACGGCCTGTAAATGGTTGTTGAATCGTTCGTTTGAGCGGAATACAGAGATAGATCTACAGATAATAAAGGAAGTCCTTGAAATCAATATATGCCTGGTTTTGTTTTGAATAAACCCAACCATCTGTGTCATAAGAGAAACCAGTTAGCGTCATATTTAGTTGATTGAATTGTTGAACATAATATTGTCTATCAAATAAAATGCAAGCAAACACCATAATCACAGAATGTCTTTTATTATCTGAACTCTGTTAGAATAAATTTCTACAATTACATGTAGAATCTGTTTATGACTCCAATACTGTTATTGCTCATTGTTTGTTTTTTTTTTTTTTTTGCTTGTTTATCACATGTTTCAGAGATAGTACTGGCCTTGAAAAATGTGCTCCCTTATCTGTTTTTCTTCTTCTTCTTCTTCTCTCTCTCTCTCTCTCTCTCTCTCTTTTTCTCTTTTTCTCTTTTTGTGGGGGGGGGGGGAGGGCTTGTCAGATATTCATTCACCCACACCCTTTCTCTCTCTCTTTCTCTCTCCCATTTCTCTCTTTCTCACTCTCTCTCTCTCTTTGTTGTTCTGAAGCCCCCTTAATTAATTTAGCACATCTATTTTGGGAGCTCGAGTCACGTCACAGGAAATCAGAGTAAGACAGGTGTAGTATGGACCTACACTGTACACATGTAATGAATCGTACGTATGACACTTTAATTCTGACTTGTACATTGATCTGGTTAAAATAATCGGATTGTAAGGATTTTTTTCAATGTTACCCTCTGTAAAAAAATGCATTGTCATCCTAAGTTTTCAGTGGCTTCACATTATTTTAGAAATAAAACAAATTCATTGAATTACATTCATTCGTTGCATGTTACTTACTTGTTGCGACCGATCTTCTCATGATCATAGACCTCGAGTTCCACCGAGTCGGAGGCTGTCAACGGCTTGTCACTGAGATTGAATTCTATGGTCTAGAATGAGAAATGAATAATAAAATGTTTGTGATTAAAATAGATCAACTAGAGCTACAGGTACCTGAAAGTACACTGTATGATAATGTATAAATCGTCGCTGTTTTCACGAAGTGACGTTAGTGAAAAAAAATTGCATTTACTTTGCGTTACGATTTTCCTCACTACCGTCACTTCGTGAAAACAGCGACGAAATGTAGTAGCATCGTCATACAAGAAGGCCATAGAACAGTAAATATCAACAATCTCAAATGTCCTATCTAAACATGCATGTCTCATTTTGTGTGGATTCTCTACTATTAATATTCAGTTTTATATCTATAATTAGAGTTCTAATACAAAAAATTAAAGTTTTTCAATCATAATTGCTTAAACATTAATCATCATTGCTGGGAGGGGGATGCAACATGATCACGTAATTCAGCTTGGGGTACAAATATCAAATTATGTGTACAGGTATATGTACAAAAGATGAAAATCATATACTGCTCATCTATAAAGTGTATGCGAGCCTTCAATAATTGTACACATGTTCTCTATCAAAAATATAGTCACACCATTCTACAAAATGAATTCATCCCTGAATGGCATGTCTATTGGTATGTCTGTTTGCATGGGAGTGGAAAAGGGCAAACAAATCAAATATGGATTTCTGAGAGGTATATATTACCACCAAACAATGTCAATTTGCAGTTCAGATAGAAGGGTTTGTTTAAAAGTGTGCTAGTAAATCTCTCTCTCTCGATCTCTCTCTCTCTTTCACTAAATGGAACTGTTTGAAATTAAGCCAATTGAAATCACAGTTTAGACTATCATTTAAAGCTCCATATTACAGGCCTGAACTAAAATAGGATTGCTTTATACATGCCTATGCTTAGTTTCACTCTTGGTGATTTCAATGTTCATAACAAAATACTCATATTTTTAATGCATCTCTTTAAGTAAATATCAGTTCTAAGTTCTTACAAGCTTTGTTTAAAAAAATATATAATCAGCATGTATGGATTGCATCATTTGCGAGATGGTTTTCAATATTAAAAACACCATCAGTGTTTATCCAACATCCAACACCTATATATATTGGCCTACTTCCTTCAATAACCTCTACAGGCCTGTCCTCATCAGACTGAAGATGCAAACTAACCCGGTTTTTTTTCCCCCCAAAGCTCGAAATTACGTCTTCACCAGACCAATATGCCCATCACAAACTAGCTTGGACGGGCACAAACTAGCTCGGATGGGTGCAAATTAGCCCACTTTTTCCCAATAGCGGGCTACTTGGGAAACTAGACCAAGATTTCTTGTGATATTTTCTCGACCAAGTACCCCACCAATTGCATCTGCGGGCTGATGAAGGCGCAAATTAGTTGGCTAGTTAAAATAGCGGGTTATTTTGCAACTTCGGTCTGATGAGGACAGGCCTTCTGATTACATTATTAGATATTATCACCTTGTAACAGTATACTACCTGTTTTATTACTAGGTAATAAAACAGTATTTTGTACCTAATTAAATTAAATCACTAAGTAATAAAACAGTATCCTCTGTGCACATGCAGCACCTCCAACTTTGCTTTCCCCAAATCTTTCTAAAAATATGTTCAGGAATTTATCTTGGCTAGATATGTATATTACATAAAGCAATTAATAATGTGTTTTATTTGTATCTTCACTCATTCAGGCACATCTGTTTAATAATTTTTGTTCACAAGTCATCACTATCATTTCATTTCATTTCTTTTTTTCATCATTCATATCAATGAGATCCATGTACACTATGTACATTGTACATGTACATGTACGACAAATTAATGAATTATTCAATTTTTTTCAGTTATGATCTTGTTTGATACATGTATACCTTTGAAATATTAAAAGAAAATCTTATTTAAAGATGAAGTTGAGTTCTGGTCATGCGATTGCATTATGAAAGAAACGGTGTGGAATCGACCAGAAAAGGTTGATCATCTAGCATATAAGAATTTGTGTGTATTGCAAGGTTCTGGAATCATCAAAATGATAAGAAATTTGGCCAAGACTTGGTAAAGTTACAAACACTGTACACAGAAAGATGTATATGGGACTACACGAACACGTGGCGTAAAAATCCTACCCCCGAGTTTTACGATGTTACATGACATATTTAGAATATAAAGGCATTTGAAGAGCCATGCTTTTCAGGGAACATGTCATATCTGATGTTCTTCCACACTTGCATAATAAAAATGATAACGCTCAAAAATTATTTTTCACTTCTTCCCAGAACTCAACCTTCTCTTTAACTTGTTGCTTACTAGAACCGGGTGGTCCCTGTATCTGTATTAAGCCTATGGGACTTTGACTACACAGTTGTCAATGGGTTAACACAATGCTTGTCATTTAAAGAGAAGGTTGAGTTCTGGGAAGAGGTGAAAAATAATTTGTGAGCATTACTCATTCTTATTATGCAAGTGTGGAAGAACATATCAGATAAGACATGTTCCCTGAAAAGCATTGCTCTTCAAATGCCTTCATATTCTAAATATGCATGTAACATCGTAAAAATCGGGGGGCCGGCTTTTTAAGCCACGTGTTCGTGTAGTCCCATATACATCTTTCTGTGCAAGTGTTTGTAACTTTACCAAGACTTGGCCAAATTTCTTATCATTTTGATGATTCCAGAACCTTGCAATACACACAAATTCTGATATGCTAGATGATAAACCTTTTCTGGTCGGTTCCACACCGTTTCTTTCACAATGCAATCGCATGACCAGAACTCAACTTCATCTTTAATAATTCAGTCATTTCTAATAAGGAAACCTGCACATATTTGCTACAATACTCTGAACCACCATTAGATCCTGTAATACATTCAGGAAGTTGCATCTTGAGACTGTACATACACTACATGTACATGCATGCATATAATGGACAAACATGTAGTGAATACACATACACAAGAGTGCATTGATGCAGACGGCCCGATGCACTTTGACCCTGTACATTCCTTTCAGTCTGTAAAAGTCCAGAGGATATAATACTGATTCTATAACCATTACCTTGGATTACAAATAAAAGCAACCCTCCCCTGTTTATTGAATGCCTCACTGATTAGAAATGTTGTAGAATCAACGAGCGACTGCATGGGTCGATCTTGTGTGGGTGTTCAATTTTTCTAACAATACATACACCAAGTCACACAATTCATCTTATCCTGTGTACCCATGGAATATAATCATGCTAATAAATATTATCAGGAATGTGATCTGTATAATAATGTGACTTTATACATGTACATGTAGGTGCAACAACTGCAAATATTGACATTAATCTCAAAATGGATGAAAGATAATTTTTAAAGAGACAAGTGACGTAGCCTACGAACAAGTACATAGAGGCTTCTACTTTTAACTTATTTTTTTTTTTTTACCAGACTACTATGAAAGCAAGTATTACACAAAGTATCACAAAGTAAATCCATAAAGACATTAAACCTACCATCATTTGGACCACAGATATCCTACCACTTTAAATCTTCAACATAATTTGGGAATTGAGGGCTGATACCATGAAGGGTTCATTCTAGACCAGACATCAAAATTGTTTAGAAAATGGGACCTCCTGACCAGGCCACTAGGCATCTTTTGGGGGGTAAAAAGTTAGTCTACTATCACTGACTTAAACTTAAACTTAAACTGACTTACTATCACTGATCAAAACACCATAATGCCAATAACTTTCAGCCTAAACACAGTACATGCAATATGCTGGATTGTCTTCTCCCTTGCCCCCCCCCCCCCCTCCCCCCTAACAAAAAAAAAAAGAATAAATTAGTACTTTATGAAGTTTATTTTACACTACATGTGTCTTTACCTCGCCCCATTGTGGATCTGTAGAGTCATCAACCACTTTTGTCTTCTTCTTTGTACCTGTAATAAAACAACAAACATTTTACATGCATTACTTTTGCAGTTGTAAAATCACACCATTCTCAAGTTTTTCAGTGCTTTTTTTCTAAAAAGTGGGGTACATATAGGAATATATATATGTCATTAAAAAAAGAGTTACCACAGGCTTTCTCCAAAACTAGTTTTCTCCATTGGTTAATATTACACCCTTTTCAATTTTGTTTATCCTTTTTGTCAAAAAATTATATGAACCCCCTAAACATATGCCTTTACTAATAACTTACAGTATAAGGAATTACCCCTACAATACTTACTTGCTAAAAATCCATTTTATTGCTATATTAACAATTGCAAATTATAGTGTATGAAACACAAAGTCAATGAAACACTGCCCCCCCCCCCCCTGCGGTAAATTTTGAATTTATAAATCTTTGTTCAAACAGGGATTCCAGGTATTCTGAAAACTATTTTCTCTGTCTCTTTAGGGAGAAGTATATGCATGTACATGTATACCCATTTCACACCCAAATTTTGATGAATCTTTGCTCAACAGCAGATACATGAACATGGCTATAAATAATGTGCCGATAATTCGTTTTATAAGATCTGCTCAGGCATCTATAGAAAGGTGCAATTTGAATCAAATTCATTCACTATGGTGAAAGATCAAAGACGTTTCACAATTTTATTACAAAATCTATCACAAATTGGACAGTTAATTTTACGTCATGTTCGATCATTACATGAATGGAACGGCAACCCACAATTAGCTGAGGCAGAAATGCTGTAAAATGTGTGAAGGGTCTTGACAGTAATTAACACACACTCATATTTTGCAACTTTTCCACCCAAGCTTTTTCGCCCCTATTTTGTCTTACTACTAGCGCTTGCAGATACCCATTGATTTGTATACCGGTACATACAATTTATTAGTACATTTTTGTTACAGAAAAATGGTCTGCTAATCAAAATCTTTTCAATGTAATTTGTAGGCTGCGAGCAAACATCAGCTGGACCCACAAGTCCACAACTACGTTGCATTAAGTATACCAATGGCCATGGCCAGTCGTGTCTGATTTACTCGGTACTCACCTGCAAACTTCAACTGGACGAAGGGGTCAATCGTACCAAACTTCTCGATGTTTGGCAGACTTTTCCCACTATCCACAACAATAACTAAAGACATGGTGACCTGCAACCTTCACTGGGACACCAACTCCTGGTATAAATCCTTCCTTTCTTCACCTCCAGGGCCCTGGAAAGAAGTTTTAGAACTTACTTTCCCGCCGTCTTTCCTTCGTAAGTCACCCCACACCAGTGTAAGTCGAATGGTGTGTGTACGTGTACCAGGCAAGATGACCGAACGAATGAAGGGACCGCTCCCGTACCCAGGCCCAATTAACGTTTCAATAGGTTGAACGCGCGGAGAGCACTGCCATTCATAACCGGTACACGCCCATACCATGCATGCAAGAGCCACAGCGAGGTGCGTAACGCTCTACCCCGCCCCCAATTTTCTGTGAAGATGAATGTTGTCGTTTTTTAAATATTTTTTTAACGTCGCTCAATTTTAAACAACTATGCAAGGTTTATTCATCATTAATCTACTTGATTTCAGGCGCGGATCCAGGGGGGGGCCGAGCGTGCCTTGGCCCCCCCCCGCAAAAAAAAAAAAAAAAGGAGAGAGAGAAGGAAAAGAAGGGAAAGAGGAGAGAAAGGGAAAAAAGAAGAGGAAGAAGAAAAGAAAAGAGGGAGATCGGGGGGGGGAAGGACTTGCCTTGCCCTCCCCCCCCCCAATAAAAAAATAAAAGAGAAGGAAGGAAAGGGAAAGAAAAAAGATAAAGAGGAGATAAAGGGAAGGACAAAATAGGAAGAAGAAAAGAAACGAAGGGGGATATCAGTTGCAATTTTCCCTCCAACAAGTTGTGGATCGAGGGGGGGGGCAAAAGACCCTAGCCCCCCCCCCCCCCCCCCCGTCCCCGCTAAAAAAAGGAGAGAAGGAAGGAAAAGGAAAAGAGGAGAGCTAAAAGGGAACAAAAAGAGGAAGAAAAAAAGAAAAGGAGAAAAGAAGCGGAGATCAGTTGCGGTTAATCCCGCCAACAATGTGTGGGGCGGGTTGGGGACCAAAATGACCGTGCCCCTCCCCCCCCCCCCAGCAAACCTAAAAATAGAGATAAGGAAGGGAAGGGAAAGTGAAAGAGGAGAGAAAGGGAAAGGAAAAAAAAGAGAATGAAGAAAGGTAAGGGATATCAGTTGCAATTTTCCCGCCAACAAGGTGTAGATCGGAGGGGGGGGGGGGCGGCACTGGCATACTGATAGGGGAGGGGGGGTTGGAGAAATAGAATTCAAACGTGGTTTATTTATAATTCCCTAACGGTGGTTAACAAATAATGCTGAAATGAGATAATTTTCCTCACTTCATGCGTTTGTTGGAAAATGACAAATTCCTAAATTTACAGCCAGGCAAGAAAATGCTTCTTGAGATGCCTACATATCAGGGCCCGCGGAACGGCGGGGATCGGGATCCTCGAGCCCCTCCCCCACACTTTCTTTTAAAAAGTATATTAAAGAGAAATAGAAAGAAAGAGAGCGAGAAAGAAAAAAAGTTAAGTGCCAGTGACTGCCATTGTCACATTATAATGGGGTATCAAAATATGCTCATCTGACCATGATTAAAATTAATGCCTAAAATCCTAAGGGCTCTGCCCCCTGGATTCCACCTAGGGCCCTAAAGCGGGCCCTTAGATGCTCATATGACGGTCATTTAATGCCTAAAACCCCTGATTTCTGGGGGCTCTGCCCCCTGGACCCCACGCCAAATAGTGTCCTGCTAGTGTCACAAATAATAAGGTATCAAAAATGCTCATCTGACCGTAATTGAGTGCCTAAAACCCTTGAGATTCCAGGGCTCCGCCCCCTGGACCCCGTCTAGGGCGCTAAGGCGGACCCCTGAATGCTAATCGTAAATTAAAACCTTAAACCCCTGAGCTTCCGGGGCGGACAAGGTATCAACATATGTTCATCTGACAGCAGGCGCGTAGCCAGGGGGGCGGTGGGGTGGTCCCCCAATAAACGCCGGCCAAAAAAGAGAGGAGTGTAAAGGAAGAGGACGTAGGAAGAAAAGGGAATAGATAAAGAACATATTTGAAATTCAGACAAGGATTAAGAGTCGAGAACGGTACAACGAATCGTCTTCTTTCTCTAATGAATTAATGAAACGTCAAAGCTTCCGCGCTACGCGCGGGGGAGGGCAGGGGGAACTTAATTCAGACGAAGATAATTTTCGGGAACGGTACAACGAATCGTCTTCTTTCTATAATAATTTAATGAAACGTCGAAGCTTCCGCGCTTCGCGCGGAAGGGGGTGGTAATTGATTTAGACAAGGATTAAGAGTCGAGAACGGTACGACGAATCTTCCTCTTTCTCTAATGATTTAATGAAAAGTAAAAGCTTCCGCGCTTCGCGCGGGTGGGGGAAACTAAATTATTTTCTAGAGCGGAACGACGAATCGTCTTCATTCTTTAAAAAATTAATGAAACGTCGAAGCGGGGGGAGAACTGAATTTAGACAAGGATTAAGAGTCGAGAACGGTACAACGAATCGTCTTCTTTCTTTAATGATTTAATGAAACGTAAAAGCTGTATTCAGACGAGGATTATTTTCGAGAACGGTACGACGAATCGTCTTCTTTCTCTAATATATTTAATGAAACGTACAAGCTTCCGCGCTTCGCGCGGGAGGGAGGAGGGGAAAACTGAATTCAGATGAGGATTAAGAGTCGAGAACGGTACAACGAATCGTCTTCTTTCTCTAATGATTTAATGAAACGTAAAAGCTTCCGAGCTTTGCGCGGGAGAGGGGGGTGAATTAAGACGAGGATTAAGAGTAAAAAACTGTACAACGAATCGTCTTCTTTTTCTAATGATTTAATGAAACGTAAAAGCTTCCGCGCTTCGCGCGGGGGGGAAAAACTATTTTCAGACGAGTAGGCACGTACGGAAAGGGGGGGGAGGGGATTAGGGTGTTGACCTAAAAAGGTGACCTCACCCCCCCCCCCAACGGAACAAAATGTCAAATTTTCAAATTTCGAGACCCCCCCCCCAAAAAAAAAAAAAAAAGTGTCCTCTCCCCCCCCCCCCCCCCCGCTTATTTAGCGGCTGGCTGAGTCGTTACGATTTTTTTTCGGACCAAAAAAAAAAAGTGGGCCCCCCCCCCCCCCCTAAGAAATCCTGGATCCGCGCCTGTGATTTAATGAGGCCTAATTATTTGTGTTCATGATTATGTTAGAAAGTACTTCTTTCTTCAATGTTATAACTTTGTTTACAAATGAATAGAATTTGGAGAAAGAAATATATCTTTAAAAATCAGGCCGAAAATCAATGAAGAATGGGAGCCTGACAGGCAACGATTTGATATAATTGATTCGTCTGAAATTCCTTTGATTCCCATGATTGTATGTCTTGGTTTAAGGGTTACTCCTACAATGAGGAGTGGACTTTTATTTATTTTCAATCGGAATTAATAAAACTTTAGGTTTTAAAATAATTTTTTCAAAACGTCTAATTAATTGATCAAACATCAGTGCCACACTTTCACAACCATGAGGTCAAATTAAAGATTTTAATTAATTGTTCCGAATTGGCCAAATTAAAAAATAGGCCTAGGCCTACTTTAAAGAGTTCCTTACTCCTTCCCTACCCAGGCCCGGGCCCAGGCCACCCCTCCCCCCCCCCCCCCCTCTTTCTCTCTCTCTCTCTCTCTCTCGCTCTCTCTTTCTCTCTCTCTCTCTCTCTCCCTCTCTTTATATCTATCTCTCTCTCTCTCCTTCTGTCCATGTACTTGTAGGCCAGATTATCTCTCGATCCTGCATTCCTTGCTCAATCATGAGTGCATATAGCAGTCTCGAAGAGGAACACTCGAAGCTTTGTAGTATTGCGCCCCTTACGCCGATCGGCTGTTTATTCTAGTAATTCGTTTTCATGACTGTACCGCATAATGATTGCAACGTTTTGTTTTTAAACTTGCTCTCTTGTTGTACCACTGCAAAAGGTGATTCATCGCTCGCAATGAATAATTAAATACATTGCAACAATGGAAAAGATTCTAAACTATTCAAACAAATAGTGGTTTTAGTAACTTCGTCTTCATACTTCTTGAAGGTGAGTCAAAGAAAACAAGACATTTGAACAGAAGAAGGAAATAAATGCCATCCAGTCGTCCATATAGTGTTTTTTTCGAACCATGCTCACTTCTTTCGTTGTCTTCATAAGTGTTATAATTTATTTTGCTCTTCACCGAAATGTTGTCTTTCCCTGATAAGCTCCTTATTCTGTTCTTAATTAATTCGTTTTCATGACAGTATACAAAATGATTGTTTTTTTTGGGATAAATTCTTCTTTTGTTGTACCCCTGCAAAAGTTGATTCATTGCTCGTTACAAACAAATAGATATATTTTAACCCTCCCCACCCACCCACTTTCTCTCTCTCTCTCTCTCTCTCTCTCTCTCTCTCTCTTTCTCCGCCTCTCTTTCTCAGAAATTAACGCTCACCGACGAGATAAATATCAAACTGATCTAGGGATATTCTGTTTTTTCAAACAATTATTTAATGATAAAATCGACTACATAAACTATAACTGTGTCTTACAATAGAATAATTCTGAGTATTTAATTTAAACAAAATCATAGTCATATTCCTGTTTGATTCTTTAAAACAACCCGAGTTCCCTATTATATACAAAGTAAACTCAACCTCGCACTATGTCAGCCAAGCTGCATTGAGGGATGGTAACTGTGAGTTACAAGAATATGTTCCTTGCAATTTTCACAACAACAGAATTTTCCAAAAAAACTGTCACAAACAATAATAACAATGACATTCTAAGCCTAAAATGACACATGATGTGAAGTGTATATGGTATATGTTAATTGTCACTGATAATCATGTCACTGACAATTTTAAACAAAGAAGACGCGATCGCTCAGTGGTAGAGCAGTAATGTCTCGTAACCATGAAGTCCCGGGTTCGAAACCAATTCAATATACGCTAGTGCCCTTTGGTAAGGCATTAATCTTCATTTCTAGCCGTCGGTCACTTTACAAGCATACACATGCTTTCTAAGCAGTCAGGGAAAATAAACCATCATAAAATAAACCAAAATGTCAGGTTTAGTCCACTTCTATATGCTCTGATTCGTGTCCATGTACAGTATATTATACTGTACATCAATAACATGAGTTATGTGTTTAATATACATTTTATATTAGTTTTGATTGATAAAAACTCAAAAACTTCAACTCTAATATCAAGATATCATTTTTCACACTGTAAAGTTGACAAGTGAACAATATGTCGCTCATTGAAACTTTTTCTTCATTAATGTTTGAAAGGCTTTTTGCTTCTTGCAATCCTCCTTTTCATCATGAGCAATTCTGAAAACACAACACCTATAATTCTGTCATAATATTAGTTACAAAATTTACTGCACAGTGTCATTATTCTTCACCATTATTCCTGCCCACATGCAATGAATGTTGCGGATGTTTCTCGAATAAATCAAACACTTGAATAAGAAATAATCTCCGTCGTCAAATGAGCCCTCCCCTTGTTCAAACTTGAAACAAATTATATTATCACGTATGTAGTGACAAGAGAGAGAATGATATTCATATCATAATAATAATAATGATAATAATAATAATAATAATAATAATGATAATGATAATGATAATGATAATAATAATAATACAAATATTCCTAATAATAATGATAATAATAATCCTAGTAATAATGATAATAATAATCCTAATAATAATGATAATAATAATAATAATAATAATAATGATAATAATAATAACGATAATAATAACAACAACAACAATATTGACAAAAGGACCGGGGTGCATCCAAGACTACATGTATAGAAAAGTAGCCTATAAGATAAGTGCGGCGGTATTTTTTTTCCCTGGAAAGGGATTTCGGGAATTCGGCAACCACTTACAGCGTCGTTAACTGTGGAAGGGGGAAGGAAAAAAATTCCCCTTACCAAAAATTTCTCAGGAATATACTACTTCGGGAATTCCGCCATACTGCTCATTCTCCAATAATAGTATCATGGCTTACAAGTCTGTCAATAACATGATTTGTTATTGTATCATCAACAGTAAATATTTCAAAGACAAATTTGAAAATTAGTGCTTAACCCTATTGGCACAACACGTCGACACAAAGCACAATGCTGAAAACAGCCATCATATTATGAATAAAATTATAGAGCAAATAAACGTGAGCAGAATATAAACCCTAAAACTTAAATGCAGAAATCACTTCATTATCCAAATATTTTATTAACTTAAATTAAATATCTTAAAGATATTTAATTTCATTTGCTGATGAAAATGCGAAAATATGAACTCACTGTTACAAAAACGTTTGATTAGACCAGATCAAATCAACCTGAAAATGTGTTTTGCTTCTGACATCTTCATATTGCATTAAATGCCCAAACAAAATCAACTCTTTCAAAGTCATTGAGATGGTCTGGCTACTAAATTCCTATTAGACCAATTGGGCGTTCCATCAAAAAAAATTATCGTAAAACAAATTCATGTTCCTATTTATCTTGATATTTGGTGGTATGAATCAAATTAACTTTGAATTAAATATTAAAGCTCGGTTCAGAACCCCTTGTTTACCCTGAGTTAAAACAAACGCACAATTTCAAAATATCTTCTAATTCCCAACAACAAAAATGCTTTTCTATCATTTCGCATAGAATTTTGATAGAATATCCATTATTGTTTCAAAAGTCGATAAAAGAAGATTTAACCAACTACCTCCTAAAAATGCTTTAATTTGATGAGCTAAATTAAATATTGGAATTCAAATGGGCAGTCAAGTGCTAACTTCGTTAATGGCGGCAAGTGATTAAATCAACCGTTGAACTCGCAATCGAATCACCCATTGAACTCCCGCTCGAATAGCCCATTGGACATAGACATGATTAAATCGCCTTTAAACACACAATCCATCGCCCGTTGAACACACAAATTGTCTAGTAGGTCTATGTTGTCACATTCAAATTGAACGCTGAACACATTATCTAATCGACCATTGAACACACAATCAAATGATTAATTGAAGACGTGGTCGCCTCAGCCACCGAACACGCGATTGACGGATGCACTTGGGATGTTATATATAAATAGGATGAGGAAGATGACGAGGAGAGTGATGAGGAGAGTCATCAGGATGTAATACTTGTAGTTGTACCAGACGATGAAACGGAGCGACTTCCATGGCGATGTAAACCACATGAATGACGTCTCGGGTCGACTGCCAAATTTAAAAGAAGGAATTAAAACAACAGTAAACAACAAAAACTTAAAACCTCGTGTAACGAAAGGACATTATAATAATGTCTTATTTTGCGCCCATACCAATTTTTTTTTACCTCTGCTCACCCCCCCCCCCCCCCCAACAACAAAAAATACCGATTAAACATCTTTTTAAAAAAATACTAATCCCATTAAACAGAAAAACCATGCAATGTGGAATCCCATTTAGTTCATGAATAATTGCATAAACTAAGCTTAAAGAAAAATAAAATTAAAGATGAAACGAAGGGGAGAAGATGGGAGGGGAAGAGGGGGAAGATGAGGGGGCGAGGTGGGTAGGGAAGAGAAGGGAGGTAAAGGAAAAGGGAAGGGAGGGAGAGGAAAGGGGAGGAGTGTGGTGGTGGGGCGGGGGCGATACTCACAGAGATTCATTAAGATAAGGAAGTTGATTTTGGTTCATCTCTTCTGTCAGGGGGTTTGAGGGGGAGGCGAGAGTGAAGGGGGTCGAATCGGAGAGGAGGGATGAGGAAGGGAGGGGTTTATGAGTGGATACGCACATCAGGTCGGCAAGATGAGGAGGAAGGGGGGAGTGGTTTGAGGAGGGTAGACGATGAGTGGGATATCGAGGGAGTGGTGGGCGTCGCTGGGAGGGGGGTTAATTTTGAGGGGGAAAGATTACTCACATCGGGTCATCAAGATGAGGATGTTGATTTGGTTCGTCTCTTCCCTGTGCTGTTGGCCTTTCTGTGATCTCCAAATCATCCAGGATCTCCAGTTCCATCTCAACTTTACCCTGAAGTTAAAAATTAATTTTAATTTCAGTTCTAAGAACTTCAATTTCAATTTGACTTATATTTTGAATATTAGTTTGATTTGTAATGTTTTCCTTTTTGTAAGTTTTCTTCTTGATTCTTGAGGGAGTTTTATTCTTATCCAGGTCGGATGCTGCGGACCGAAATAATTCTAGAATAATCACGCATGGACTATCATCCTGAAGACCTCTAGAAAATATACCTTATGGATAATTACCATGATTGTATACTATGATTATAATCTTGCATATATTAATTGATATACTGTGCCTATATTTTGTACTGCATAATAATGTATTTGGATTTAAATTCCATTGCATCTTACCGCTAGCTTCTTCTTCGCATCTTCCCCATCTATGTTGTAGCAGGGCCACCACCCCTTCACTCTCTTGCGCTCAAAAAGGGACATGAAGGCAGTTTGATCTTCACCCCCAGGTAGCTGCTCCACGGTGCATTGGCGGTCCTTCTTCGTGGGAGTTATCATCCGATTAAGGTCCAACTCTAGTGTTCCTATAATGCAAGAGAAATGACAAGGTTAATTTTTGGCTACACTACATGACAGTCAATTTGTCCTATGGTCCAATGTTACATTGGTTCTGCGTTCCATTGGTCATGTCTTTCATTGGTCCACGTTTACAGTGGTCCCATTGGTCCTATTTTCCATTGGTCCTGCAAACCATATAGGTTGTAGCCCTACCGTCATCCTTACCAACAGAGTGCGGAACAACGTGACTTTAAAAAAGTCCTATTAGTCGTACCGCCTACTGCCCCGACTGCCCATGTAAAAGTCGCACTACAAATCATCCTTAATCGTCTGTTAACGAAATTGTCTTCAGTCACTCGGACAAAAATCCATTACTGCATTTTGGATACAATTATTTATTTCTTACTTTACAAAATGCAGTAAAACTAACAAATCCATAGGCGGGTAATTAAACTCTTTTTTTTTAATTTATTCAAGACATCTCAACTAATTCTTATGAATAGGATATAGACCTCGACAATAGAGTCTCTCTGGTTAGTGTACATGTATATCTGTATATTACATCTCATTGATTGCGAAGACATCTGACAAATACCTATGAAATCATCGGCGGAGAACTTGTCATTATCCCAGATCTGAATAACCAAGGTCGGAGGAACTCTTGTTTCCGTCTCACTCACGCTCCAGAAATGTTCCTGATTTGATAAGAAAAGAAAAAAAAAATGATCAAATCAAACCAACTATTACAGACAAACAAACATATTTTTCACCTAAAACCATTTTGTTTATTGCTTATTGTGTTTCTCTATTTCTTTATCCGCTTTTCTCATCTTTTTGAATATCTCTTAGCAGTACGATATTTTGTGACTGTATATCCCTTATGAAAAACTTCCTTCGACATTGTACGCTTGTCAGCGTTTCATCCGACAGAGTAGCAATTGATCACTGCCTGCACAATGAACTTGTAATAGAAAAATGAAGCAAGTAATTGAAATCTCATATCCATTTTTTGTGGGGGTGGGGGTTTAACGTTTTGTTCGTAATTGCGCCATTTCCCCTTTTACAGAATCCAGTAACCGCCCGGGGGGGGGGGGTATGCAGTGGCGGATCCAGTGGGGAGCAAAAACAAAATTAGTGCTCACTACCCCCTCCCCCCCCCCCCCCCCTCCACTGAGCGAATTATCGGCCGGCGCGATTTTCAAATTTTCGGGAGCAAAAAAAACACAAACAAATTAGTGCTCAATACCCTCCCCCCCCCTTCCCCCTCCCTCCTCCCCCTCCCCCCCCCCTCCCCCTCCCCTGCCGCCTGCTGGATGCGCCCTTGGGGGTATTTACCCACCTTTCTCCTCACTGACAGCACACGTTCGGGAGGGATGTAGTGCATGTCAAAGACAAACCGCCAGTTGAAGTTTCCTTCACCATTTAGTGATCGGTAATGCACATCGGTCTCTTGCTTCTCGTCCAGTCCAGCTAACCATCTGAGAACAAAACAAAATCAAATAAAAAGGACTATACATGATGCCTCCAAAAAGAACGCAACAGCTAAAATTTGCAATTTCAAATATGTAATTAGCAGTGTTGAACGCACGACGTCTCTCGCTTTGAAAGCGGAGACAACATGAATGAAAGTGGACATTCATTACGCAACGTTGTGATGCAGCTGTTGGAAGCCGCCAGATGGGTATTTCTCGCTGCATCTAGCACGGCTATGGTTGTAAAGTAGTAGGCTATATTTTGACAAACGAAACTGCCTCTCAGAAGTGGCTCTAGAATCAAAGGCTTCAATTTAAAAAAATGATGATCTTGGTGTCATCTTCCTATGAAAAGAATTTTCTACCCAATAAAATAAAAGACAATGACATGTGTACAAGATGTCGTTGAAATTGGAGATCCTAGTGGTTGCGTTCTTGTTGGGTCATCGTGTACATGCCACTTTTTTCTCTTTATATCTTTCGATTGATAACCCAATCACGCCGAGGGGACCGACGACCAGACTGAAAAATAACCAAGTTATTGAAAAATTGAAAATTGAATTGAATTGAATTCGTAACTAGCTTCAAATACCAGTCAGATTATGATTCGTGCAGTTTGGGGCCATGAAGAGTCAGTCCGAATGAATGAACCATATAAGCCCCACAACTCCCCTTCCCAAAGGTTCCATGCCATACTCGAATAGAAATTATCCCTCTAATAAATTGCAATATGCCAAGTACAAGATTGATACACGTACAATTGGATATCAGCAAGACATTGAGGAACGCATACCGAAACTGACCAAGAACTGAATATATAAATAATTAAATATTCTACTCATGCACTGAAAGCAATTTTTTTAATTCACTACCAATGCATGTTCAAAATATATCACCCACATTACATTTATTTAAAAACCGCCGACGGCAACACCAGTCTATTAGTATATCGCTATAACTAAAGCCAATTGATTTTATTTCATATTACAAAGTTTTATCTAAATTTGTCATACCTGATGTACATCATTGCTTTAAATGCTATGTATTTTATGTATTTATCCGTTAGTTTTTTATGTTGTGTTTTAACTTTATACATTGCAATACCCACTTGATACAGGTCCGCTTTCGCTTTGTAAAGCAGTCCTTGTGATACTGAATGGGGCTACCCTGTGTTTTTAAAGAAGACTGAATAAAACTAAATAGAAAATAAAAAACAATACCCTTTGATGTAAATGTCACTCATTCTCTCCCCAGTGAATGAAACGTCTTGGAGATCTACATCCTTCGTGTTCCAAATGATACAGCGCAGTTGAAACCTGTAAATATGAACATTTTTAATTAGGTTCTTGCATATTTTTTTCAAGACGAAGAGAAGAATGCTCATTCCATGTGAAATGATAGATATGACCAAATACAGTCCAACCTGTCTTTAAAGACCAAACAAGGCAGACAAGAAATGTCGTCTTTGCAGACAGGTGGTCTTTGTAGTCAGGTGGTCGCTAAAATAGGTTTGATTGTAACATAGATCAGTGAAAACGAACTTGTAGTGTAGGTCTATGACACTGCTGTTGAAGAGAAATACTTCAAAATAATGAAAATAAATAAACATCTAGCCCAATTATAATCGTTGAAAAGGAGATTTTAATGATGGCATCTTTATTTTGGTGATATTTGACACGGTTTAAGTATTCAGGATTATCTTTTATGATTCATATTCCAGAGAAAAAATAAAAACAATATAGAAAAATTTCCATATAAATACGAAGATTATAAAAGGTAAAGACATAATCAGATTTCCAAAGTTATGTTTTAAAAAAAAAATATATTTATTACCCCTTATTAAACTTTTGGAAAGAAAAAAGAAAGAAAGAAAGAATAGGTAGTTGAACAACAAGAAAAAAATTACCGATAAGCACAGCTCTACTGGTGATTACGATATTTGATAAAATGTAGTCGGTAAAAAGGAAAAACTATTCAGATATTACTTCCGCATTTGAGAGAGTAAAGTGCAAATTAGGGGTAGTTGTGAAAGACATAATTATATCGTAATTCCTAGTCTTTCTCTTTCTCAAACTAGTGGTTACGATATTCGATAAAGTGTAGTCAGTAAAAAGAAAAACTTTTAACATAATAGTGATCGATGTTTCTACATCTACCACTGATTACATTACCGCATTTGAGAGAGTAAAGTGCAAATTAGAGGTAGTTGTGAAAGACATATATCTTGATTCCTAGTCTTTCTCTTTCTCAAACTAGTGATTACGATATTCGATAAAGTGTAGTCGGTAAAAAGGAAAAACTATTCAGATATTACTGATCGATGTTTCTACATCTACCACTGATTACATAACCGCATTTGAGAGAGTAAAGTGCAAATTAGAGGTAGTTGTGAAAGACATAATTATATCGTAATTCCTAGTCTTTCTCTTTCTCAAACTAGTGGTTACGATATTCGATAAAGTGTAGTCAGTAAAAAGAAAAACTTTTAACATAATAGTGATCGATGTTTCTACATCTACCACTGATTACATTACCGCATTTGAGAGAGTAAAGTGCAAATTAGAGGTAGTTGTGAAAGACATATATCGTGATTCCTAGTCTTTCTCTTTCTCAAACTAGTGATTACGATATTCGATAAAGTGTAGTCAGTAAAAAGAAAAACTTTTAACATAATAGTGATCGATGTTTCTACATCTACCACTGATTACATTACCGCATTTGAGAGAGTAAAGTGCGAATTAGGGGTAGTTTTGAAAGACATATATCGTGATTCCTAGTCTTTCTCTTTCTCAAACTAGTGATTACGATATTCGAAAAAGTGTAGTCGGTAAAAAGAAAAACTGTTAACATATTAGTGATCCATGTTTTCACATCTACCACTGATTACATTAACTTGTTTGAGAGAGTAACGTGCAAATTTGGGAAAGAGAAAAACTTCGGACATCACGATTATGTCTTTAACATCTACCCCTGATTATTAAAGTGATACATTAAAGTGTAGTCGGTAAAGAGAAAATGTTCAAAACAGAGAATACCGATGCTTTAAAATCTACCCCTTACTACTGATAAAAAGTTTGGTCGATAGAGTAAATTGTATATTCGCTAAATGGTAATACTAGAAGTAATAAAGAAAATTATTTTGTTAAACATCTCCCACTGATTATAATAATTGGTAGATTAAAGTACAGTCGCTAAATAGAAATATAACAAATATACAGATAATCGATTCTTTAACATATACCACTGATTATATTATGGTATTGGAAACATGAAGGTGTATTTATTTGCTAAAGAGAAAGACTTTAGATAATAAAATGATTTATGATTGTTTTACGTCTATCCTTATTATTATAGCTGAAGGGGGGAGTGTGATCGCGAAAGCAAAAGACTTTACGATAATGATAGTCATTATTCTTGAACATCTATAACGTTAATTCATGCCTTAATGCTATGTTATCGTCTGTCCCTACATCATGGGCAAAGGAAGAATGAGGAGACACGTAACAGGAGAAAATGGGAGAGAGAGAGAGAGAGGGGGAGAGAGAGAGAGAGAGAGAGAGAGACAAGAGAAGAGAAATAATGGAGGCATAAACAAACAAATAAAGAGAGAGAAAGAGAAATACGTAAAGGAAGATATGTCACTTCCTTCTCTGGAATTTTTGGAGAAAAGGGGAAAGAGACATGAGAAAGAACGAGAGAGAGAAAGAAAAAGAAGGGGAGCGAGAAGAAAGGTAGAGAGGGAAGAGAGAGAGAGAGAGTGAAAGATAAAGAGAGAAGAGAGAGAAAGCGAGGAGAGAGAGAGAGACAAGAGAGAGAGAGAGAGAGAGAGAGAGAGAGAAAGAAATAGAGGAGAGAGAGAGAGGGGGGATCACTCACTTCTTGGGAGCCCTTGGAGAGATATCAAAAGGTGGTCCTGGAGCGATCGAAGGATTATTCGAGTCTGTAGGAAACATATCCACCCACATCTCCAGCTGGCCCTGCGGTAGATCAGGCATGGCCGAGTTGTACAAGCACCTTGTTTCTACATGCTCTCGTACCAGACCTTGTTCGTGCAGGGCATACAACGCCAACCGCTGGTCGGCAGGACCCCGATGCTCGTCCCGTTGCTTGTGCCGCTCTGCAAAAAAAGAGACAAGTTAATCATAGGGGCCTTCTTTTTCTTGGCTTGTGACTTTATAATGTGATGTCGTAAAAATATGAACTCCTGCTTATTTTTATGCTTCTTATCTGAGACGTCGTTCCTGTTTTCTACATCATCTTAGAGGAACTTGTATCACATCACTTAAGACTGAAGAACACATTCTTTATGTCTAAATGTACTGTATATCGTCCATTCTCATGATTTCTTGATATCAATTTTAATAAAATCACATCATGACTTTTTCACATGTTACCAATTTACCAAACAATATTTTAAAACCGTATATAATGCAATGTTTAATGTATTGTAACAAATCAGGGTTTTAGTATTGGACGAAGGTTAAGCATTTTCTGTTGTACGAGCATGCGCTATAGCAATATGGTGCATCGTTGATTTAGCAATTACTAAACTGAAGGAAAATGAGCATAAATTACATATTTTGATCATGTTGGTGCAATTATCATGTTTCTTTTGGGGATATTACTTGTATAGTAGTGATCTAATCAGGAATAAGGGGTTATACTGAAGATTATATGTGAAGATTTTATGGGATTAGTAGAAATGTTGTGTTGAAGTGTTGTTTTACTAACGAGGACATAATTGTTCTTTTATACGGTTATGTATAGGGGAATTTTTAGGATGGTCAGGATTGTGTAATTAGGACTTTCCATTGCACTGTATCCGATACAGGCCAGCCTCACCGAGGCTGGCCTACTTGTAGTTTGCGCTTGTCTTAGTCTTTACTTGAAATCTTACCTCTAGTCCACACTTGTACTTGTTGAACGAGTTTACCCTGAATGTTGGTTGGTTCGCATTAAAAGAATTCAACATGCAACTCATGATTGGTCTGATTTCTTAAAACAGTGAAACCGTAGTTAGACATTGAGATCGAGAATCAGTGACAGGAGTTGACAAAGCATGGTGATTGATTGATTGATTGCTCGAAGGATGTTCAATTGACTGTTGCTGTGCACAACGATTGGGGTGACCGATTGCAGTCGAAGGATGCATGATTGTTAATACGCCCTGTGACGTGAGCAGTGAAAGAACTCCAGCCATCAAGCTACGGGCATATACTTTGTCCAAACGGACGGAAAGCGCCTGGCCGACACGGGGCATCCTGACAAATATTCCGTGTCAAGCCAAGGTGGCGAATACGTGTCCGCCACACATGGTGTCAGAAGTGGGATTGCTGATGGCGTGGAGTGGTCGAGCTGACGGAGCTAGTGGACGACGGCAGTGGCACTGACGGAGCTGGGGGACCATGGGCAGTAAGTCTGACGGCGTCACAAGCTGGTAGAGCTGACGGAGCTGGGGGACGACAGGCAGTAAGACTGACGGCGTCACAGCTGGTTGAGCTGGGGGACGACGGGCAGTAGGTCTGACGGTGTCACAAGCTGGTAGAGCTGACGGAGCTGGGGGACGACGGGCAGGAGGCCTGACGGCGTCACAAGCTGGTAGAGCTGATAAAGCTTGGGGGCGACGTGCAGTGAGACTGACGGCGTCACAGCTGGTCGAGCTGAAGGAGCTTGGGGACAACGGGCAGTAAGACTGACTGCGTCACAGCTGGTCGAGCTGACGGAGCTTGGGGACGACGGGAGGTAGCATTGACGGTGTTGCAGCTGGTCGAGCTGACGGAAATGCGGAACGACAATGGAGTCGTATAATGACCCAAACATGCTGCCAGACTGGTTTGACGGGGAAATTCCCATACTGGACTACTTGGAGCATTTCGAAGCATGCGCAATCTTCAATAATTGGACGGAAAGAAAGGCAACGCATTATCTAGCAGCCAGTCTACGTGGGCCAGCGTTGAGGCTACTGGGGAAGAATGGTGAGGTAGAACTGACGTACAGTGCATTGACCAGCAGGCTCATACATCACTTCGGACCTTCAGGAAAAGCTGATGTATTCTTGGCCGAACTACGTTCCCGACGAAGGAAGCCGAACGAGACCCTTCAGGAATTGGGCCAAAGTATCAAATACATGGCAGCAATGGCTTACCAGGAGTTTGGTGCCGATGGGCAGGATAAGCTGGCTCGGGGTCACTTCCTTGACGCAATAATAAATCCGGCCATCCGAGAAGGTTTGTTTCGGGCTCAGCCACATACCCTGGATGAGGCTATTAAAGCAGCTCTGAACACGGAGGCTCTTCTTCAGATGGAAGCAGAGAGGGGAGAGTTGTGGTACTCTCACCGTCACAGCCACAGCCGGGTACTGACTGGTAGCGATCGACCTCAGCACCCTGATAGCCCTTATACACCCGAAATGGTGAAGAAGATGGAGAAGGCGCTAACTGATCTTACAGCCAGATTGGAAGCACTGACCCGCCAAGTAGCAAGTACGTCGCAGTTTGGCAATACAGGGCCACACTCCCGGGGAAGACGTCAGGACGGGCCTTGTGATGATTGTGGCCAACAAGGACATTTTTCTTGGAATTGTCCTCATCCAAAGATGCTGTACGCACATGACAGTCCAGAAATGAAGGAAGCAGAGACCAGACGTTGTCACCAGTGCAATGAAGCTGGGCATTTCGTTCAGAACTGTCCTCATAATCCAGCTGGAGGCGATGGGGTGGCGACTAAGCACCCTGAACAAGACGTTGGTGGTTCAGTTACCATTGCACAAGATGAGAATTCGACGAATGTTGATGCACTTGGGGGGACGGTAGATGACATTCTACCAGACGAGGAGACGGCTGGGGATCCACCAGATATCCTTCTACTAGTGGACGAGGCAACCAAAGACCCGTCAGAGGCTGTCCCAATAGATGAAGAAGTAGCTGGAGACCCACCGGACAACAGCCTAGCAGCTGACGACACAGATACAGGGTTGTCAAACAATGTCCAGTCAGACAAAGAGCCTGTTGATTGCTTCCCGAATGTCGATCCTCTAGCCGGTGATGCGTTACCTAAAGATCCACCAGGTACTGGCCTAGCAGTTGGCGAGGTGATCAACGAGGTGTCAGTCGACGGCCCAGTGAAGCATGAGGTAGCCCAAGACCCATGATTTGAACTCTAGAACAGTTGAACACTTTTGGAAAGAGCCATTTTGAACTGTCATAAAAGACTTGGATTTTAGTTTTGATTTGTTTTGATAACATGTTATGATTTGTTGTTGTTGCATAAGTTATAGATAAGTTAGCTTGGGGACCAAGCTTGGGAAGGAAGGGAATTGTGTAACAAATCAGGGTTTTAGTATTGGACGAAGGTTAAGCATTTTCTGTTGTACGAGCATGCGCTATAGCAATATGGTGCATCGTTGATTTAGCAATTACTAAACTGAAGGAAAATGAGCATAAATTACATATTTTGATCATGTTGGTGCAATTATCATGTTTCTTTTGGGATATTACTTGTATAGTAGTGATCTAATCAGGAATAAGGGGTTATACTGAAGATTATATGTGAAGATTTTATGGGATTAGTAGAAATGTTGTGTTGAAGTGTTGTTTTACTAACGAGGACATAATTGTTCTTTTATACGGTTATGTATAGGGGAATTTTTAGGATGGTCAGGATTGTGTAATTAGGACTTTCCATTGCACTGTATCCGATACAGGCCAGCCTCACCGAGGCTGGCCTACTTGTAGTTTGCGCTTGTCTTAGTCTTTACTTGAAATCTTACCTCTAGTCCACACTTGTACTTGTTGAACGAGTTTACCCTGAATGTTGGTTGGTTCGCATTAAAAGAATTCAACATGCAACTCATGATTGGTCTGATTTCTTAAAACAGTGAAACCGTAGTTAGACATTGAGATCGAGAATCAGTGACAGGAGTTGACAAAGCATGGTGATTGATTGATTGATTGCTCGAAGGATGTTCAATTGACTGTTGCTGTGCACAACGATTGGGGTGACCGATTGCAGTCGAAGGATGCATGATTGTTAATACGCCCTGTGACGTGAGCAGTGAAAGAACTCCAGCCATCAAGCTACGGGCATATACTTTGTCCAAACGGACGGAAAGCGCCTGGCCGACACGGGGCATCCTGACAAATATTCCGTGTCAAGCCAAGGTGGCGAATACGTGTCCGCCACAGTATATATATATATATTGCGATTTACTAAAAAATCGGAAAACAGTCGCATCATGGTTGGCGAAATTTTTTGTTAATAATTTACAAAGGAGGCACCAAATATTACCAAAATCCACGAGTCTGTACGTCTCCCCTCCAACTCTCACGACCGTACATGGGTCTGCTTCCTCAAACTTTGGCTGTGCCATTGAGTTGCGTGTGCAGTACTCGGCCAAGATCTGACGCGGAGTAGACGAGTCTCTCCATGCGTTTGGCCCAGATCTGAATTATGGATTAATAATAGTGAGATGTTGCGAGGAGTTAAAGAAGAAATGACGCACATGGACATGTTGTAAAGTACATGATAATGTTTGTTTTTTTCTTTTTTTCTCTTTACCTCTTCAGAGGGACTTTATTATTCCATTTCAAAATAGACTATTGATAATGTAATAATGTAATTTAAAAGACCGAAAGGAGGTACCAACGTCATACAGGCGTAATTGCTTATAATCTACGCCTATCATAATAATACCTGTAGATAGCATGATTGTATGATAAAAGGGTTATTCGCAACAGATTATTCAATAAATATCTTCATTTTGTACTATAACTAACCATGAATTGTAGGCTATAATAAGATAACAAGACGAATTTAATCTAATGGTCACTTTTCGTTTCGTTAATCAACTTTCAAATTGTACAATCATCTAAACAAATAGTGAAAAGGGAAGAGATAAAGAAACGAGAGAAAGGGTAATTAAGTAGGATTGAGAGGTGAAAAGCAACGAAAAAAAGGAAATTAAGAAAAATCCTCCGATATTTACCCTCAATCCATGGCATTTTCTCTCTCATTTCATCCACCTTACGACGCCCCCCCCCCCCCCTACATGAACCAGCGCCCTTTAATCGCTTGTATCTACGCATTGGCACTGTATGGTGATAACAACTTACATGCTATAGCTTTGGGGGAGACCGCACGTCGCACGATATCGTGTGAGATATCGGTTCTCGAGATCGATGACTGTCTCGCCGATCATGTCATCACGGCTGAGAAAGTCCTTATCCATCACCGATACTTTAAGATCCTTGTTCACCGGTAGTACGGTCTTCACTTCAAATAACCTTTGGAAAAAGGATACCATGTGTACTGAATGTAAGTATATATTCCGGTACAAATTCACTTACTGAGAACTGCGATGTTAAAGCCCTTCTGCACTAGTTTGGCCAGGATGGATTGGACCTCCCTGCATGGTCACTGACAGGTTGTTATCTCATCAAATCAGCTATCAATTAATATACGAAAAAGAGGATCATGGGGGATCAACGGGTACCGCTTAGGCATTGTTGGCTGTATAGAGGGCGCAAGTAGATATAAGTAGTGCAGAGTGGGGCTTTAAGATCTTGTATACAGTTTCTTTGGTCACACATTCTAATCGTTTGTTTTCCACTTCTCATTTAACCTTCCACGTTTCCAAGCATGATATGCTGCCTGCTCCAGACTCTTTGATCTAACAATGTGTCCACAAAAGCCAAGTCTCTGTTTCACAACCATGGCCTCCAAGAAACAAGTTGGTTATAAAAATTCACCATGCACAAATCAGTTACAAGGCCTACCTTTTATGTGGACATAACCATAGCATTACACATTCTGAAAACAATTAAACAACCTCTTTCCACTCTCAAGGGAAAACATTACATTAAATCAACTCAATTCATTACAAAACAATATACATTTAAGATGAGAATGAGAATAGCAAAGACACATAAACCGTTTTCATATCGATAATTCTTCCCAAATCTGCTCACCTGCCGAAGAAAGGTTCTAGTGTGTTTGGTATGAACTTCTTGACGTCATCCAAAACTGTCTTTCCTAGAGTAACGATGATGTATGGATCGGACTGGAATATATCAAACACGAGATGTGAAAGGATCCATGTTAACAATGTAAGGCCAATGGCAGTAAGTTGGTTGTTTGAAAGGGCTGTACTGGGAAAACAGCATCAAATTGAGTTCATCGGGACTATAATATTATGCATTAAATAGAAAAGATTAATAGTAAATCATGTACGGTTACCGACAATTATTAGTCCTATCTTCTTTGCAAGGTCTGCATAGGATAAGTTACCCTTTTAAAATATAATAGGCCTACAAGACTAGTGTAGTGCCATTCCTGTAAAAAATTCCATAATAGTTCACAAATGCTCTAATATGGAGGGGCCACATAAAGAAAGCATATTACACCACATCGTGCGTTTTCTTTTTATCGGGGATAAGGTGTGAACTTTTGTTTGCTAACCCATTGCAAATTCACTCTTAGGGAAGGTGTTGTAAATTTGGTTAGCTTATATATCAATACGTTTCATTAGATATATTCCATTTGGGATCATGAAAGCATTACTGATAAGATTCGTTTTCACGAATATTCCTACTTAAGAAACATTACTATTTTTTTCATTTGAAGTTTAAACGATATAGATCCGGGTCATGACCTCAACTATACCTATGGAAGATAGCTCACCTAGCTTTAGGAGTATGAATGAGACACGTTCTATTATTCGCTTATATTTATATCCCTTCTTGAAAAACCTTGAATATATAATAGTAATCCCATTTTGTATTTGTGTTATGGAGATGTAAGGATATAGTAAAAGTGTCGTAATCGAGTGGTTTAGGCACTTGACTTGAAATTCAAAGGTCGTGGTTCGATCCCTGATACGGCACTAATGTCCTTTGGCCAGGCATCAATCTTCATTTGCCACACTCGACCCAGGTGATGTAAATGGGTACCCGGCAGGAATTGAATCCTTGAAATGATGGAGCGCTGTAATAGGAGTTAGACTAAAGCCGGGGTAATAATTAATGCACCTCGGAATAGAATTTCTAGAAAGACGGGGCTATAGAAATGCCTATAATAATAATAATAATAAATTATAGGGGACATTACCAGTCCATTCCTATCCTGAGGACAGAGCTGATAAGCTCGAACAACATAGATCCGGACGAGGACCTCGACTAAACCTGTCGATGGTAGTTCGCAGGGCTTGAAGAAGCGGGGCGCAACGGGCTCTTTCAGCTCATGAGGCATTGGGTACATCTTAAAGGATCCCTGCATGGGAAGAAGAGGAAGAAATAAGTATTATCATATTCAGTAGTGATCATATTAGAGCACAACAATATTGTACAACGCTTAATCTAACTTAGCAACAAGGGACGTTGTAACAGGTTTATTCTGACTTAGCAACGATGCACCATTGCAAGATGCTTATTCTGGTATGGCAACAGTGCAGCAGTGGAAGAGGTTTAAAATTCAGATAACCCCAAAAGGCACAATTATATGAGTTTTATTCTAATGTGGCAACAGTGCATTATTGTATGGGATTTATCCTGATTTATCTTATAGACCAACATCTTTCTTAAAATGCGTAATAAAAGAACTATACTACGTTTCTAAATGATGATTTTTCTTTTTTTAAACAAAACCAGATGGTTTAGATACGATAGCTTACCGTATGGTATGCTTAAAGATGAAGACCAGTTATGGTCATGCGATTACATTGTAAAAGAAACGTTGTGGAATCGATCAGAAAAAGTTGATCATCTAGCATATAAGTATTGGTGTGTACTGCAAGGTTCTGGAATCATCAAAATGATAAGAAATTTGGCCCAGTCTTGGTAAAGTTACAAGCACTGTACACAGATAGATGTATATGGGACTACGCGACACATGCGCGACACGTGCGCGATATCTATCAGGTCCAAATAGATATAATATTTTATCAAATATATCAATTAGTAGGCGGTTTCTCGGCAAAATTTGTATCATTACGTATTAGTCAAAACAAATTCTTTCACATGGTTGGTAAAGAAGAGCTTCCATTTCATTTTTTTGAGAGGGGGGCTTTTCCAAAACTGGTCTTTACCTTAAATTGATTTTAAAATGTGCCCTTTATCTCTAAGATTGATACCTTGAATTGCCCTGTAAGAGTTGGGTCTCCGTCAGTTGAAGCCTTTCCTCTTGCTAGCTCGAACGTGTCACAGAAATCAGAAAATTCGTTAAAGCCAGGCTCATCTTCTAACTCCCCGCTCAGGATCTATACGAAACGGATGAAATAAATCACGTTTTCTGAAAGTCATACGAAACGCCTACATACAGCTGAGAAAATTTTCAAAGAATGATTTATACATGTATCTATAATTTTACTATTATTTTATCATTTTTATTAGGATAACACTATGAATTAGATCCCTCTTGCTTTAGAGCGTGCTTTTTACTAGGAAACGCTTCTATGAATATAATGTTGGAACACAGATCCAAACAGTAAACCATTTTTCCAAGATAAATTTAACAAAAATGGGTACTATTAGAATACCATAGTTTTTGGTAATTATATGCAATATTTTGAAAATGTACATGTCCAAAATGAAAGTTCATTAGGATTGCCCTACATAACCTGCAAGAATAAGGAAGAAGAAAAGACAAAACGGAAGAAGAAGAAGATGATGATGCAGAAGATTAATATGATGGTGATGGAGAAGATGATGATGGATAAGATGACGATGACGACGACGATGATGATGATGATGATGCTACAGATATGATGATGGAGATGATAATGATGGAGATGATGATGATGATGATAAAATAAAAAGAAGAAGGAAATGATGAAGATGATGATGCAGAAAATATGATTGATGACGATTATGATTTTGATTATCTGTAGGATTTTTTTTTTCTCGGGGGGGGGGGGGGGTAGTCAACTATACCTGAATGGTGTCATAGCCTCTTTCTGTGTAAGAAACACTCTTCTCGAAGTCGCCCTTGGATGCGTAGTATTTCGACCACCAATCAATCTCTTCCTCAGCCACCGCTTCCTGTTTTGCATACACATGACAACTTAATTATTCAACGAAATGGCAAGGACTTTCGGAAAATCAACTTAAGGCAAATATATTAGCCTTTTTATCACATTTGGGACGTTCTTACATTAAAAGAACACTGCTCTTCTAATGAGCCATCGCACCTCACTCTGTAGTCAACTAGAAAATCGGCGCTGATGTTTCATGAACAGTGACCTAGCAAACGTCTTGTTTATACACCGCATTTTCCATTTTAAACACAATCCTCCACTCACACAAACCACATTCACCTTAAGTTTACTTATTATGGTCTAGTGGAAAGGGCACATGATTCGCGGTTCCAATCCGGCCGCCGCACTAATGTCTTTGGCAATACGTTAATTTACATTTGTCACACTCCGCCCATGTGATGTAAATGGGTACCTGCATGGCAGAAATTAATTCCTTGTAATGCTAGAGCGCTATAATGGCAGCCAAATATGCTAAATAACCCGGGTAAATAATTGTGGAGCGTCAGGAATGCCAAATGTAACAGACATGAGCGCTATACAAGAACCCGCTATTATTATTAATATTAGTTTTAATAATAATTTTCTTACCGGATCCAGCGACTTCGACTTCGACCACCACTGTACAGCGAAACCAAAGAGAAGACAAAAAGGATTGTAGTGATAGGATAGCAATATATTTTAATTATGTAATAACAATATGTGCATGTAAACGATAGGCGTACATTCGTACAATCGAAATAAATAACCTTCGAGAAAGCATTTTGACATCTTTTAAAAATCATGAAAATATTAAATACACTGTAAAGTGATTTCTCGTATTATCCACGAAATAAATTTTCACAAATTTTATGTTAAAGACCTATGTACAATGAATGATTTAAAAAAAAGAGTTATGGACATTTTTAAAAGGAAATAAAACTTACCTGAAACTTCCTGAATCCACTAACACTGAACTGTAATGAAGAATAAATAGAAGAATATTGTCATTCTGCACAACATCGGAAGATCGAGCGGTTGCATGTGCAGGCCCCAAACCGTGAAATAACTTACCTTTGGAAATTAGGAAATCACCATCGTTACGGTGATCAAAATCAAAACTACAAGCACATCTTTTCGCAGTAGAAAATATTTGCCTAGCGTCTGCGCTATTATAAATGTATATCATAATTGTTATTATTACTATGCCTCCTATGGTAAGATATTAATCTACATTTGCCGCATGTGGAGTAAGTAGGTATCTGGTGTGTATGAATTGTTTGAATGCTCCTATAACTACTATAGGAACGTCGTACAAGACGCCATTGATGAACAATCGTCGTCGTCGTCATCATCACCATAATATTGACCATACCAAAATCTCCATCACCATCATCATTGAGGTTGATGTTTTAACGATCCGTCTTTTAACATTATATAGAAACAACAGTCGTTTGAAAATAATCTTTTATTTATTCTCAAATCGCTGCTATTTTTTATTTCATTCCTTTGATGAAATGGCAAAATAGTGCGAAGGAGAGGAAGTGGAAAAAAGATAAATTACAAAACGAAGTGACGTATTCAGAAACACATCGGCACATGCTCTTCATGCAAAAAGGAACAACTCCTAAGATACTTGTGAGGTGGCTTTAGTACAAACAATAAATTACGTTAGTGATAAAAAGAATGATTATTAAGCGATCTCAAGATTCCCATTTTTATTTATCTAAAAGATCAGCAAAGTACAATTTCTCATATGGATATCTCTCTCCGTATTAGAAATATGTTTTTCTGATATTTATATATATTTTAGTAGTACTTTCTTGAGTTGAAAAATGGAGAAGGCTCCACTGCTGCAGAGAGCATGATTGAAGCCATATTCGATATTTCAGAAGCTTATCTTTCAATCATGGGGCCCGGAGCCAATTTTCAAATTGACTTTTGTGAAAAAATATAATTCGTACATGATACAGATTCTTTGGTGGGCACTCCCCCTAGAAAAAATGGTGCCCCTCCCTTGTTCTGACATTACTTGACATTGTGAAAGTACAACAGGCATTCAAATGTGCAAGATCCATAACATAAATAACACGTGTAAGAAGAAGAAGAAAAAATTGTGAAAGTTCCCCCAAGCATTTTCCATCATTAAAAAAAAACAAGCATGACTCCTTACATGTTTTCATGAGGAGTCACATGCACAAGCGAGTAGAAATCGATTGTGGATCGTTGGTCGTCCGACATTTACTCTGGCGACACTTTCTCTTGGCCTTATTCCATTAAAGCATAGGGTTAGTTTTTGGATTGCGATTTGGAATTTAAAGTTAGGTTTAGGTTAAGATGAGGATAAGGTGTAGTTTTTGTGGGTTTTTAAAACCAGAGTTGAGTTTGGGAACCGCCTAAAATTCAAAGTTGGCCACGGAGACCGGCGCGGAGCAATTGTCGCCAGACGTATGTCGTAAAATCGTTTAGTGAATGCACAAATATTTCGATAAAATGGTAGTGCAGACATAAGACATGAGATGCAGAGAATTAAAAAAAAAGATCGACATCATTAACCATTTAACCCTAATCAATAGACCTGGAGATTGACATTTTTTGCATTATCTTTTGATTCAGAATGCTAAAGGAATTACACACTATACACTATACATGAGTCCAATATTTTTAATGCAGCAAATTGTGTCGTTCTCAAATTAAAGTAATTTAACTGTTTCTAATCATTAAAGTCTTTAAATTGACAACGCGGTGTAGAATATAAAAATTAAAATCATCGTGTAAAATCGGCAAATATTTGGTTAGATTTTGCAAATTTGTTTTACATTGATTTTTATTTTTTCAAATTATGCAGTGGAAAATAAAATAAATCGTTGCCAATTTGAGAATGGAAAACTGATTATTGGTAATTTAGAAAATAAGAAAACTCTGATCTGCAGGTATGGGATAAAGGGCAAGTCACCCTTTATAAGATAAATTTGACACGAGAGCAACTACTTTCGAAAAATCAACCAAACGCCATTTCTATAGCTTTGTGCATCACCTATGCTGAAATGTGCGAACATTACACTGACGTATTGCTTAATCCGAACATGATTTGTATGGGACATACAATAGGGTATAGAAAAAACCCTTGAGTTCATCTTTTGGAAATAGTTGCAATCGTATTATTCACATACAAGCAGAAATTAAGAGAAACGGAATGGCGAAAGCTTGAAATAAAATGCACCGGTAATACATGAGTAATTAATGTTTGAAATATGAGATCACTTCATTGTGTGCCGATCGCAGATTTGTAATTTGGTCAGTGGATCGTGATACAGTCACAGGCAGCTATTTGTTTTTTCTTCTCCTAAGCACCTCCTCCATTGGGGCGCTACTTGAAGTAAATTGTGGATCGCACATTATTGTTTGTCCACTAAACAGGAAAAGACCCTACTCAGTTTTGAAAAACTGACATTTTAGAAATTGTGCGAGTTGGAAGTTTGGAACAAATGAGAATTGCCCGTCACCATATCACAGTGACATTACCGATTTAGGAAATGTGAAGCTCCTTTGCATGTAGTGTTTACAATTCCTACTTTGTTCAAACTTTGACCGGTCTGTTTCTCTGATTTTTTTCTGCTTTTTTAGAATAGTTTGCTAAAAAAAGGTTGGATTCTGTTTAATACCACAATCAAGAATTAACCCAGAAAGTGCGTATTCACAAGCAGTTTGTGATGTGATAATGTTCTTTCGAGATTTGTAATGATAATGTTACATACGGGTCGACCTTTTCTCTGGTGAAGAATTAAAAAAACAGTTTAAATCAGGGAGATAAGCAAAAACAAGTTCATTCAAAAATAATATCAACATTGAGAGGGTTTAGAAAAAACAAAACATTAAAATTGTCAAAGGACATAATAAACAATCTCAGAAGATAGTTATTGTAATTTGCGCAAATGGGTGTTGAGTTTGAATTGGGTTTGATTAAAATGAGATAAAATAGAAATCTTTATATCCTTCAGAAATAGAATATAGAACGAACAATTTCTAAGACGAAAACAAATGTTCGAATGATGTATGTGCAGGTGGAGGCCAAAAAAACATAGGGCAATAGCCTGAAAAATGGCCTTTATTTGTTGTTCATATTTTCCACAAAAAGGCATAAATAAAATATAAACATATACCAACAATTACATAGATATACACACACACAAAATAATCCAGACAAGAATCAAGGTAGATGCATTGCTCTTAACATACAAATATGATATGTTTTGGTGTATCATATTGCTCCGGTTGTCTCATTTTCGCTCGCTGGAATATTGCCAGCACAAACCACTGACCTCAACCTCCTGGACGGATCATCGCCCATTCCCATTCACTATACGTTACGTACTAAAAGGCTGTATTTTCTGACCGTTCATGAATATTCATGTTTTGCTTACCTCGGGAAAATGCTTGCCTCTACTAAATGGAAAAATTACAGTGGGGGGTTGGATGAAATGGATAATAATGAACAAATCAGAACTGATCTATGATAATTCATGCTTCTTTTCCTTCGTGTGCTTGACTTATAACCTTACAATCGCGTGGTAAATTGAGTCCAAAGGTCGACTTGTTGTACATGTGTTATATAGGCAATGGCGAGCTTGCGACTTATTTTGATGAAATTACGGTGGGTGAACTTTCAAAAGTCAATGAGACATGAGGGTTCCAATGAAAGAGCTAGTGATAACGGGGTGGATGTGCTTTTCGTTTAAACAAACAATGAATTTTCAACGATTTTTTTGTAAAAGTCCATAGGCTAACATGTTTGGCTGCTGACTCTGACGATAGGGGGCGTTGTCAAATGAGACTAAACGGAGCTATATGATTAGTTTATTTGATTTTGCTGGTGGCTAAAACAAAGAACGCAACTCCTGAGATCTGCAATTTTCAACAGCATCACTAACACAATGTCATTGGGTTTTTGTTTTTTGTGTTGACGAACGCACAACAGCTGCTCTCGTCATCAAAGCTCAAACTTCTCGCTGCCTTAAGAATGAATAAGGTTGCAAAAGAAGCAAATATCGAAATCGACATTTCCTTCAAAAAATGGTCGTATAGGATCAAAATGCCTCTTCCAGAATCGATGAGCTTGGTGTCATTATCCTTGTATTCATAAGAGACGTTTGATCCTTACGACAGAAAATAGGATGGAATCAATGACTAATATCAATCGTTCTTAATTTACGAATAAAGATTCACTCTAACCCTGATACAAAATGCTATTTACCTTTTTCTTCCTCGCATCTTCTTTGAAGGTGATTTTGGTTTCTTTGCTAGAAGACTCTTCAGGGACATCGATGACTGTGTAGTCATTTTGACGACCATTACCTTCAGTCATGTCGGTCACAGTCAGCGTTGGAGCTTTTCGCACTAGAATTTAGGAAAAGAAAGAAATCATTTTTATGTTGTCCACTACAAAAAAGTGAATAAATAAACGTTTAAGACAAACAAATTTTGTTTATTACAAACAAACTCGTGTGCTTTTAAAACGTTATAGTCTTCATGCATTTTTTAACACGCCACATACAACTATGGGATAGAATTTTGACAGGATACATATATGCAAAGAAAAAAGTTCATTAGGTCAAAATTAGGAATCTTAGTGTTCATTTTCACTTTTCCTTGTATTTCACTCCATTAGGACAACGACAGCAAACATACAAAAATAAAACTAAAGCAACAAACAAAGCAAAACGAAACATCACCACAAATGAAACTAACGAATAAAGATATCTAACGAAACGTATTTTGACTTAAGGAACTCTCAAACTGTATAGGCAGATACAGAAAACTTCGTGGGGTGATCATAACATGTAGTTTAAGCTTCAATTCAGTGACATTTTCATTACGCCACCGAAACCACCATCAGTTTCATGGTTCATTAAACTTGTCATCAATAACAAGTTACAATACCTGTTATAAGCTACTGAAATCGTGGCATTTGATTGGCTGACAACAAGTTTTACGAAACAGGGACCAGACCGGTAACAGACCGAACAAAAATTGAATTTCCCCCGATGGTCAAGGATCAGTCTAGTTTGAATCCGGTTTGAGTATAGGCTGGCAGTCGTGTGTGACGGACGTATGACAGGGATATTGGTCCCAACTCTTTTTTTTTTTACAAAGGCCTTAATGCAATGTTCACTTGAAAATTCCTTTAAATTAAGCTTGAGCCTTGAGATACATACTGTCTGATTCGTCGTCTTCCAAGACCGTTGATATTGATACAGAGTCAAGACGCCGATACTTTCCCAGTCCACTGATGGTCGCTATCCCCACCACGGGCTTTCGACCAAACGCTCGATGATCACGGACCTTGATGTTGATGGGTGGCGTGTAAAGCTCTTCTCTTGGAAGATCCTGTTATGAGTTTAAAAAATAAAGATATAGAGGCGCCAAGTCCAAGCTATTTTGTGCCATATACTTTACCGACCATATTTAAGATTTTAGTATATCAGAGCCCAGGGAGGTGTTTCACAAAGATCCTAAGTAGAACTTAACACTAAGTTGGACTTAAAAATTATGGAAAGCCATTAGCATCCTTGAAAATATTTTGTAAAAGTTATTTTAAAAGGCATAAAATGTTGATTCAAATCATTCGTATTTTCTATTATCACGGGAGATTTCATGTTCTGGATGTGGAATTTATAAAAAGTCTAAAATACTTGAATTTCTGCTTTTGAATATATTTCATTTTAAGACTCCATTTGCTGTCCATAATTTTTAAGTCCAACTTAGAGTTAAGATCTACTTAGGATCTTTGTGAAACACCCCCCATATCTAAGATTTTAGTATATCAGAGCCCCGTGTTATAAAGAGTTACGATTAATCCAAACCAATCGCAAGTCCTAATCAATCACAAGTTTGCAGTCTCCTATCTCTAATATGTACACAGTTGCGACAAATCGCAATTTGTTATAAGAGTTCAGATCAGAATAAATATGAAGGGAATGACATGTTTGATTTCAGTTTATGTTTAGAACTACAATACCGGGGCGCGTACATAATTGTGTTGTAGTGGTGGTTATTTTACCTGACTGCTAAGAAAGCATAAATGCTTGTTAGTAAGCAACCAGACGGCCGACGGATTTAGGTCCTCTCCGAGGGACCTGGTAATGAGGATTAATGCCTTACCAGAGGGCACTAGCGCATCGCCTGGGTTTCGAACACTGCTCTACCGACTGAGCCATCGCGCCTCCTACATAACGGACACCAAATGACCAAATACTTATGACTTGCACAAAGAGAACACTACCACCGGGAACAACTATAATATTAGATAAGTAATGATATGTCAGGAAGAAAATATAGCATTGGGATATAATAACTTAACACAGATATGATGCAAATAATACATCAAAGTTTTTGAGGTGAAGAAAAAAAACATGAGTTCTATTGCATTTCATATTCTACCTGTGGTGTAGCGTGTATCAAACCAAGGAGTAACTCCTTGATCAAACCAAAAATTGAGCACTGACTTCATGGGGATGGAAGCATCATAATCATTAAGTGGATGACGCACGCACAAGAGAAAAGGGACACAGGGTGAAATGAGATAGGAGGGGCCATTTCATTTTCTTTTCAAGTTTGAGTATTCCGCCTCTCCCCTATTTCTCTCTCCCCCCCTTTTTTTTTGGGGGGGGGGGGGGGCGGGGGGGGGGGGTAATTGGATTGGGGGCAGGTACCTCCCTTGGCCCTTAGCTACGCCACTGCTGGGAACGTAATTCTGATCATAGGCATGACGATTGATTTCATCTATACATGATAACGATTTCGGTCTTACCACGACAACTACGAGAACAGGATTGTTGAAGTTGGGGCTCTTTTGAAGGTTTACTATCACTTCTGATTCCACCACTTTCCCGCCGATTTCAAACTCGATACTGGGCGAATTCACACTCATTTGCATATACTTGGCCATGTTGCGAAGCCCCCAGCAAAGGATCTAAGAATGTAAATCAAATTAAATCAAATTAAATAGTTTACTCTCTGTCTTCCCCTGCATACCTGAGCAACTCTGTTTCAAAATACAACCCCACACGAAGTCTTCGCTCCTCATCAGACACACTATTACTTAATACACCCAGAATTAAACATGCTTGGGGTGAACGGGCTTTCTCAGCCATGGGTCCAAAACTGTGGAATAAGCTCCCTCTAAAATTACGTCAACTGTCATCGACAGAAACATTCAAATTACAACTAAAAACCTATTTGTTTTTTTCGTTGTAATTACTGCAATATTTTAATTTACTATGTCTAGGAGAATTCCGAATTTGTTTTTCGGTTGATTGTTTTTTCTTTCTCATGCCTGTTACATGTACTCTTTTCTAAGCGCCATGAGCACCGAAAGGTGGACCTGTGCGCTATACAAGTAGCCACTATTATTAAATCGAATCGAATCAATTCATTTAATAAAAACGAAATTCAAACGTCCGAAAGAAGAAATGAAACCGGTACATCATTTAAAAGAACGAATAAAAGTTGCTAATCGTCATTTAACACAAATATAGTGCGGAGATATTATCAAGAAAGGGCAAATTTACGATATTAAAGGATTGGCAAATCACATGTTAGTTATGGAAATCCGATGTATACCTTCTGCCAGACCTCTCATTATGTACTGTTACAAACAAAACTACCTATTGAAGCCTAAAAGTGTGGTACAAATCTTAGGTCATTGTAGTAATTATTAAAATCAGCAAAATTAAGAAAGGTAAACAAATATCATTGTAAACATTGCTTCAAAAGTTGCATTCATCTGTTTCGGTTTTGTAGAGTCAGAAAAATATAGGAACAAATTTTCAAATTAAATGTTTTCGGGGCCCGTTGCATAAAACTTACCATTGATGTAAACTTTGCCATTAATGGTAACTTCCATGGAAACATTGATTTGATTGGGCGTTGATTGACGATGCCATGGTAGTTAATATTGATAGCAAAGTCACCACAAGTGGTAAGTTTTATACAACGGGGTCCATTTGCGTTTAACTTCAGAAGTGAAAATGAAATAAAAGAATGATCCGACATTTGCTCCGACTGAAGTTGCTACTGACTCTATTTCGCCCAAGATGTAGGCCTATGCTTAAGGTGAGGATTGTAATTTGGTGACAGGTTAAGGGTGCTGTAAGATATTGAATAGGGTTCAGGGTTGAAGTTGGGGATTCAAACATTGTTGGAAAAAATTGCTATCGAAAGCAAGTGTCGTATACGATCTGTTATATTTACCTCGACCACAGTACGTTGCATTACCGGTCGTATCCCACTGGGTACCACGTAACGGTCCTTCTTCATCGGCGGAAGAAAAGGTAGGTCAGATGGTTCTTCTGAAAATTGATTATGGAGAAAACTAGCGGCACAAATCTCTGAAAGTATGATATGGTCATATGAATCTAAGTCTAAATGAATCTAAGTGTTAAAGGATTTCAACACTGCATCTATTTTGTTTTGTTTTGTTCTTCGTTTCGTTTTCTGTTTGTGACGGATAAAAGTCAAGACATCGGGAAATAAAACAATACCTGAAAAGATAAGCTTAGTGGTATACATAATTATAGGATAATTAGAAACAGGCAATAATATTTGTTGGTCAAGTCACATTATTTTGTTGTGTACTGCAAAAGAGATTTTATCAGTTGCTTTAGTGGATAAATTCAATCAAAATATGAATCTGTTGCGAAAATCCTTCCAAAAATATTTGTCAAGTAATAGACCTGCGACATAATTTGGGTGATAAATTGCATGGAAGAGGACACCGTTACGTTTCCACAAAATGTCGTATACTCGATGGAAACAAAAACCGAAAAAAACAAATAGTTTTTTTCTCTTTCATGATATTCGATTCGTCCGTCTTGAATTATCGTTCTTCCTTCGAATGCGCTGGTATAGAGTTCAAATGAGACAAGTATCCCCCCCCCCCCTCTCGCCCCCGTTGGTCGGCTCAGACTATATGTATCTAAACCCTTCAAATACTTATTGAAAACAAGTGTTTAGCTGCCCCTCCACTCAAATGCCCTTACTTACCGCGAGAAAGAGTTCAAAAGAGGCGAGAAGTTCCCCTGCTGGTCTGATCCCTCGCTGAAGGCTATGCCAACCGAGTCTGCACACCTTGCGATCGGAGGGGTCTACTTTCACGAGTGGCTTGATGATGACTCGACCTAGAAACTCATCATTCCTCTGTGGTAAAAATAGATTAAGAAAAATAAAATAAGAATTTTTCGAGAGAGGAGAATCAATATTGACTGTAAATAAAGATATTTCGCTGGATATCCTCTTTTAAGGATATTGGGTAAAGTACCGTAATTTTGAATCGGTAGAAACGGTTCTTTAAAAAAAGCGTCTTCTCCTCCAATCTGCTTTTGGTCCTTATTCGTCACTTATTCTTGACCCTGGGAGGAAATAAATTTACAACAGCTTTCGCATCTCAAGTCTTGAAAAAAAAAATACAATGCGAAAGGAAATGATATAATAATGGTTGCATATTTCCCCAATGCTGTCCACCCTCGTTGAATTTGGAAATGTATATGTATATATATAAATATATATTTATATGTATTGATGCCTTGTAGACATTTTAATTACTCATTTTCATTTATTCAATGAGAATAATTTTAATGCAAAATCTCACATAGGCATCGTAATCGAAGAGCTCGACGACGATGTCGGGTGGATGTCGAGCAAGGAAGCCTGGGTTTCCGTGGACGACGATCTCTTCGAAGACGAGAGTCTGGTCCCACGTCGGCGAGAGCGAGTGTCGGATGACATGTGTTCGTTGACTACGAAACAAAAGGCTCACGAAGGCGAACGGGTCTAACCAGATCAATGTAAAAAAAAAAACATTTAGAAGTTAGGGAAGGGAAGTGAGAGTTTTTAAGGTTCAAGTTGACATTTAATCAGATAGGACCTCGAATCACTCATTCGATATTTCGTGATATAAACTCCCGTTTTTATGTCGTGTTTTCTACAACAGTTATCAAACGACCATAAAACCTGAATAATTAAATTTTGAAAATCATTTGATCAATATTTTAGTACTTGTAAGCAAATAATTTGTCAGCAATTTCCTCCTCACCCCCATCAAATCTAATCAAAGACCTTTACAAAAACACGATCGAAGAGACTGTCGAAATATCAGTCTGATTTCAAAACCATTAGCGCTGTCCTTCATCCATTGATCTAAACATAATTCCAAGGGATACAACATATTTTTAATTATACCCTCAGGCTAATTTCTTGAAAGTCTTCGCGATCGTATTAAGCATCTTTTACTTCAAATAAAGTCTTTTTTACATTTTTCTCAAACCATAAAGAGTATACGCATATGTACAAAATTGTGTACACATACGTTTGACAAATAAAGGTACAATGGAAAACAAGATTCTAGTATCTAAATAAGTGTTAAATATTCATTATTTTGTAGCTCTTCTCCTGTTTATGACATGGTGGTAACTTACCTGAGAAACTGTCAGAGTCGGCTGCTATCAGGTTCCGAGCCTGAAACATGTATGCACGCAGTTGGTACTTGTGTGTTTCTGAAAAGAAATATTGACATATTCAAAACTGTAAATGGAAGTCAAGAGGGAAGGGGAAGAAGAAGGAATGGAATACAAAAGTTGGAAACGGGTGCTTCTGTTTTGGAGACCTTTTCTAGGTCTTCAAATATGACTTCTAATACATTTCGAGAAATGATTCGATAGCCATTTATCAAACTTATAACATACTACCATTTGATTTGTGTCTGAAACAGGTTTTTGGGGTGCTCCGAGATATAAAAATAAATGGGCCTACTTTAAATATCATTGTGACGAGCAGGGTTTGGGTCTGTATTTCGCATTCGGCTTTTAAAACATTTGATTTCACTTATCCAATTACATTCATCACAGAAATATCTTGCTTTAACCTGACGGCTCTTCTTTTACAAGTCCCTGCGTCAGGACTACTCTTATGACTCAACCACTCAAATTTAACGTATTAGGGCCTACACTTCGTTGGTAAAATGCAACACAGCTCCTTCTTTATATTTCACAGAGTTTACTTACCTTTTGCTTCCAGAAGAATTCGTGGAACGGGCTGATCATGCTTCTCATTCTTGTCGTCGGTTATCTACGGAAAATTGTTTTCAGAGATAATGCCTAAAAACATTGTCGATGTTCAATAGGAAAGCTTTAGCTACATACATAATACTCGTTTGTTGAGAGCCAGAAGGGAGTTACCCATATATTTAAACAGAGTGTTAGCGCCCTTTTGCCTCACAACAGACTTTTAACCGACCCTTTTTGGTCTTGCACTCATCAAAGTGTATTGTAATATCATCATCATCATAATCATCATCATCATCATAATCATCATCATCATCATTTTATCATCATCATCATCATTTCATCATCAGATAAAAGTCAGCATTTCCCTATTACGAGGGGTTACTGACTTATGGCGCCATGATGACACTCCCTCCCTCCCTCCACTTCTCCACTTTTCCTTGTCTCGAGCAACCTGCTCATTTAGATCAACCTTACTGCATTCTTTTTTCACCATGTCTTTCCATGAAACCCATTGATATTTATGATATACATGTACCAGTCAAACCTGCTTTAGTGACCACTTGTCTACTAAGACCACATTTTGCGTTTCCCTTGAAAATGGTTTCTAATTGAAACGTGTACTAAAGGAACCTGTCTACAAAGACCACTTTTTGTGTTTCCCTTGGGTGGTCGCTATAGACAGGTTTGACTGTAGTTGTATCACATACCGCTCTCTTGAGGGAGAAGATTGAAGCTGCCTTTTCTGTAGTGGCCACCATCTTACGATGCAATCTGCGCCTTCGTACCATGTCCATCTTTCTCTCCGTAGCGTGGAATCTCATGTTGAACATCGGTGCATATTCCCAGTCGTCACCGGTACGTTCTTCTTCTTTCGCCTGTTTGATGAAACAAACGATTACGAATAGTACTGGAATTATAAATGCTTCATTGATTCAATTGTATTTATTTAATCATCGAGGAGGAATTGAAGTGATGTTATCTATATCAATGAAATTCTGCTGTAATTTTGTAGTTGTTGTGTTTTCATAAATATCTTCTATCAGGTAATACCAAATTTATAGAACGGTTTTCAGGAATTCATTTTAGAAGAGGACAACGTAGAGACAGTGCCCTAATTTTCAAGTACCCCTAAAGTGATTTTTTTTACATAGGAAAAGTGCCCCCTTTTACTGCAGATAAGTATTCCTTTTTATTTCTAATAGGTGCCCGTTCCACATTTTTATAAACGCCCCCTTCACCGAAGATAATTGCTCCTATTCAGATCTGAGAGGTGCCCATCTCAAATTTATAAGAGCCCTTTTCTTTTGTAATAAGTGCCCATATCCCTTTTGAAAAGTGCCCCTTTACATCTTTAACGAGTGCTCCTATTCACCTCTCATAAGTGCCCCTTTTATTTTGGCACGTGCCCCCTATCCTTTTTTAATTAGTGCCGTTTTCCTTCTGATATTTGTCCATTTTTCTTTGTACTAAGCTCCCTTTTACCGTTCTCATAAGTGCCTTATTCCATCTCTGATGAGTGCCTCTTATCATGTGCGAGTAGTGCCCCATTTTCACCTCTGATAAGTATGATTTTAACTATGACACGTGCTCTCTTTTTTTTAAAACACAAAACTAATACATTCCCTTGTATTCTAACCAAGTCCAGTATATGAGAATGACGAAATGCGCATGGAGACAAGGAGGATGAATGTCTTTAAATACCTCTTCGACTTTGAATCCTTTGATGAGTGATCTAGGTCGCACCCATCGCTTCCTACGGCACATGTGGTACGTCTTACATCCAGGAGTCCACGAAGCCGAAGTAGACTCAATACAATACTCGTATCCTAATAAAGAGTTCATGATAGTGACTTCATTAAAGATTTGACATGGTGCATATTCTTTAATATAATAATAATAACAATAATTCCGCTTTTATATAGCGCTTAATATGTCTTTAAGCGCTTTACAGATATAACATTACCCCGGTCATTGGATTAAATACTTGCCCGCACACACTGTGTGCACAATCTCCACTCCCTGTGGAGTTATATCTTAGAATATAAGGGAAAAACATCTATGAAAATGATCAACGTTTTACACTGAAAAGGGAAGAAGATTCTCTTTCCGGAAACACTAGCCCGAATATAGGGCATCAGGAGCCTTTTTACACCGAAATTCTAAAAAAATTAACACTTTCTTCAGGTGCCTTGTTTTGGGACTCAAGCACATTCTTCTTTTGTATAATCTGCATACCCCCCCCCCCCCGGGCAACGGCCTTTATTCCACTATCTGACCAGCGAGAGCTAGGAATAACTTAAATCACAGACGAATTCTTCCCATCCTCGGACACCCTCTTTCAAGTTTTAAAGGTAAACATATGAACACCATTTCTATCATCTTCGTTGACGACGGAAGGTAATTTCGACATCGTTCTTACCTTCCTCATCACAAGCCCTGTTGATGTCGACCTGCCAATCATCGTCCCATTGCCATCCAGGCGGACAGTTGATCTTCTCCCTGGGAAGAACAGGGTCGCCTTTCTGGTGGAGTCGAGCAAGAGAGATACATTTGGAAAGCTTGGATTTTTAAGTTATTTTTTCGTGTGGTCAGACGTGCTTTGGGAGGATATTAAGAAAGCAACGATTTCAATGTTTTTTCACGTGTAGTCGACTCAGTTATATCTACAACATAGGTATATAAAAAGACTTAACTTCTGTATTGCTCCACCTATACTGAACATTATTCCGGGAAATGGTAATGATAACGGTGAGGAGGAGGAGGAGGAGGAGGATGACGGTGGTGATGGTGGTGGCGACGATGATGGTGTAGTCAGAATGGTAATATGTTGATATGAACACGATTCTTATGATAATGTTGGTAATGACGATGATGGAAGTTATTGAAGGGATGATGATGGTGACGATGATGATGATGGTAAATATCATAGTGAAGATGATGGTGGTGGTGGTGGTGGTGGTGACGATGGTGATAATGATTAAAACAATAGGTATTATGTTGTTTGTGAACACAGTGCTAATGATAATGTTGGTAATGACGATGATGGAAGTTATTGACGGGAAGATGATGGTACCGATGATGATGATGTTAGTTATCATAGTGACGATGATAATGGTGGTGGTGGTAGTGGTGGTGTTGGTGACAATGATGATGATGGTAGTTATCATAGTGACGATGATAATGGTGGTGGTGGTAGTGGTGGTGTTGGTGACAATGATGATGATGATCAAAACAATAGGGATTATGTTGATTGTGAACTCAATGCTAATGATAATGTTATCAATGGTGATGATGATAGTGTTAGTGGTGACGATGATAGCGATGGTGTTGATGGTGATGATAATGTTGGTGGCGGTGGTGGTGATGGTGGTGGTGGTGGTGGTGGTGGTGGTGACGATAATAGTAATGGTCAGAATAATGGTGAATCTGTTGATTTTGAACACAGTGCTAATAATAATGTTTGTAATGATGATGAGGATGATGATGGCGGTAGTAATTATATTGATAATGATGGTGGTGATGGTGGTGATGATGATGACGATAGTGATGATGATGGTGCTGATGATGATGATGATGGCGATGATGACGACGGTAATAATTATGGTGATGATAATGATGACGATGATGGTAATGACGATGGTGGTAGTGATGGTGGTAGTGATGATGTTGGTGTTGAGGAGGAGGAGGAGGCAGAGGATAGTGATAATGTTGATGATGATGATGATAACCACAACGATAATGATGACAACGATAATAATAGTGGTTTGCTCAACACAATAATACGTAATGTAAATGGTTTATAGTACTATAAGGAGATTGATACCTACCACAGTAGTGTACGGGATACCAGCCAAGGCAAATTCGCCTCCAGGGATGTAGCGGATGGACTGCTCGAAGCAATCCTCCAAGAAATGATCCAGTCCTGCATCAGCGTCGTACAGGAGACTACAAAGAAACATGTATTATAATATACCACGTTCTCCTAATTTAACATGTATGTCCGCCCCGTGCCCCCCCCCCCCCACCCCATCCCCGCTCTTGACTGATACTAGTTTTCTCTGTAGTCTTGATCTTCTATATATATTTAGAGTAAACTAATTTTATTGATTATTGATCTTTTGGCAAACAAGGACTGATTTTTGGCAAGCTTCTGATTTTCATATAGCAATTTCATATATAAAACAGATGGGGTAGACAGTTAAAGAGATCAAAATGAATTGCAAAATAAACTGAAAAATATAGAGAACGGTTGGAAGGTGGCAGAATAGAGAAGGAAGAGGAGGAGAGAGATAGAGAGAGACAAGAGAGAGAGAGAGGTGGGAGTAAGAATGTGGGACGAGAAAGAAATGGAGAGAGAGAGAGAGAGAGAGAGGGGGGGGGGGCTGAGAGGTATGACAAGTTGGGAGAAGCAGGTACATGAGTGGAGAGAATAAATTTGGTGAGACAAAATAAAAAAGGAGGGAGTGAGAGAAGGGCAGTGTTGGGAGGGAGTAACTGGTGGTATTACCTTGCATCCAGGCTGACGGTCCAATCAGGGCTTACCCAATCCCATCCCTCTGGTGTGACGAAGCTGTTCTTGGGGAGGTTAAGCTGTGTGTGTGTGAGAGAGAGAGAGAGGGGGAGAGAGAGAGATAGAGAGAGGGAGAGAAAGAGAGAGACAGAGAGAGAGAGAGAGAGAAATAAAATAGAAAGAGAGTTAGAGAGAGAGAGAGGAAGACAGCGGCAGAGAGAGAGAGAGAGAGAGAAGGAATGACAGAAACATATAGACAGAGGAAGAAAGAGAGAGAGAGAGAAAGGGAGAAGTAAGGTCAAAAGATTTCTTACAAAGAATGCAAAATGTGTACTACTTTGTCCCAAATAAAGCTATATTTACGATGAAGAAAAAGAAGTCAAGCGAGCCATGTGTTTCCCTCGCTGTACATCAATATATCAATTTTGCTCTAAATATTGATACAAAAGGTAATGAAGAACGGAAGGAAATTCAAATGAAAGAGAAAACAATCTCTATCTCAAAAAGCAATATAAACCAAACAACACAATAATAATAAGTATGTGATATGTGATTGTAAAGATAATCAGCAATATCTTCAAATTACCTTTCCAGTTGAGTCCGAAAATTTCGGTCTTGTCAGACCCTTGTCAGTCCACTGGCCCAAGATGTTGAGTTGATTTTCATACTGAAAATAATCATTATAAGCAGCATTATAACATACAATAATAGAACATTAGGCGTACTATCATTATAGTATTGCTTGATATCATATTTATATTAAGGTAATGGAAATATCAACAAATTATAATAATAGATACTGTCATATTGCAATATTTTCACGTGATACTGTGGAATAATCAGGCTTTGAGCAATGGTCTTATGAAATAATTGTCATTACTTGACCATGGCTCATAGCCAATTTCTAATTTTTCCCAGGTTACTCAACTTATTCTATTTGAAGACTATGTGAAGTGGTTTACCGGCACCGTCAGTGGCATGTCCAGCTCTCTGTCCGGCAAACTAACTGAGCTTCGGGGGGGGGGGGGGTGATTAATTTAAAGGTTTGTCCTCAGACGTAAATACACATATCTGACTGATACATGTACATACAAACCTAATTACACACAAACGCACACGCACGTACGCACGCTCACCCTCGCATACACATACACACATTATGCATGCGTGTGCGTGTGTGTGTAAAGTAAAAAATAAAACACTGGAAGAAAATAGATAATAATTTTTTTTGTATGTGACCTGTATCCTCCCACCCCCCCCCCCCCCCCCCCAAAAAAAAAGGGAAAAAAAAAGAAAATAAAGGATACTGGGTTTTGGTTAATTACCGTTTCAGCGTAGACAGCTATAGTTGAGTCGGACATTCCCTTGCGAAAGTTTTCACTATGGCACTCAAGTCCTAGCCATAGTTTGAGTCTGAGCATTGCCGGTATGGCGTATTTATCATCCTGCTTCCCTGCCACCTTCAGATACTGAGAAGAGAAGATGGAAGGGAGAGGGAATGAGAGAGACAGGGATGAGGGAGAAAAGAGGAGAGAGGGGGTTGAGAGTAAGGGGAAGAAGAGAGTGGTGGAGAAAGATATAGGTGGAGAGAGAGAGAGAGAGAGAGAGAGAGAACATGAGATAGAAAGAGAAAGAGAAAGAGAAAGAGATATAGATTTTTTTAAAAGAGAGAGATAGAGAAATAGAGAGTGATAGAGAGACATGGAGGGGCGCACAAAGGGCACACAACCCTCAAAATAGGGGATAGCAATAGATACTGTATCATTGGAAGCACAAAACAAAAAACAACAACAACAAGAAAGGAAACTTGAAACCCAAAAATTATTTATTAACCCCCCCCCCCTCCCAAGAATAAAGGTACATTTCTGTAGCAGTCTCAAGTGAGGATTGCCCACCATTACCGTAGCTTGGGGTCATTTTTTTGTGGGGGGGGGGGAATAAAATTTTTTTGTCTTTAGCTGATTAGATCAGCGTTTGTTCACCTTTCTGTATAGTCGACCCAATCAAAAATTTATCAAAGAAGATTGGTCTTCCATCCCTCGGCAATATACGGGCAAATTTTTCGCATGACGACCGAAGTGTCTTTTGCGCGAAAATATACTATCCGGATCCGAAATATTGCGACCGATAACTCTTTAAAAATAAAATAAAAGTAATTTTCTCTTCCCATACCTTGAGGAAGTAGCCGAATGTTCTTCCGCAGAACCTTCCACAAGCCTCCCTCCGGCGCTCCGAGTAGAGAACTTCGTAGGCAGGTACCCGGATGTAGGCGATTCGTTTTGATCCGCAGATCATCCAGATCACGACGTCAGGGAGGCTGTTTTGAGGCTGGCAAAGGTACATTTTCGAAAAGAAGATAGGAAGAGAGATATTTTATTAAAATGTTAATTGTACATGGGTGGCACGTAGGCCCACGGTGTGCGGGTATTGTAATGGCATTCACAATGATGGCTAAACAAACTATAACCCCACCATTGGTAGCTTATTAGCAAGTGATGATGATATATATATATATATATATATATATATACGTATATATATATATATATTTTAACGACTTTAAAGTACCATGTCGCACAGAAGAAGGGCAACAAAGAACTTAATAATAGGTATAGCACACCAAAAATAATTACAACAAACACATGTTATTTGATGGTTACAAAATGATCAAGCTTTATGAAAGCTTCAAAAACAAAAAACAGAATTGAAATCGGTCAATGCGTTGTGATTTTATACCATTTTTTTGATATCGCAAAATTACCGAAAAACCTGCCAGAAATGGTCAAATTGGCAAAAATGGCATAATTCGAAAAAGTTGACAAATTAATTCATCACTTTCTTGGACACAAATAATAATTTAAATTATCAGACACTAAAATATCATCTTTGTGGTAAAGAATACAAAAAAGAAAATTCATATATCTATTACCGTTTTGAAAACAGAAGCCAACAAAATAAGTAATTTTTGCCATTTTTGCGAATCTGCAGATATAAAAAAGTTGTGAAAATAACTAAGTCCGCCTAATTAATATGCGCATAGGTAATCAAATCAAAACCGAACATGATACATCAGTGAAACCTATGTATATCAGACAGGTATGGAAATATGTTTCATTTGAAATAAAAATAAAAATCATGAATATATCAGAGAGGTATGGAAATATATTTCATTTGAAATTAAAATAAAAATCATGAATATTCATCAAATATGCAAATTAGTTCATTTCAGCTAATTATATATTCGCGCACTCATTATGCAAATTAGGCAAGTCAAACTGTTCATTTTGGGGGCATTTTTTAAATCATATATTCATAGATCATATTTACACCAAATATTAACCTTAAATTCTAAATATTTTTGCAATGCCAATCAAATATGGCGATGGAAATTACTTGGATCACCGTCACAGCTATTTTCTCATGTGTTTCACAAATTATTCAGAAAAACCGATCATATGATAAGAATTTGTAGACTTTCAGCTACATCACAGTATATTTGCCTATTTAAAAAATGTCAGATTTGAGGATTTACGACGATTTTCCGAGAAACCATTCAACAGGACATAACACTCCACAAGGACTGAATTACAGAGTAACAAAAACCTTTGGTGATCTCAGTACAGTTGTGGCTACCTTAAGTGTAAATAACAAATTGATTCAATGAGTGAAACATATGAGGATATTGCATTTTTGTAGGGGAGTTTTATACATTGAGGTGCATTTTCACCACGCAGAATGAGCAGCGCGAGTCAATGGGCGATCAGCGGGCCATGTCACACATGGCTGAAAAGACAATATTCTAATTAAATAATTAACATATTTCCCACATGCCTATAACAATTAAACTACACAGAATTGTAGTTAAAGGTATGCTTAAAATATATGTGAAATAAAAATTTAAAAATATTTTTTAATTTTTTAAAAATACATTTACAAAAATTGCTATTTCTACCAACTGACTGCTGTTGTGTGTGTGTGTTTGCGGGGCAGACTGTTTGCACAGGCAGTATGATCACCCTATTAATAATTTGCAAGAGGAGGAGAAGTATGTATTCTATCTGTCGTATCCATGTTGGACATGATTAGAAAGCTCCATCCGCTAATCGGAATTCAGGATTACTTAGTAATGTGAGGATTCATGCTAAAATGTTTTCTTATCATAAAGTAAGTTTTACTTTCTGACAACGAATTCGACAGTATTGTTACATGTAATAATAATAATGGTATTGGATTCTTATATAGCGCACGTATCGACCTTGCAAGGTCCTCAAGGCGCTCCAACATTACCCGGCTATGCTATAGGCTGCCAATTTCGACGCTCACAGCATTTTAAGGAATTCCTTCCTACCGGTACCCATTTAACACCTGGGTGGAGTGTGGCAAATGTAGATCAATGTCTTGCCAAAGGACATTAGTGCCACGGGGGGACTCGAACCGCGGACCTTGTGATCGACAGTCCGGCGACGTGTCCACTCATCCACGACACCTATACTTTAATGTACTTTAATATTCATTTGTCGTTTTGATTTCAATGATTGCACAGGTCAACTGATTACCTCGACTGCGATGTCCTTGAGCATGACCAGGTACTCTTCGAGTTCATCCACCGTTTCGTCGGGTTCGATGGCTTCCTGACGGAGAATCGTTGCTCGTCGCACGATCTCCAGCTTGACCCGTCGTCGAAGCTCGAACCTCCGATGGTCGAGCTGGTTCGCGTATTTCTTCATGTCCCCGAAATCAGGTAAGGGTGTCCTGAACAAAAGAAATAAATAAACATTCACTAGCAAAAAAGCCAATCACAGAAACTGTCTCATTAAAATGCCTCTGTGTAGAAAATGAATAAGAAAAAAAGTGTGTCAGATCAAAGTGTGTCAGGTAGGTCAGAAAGAAGTGGTACAGTAAATAGAAACACTCGCAACGGATAATGCAAATGAGATTAGAATATACTTTTTTTTGGTGGACAGTTGCTAAAATTGATTTTGATTTATCATTATTGATTTACCAATAGAAGCCATAGGAATGAACTCATTCGCATGCATAACTTGTATAACATGTATAACGAATTATTTACTTTGATTAATAATTCATTTCTTTATCATTTTTTCAAGCATACATTTCACCCTCTCTTTCTCTCTCTCTCTCTCTCTCTCTCTCTCTCTCACACACACACACACTCATAAAAAAATTGGATAAACCTGTACACTATCTTACTTGCAGTCTTCAATGAGTTTGTCGATGGCCTTGATAACTTGAGTTGCCACTTCGCTTTCACTTGCTCCTGATTTTATACACGTCTTCACATGCTCGATGTGTTTTTCCTAATAGAAAAAAATGACATTAAATTTATGTTTCTTTATCCTCTTGTAACAAAACAAGTAGATTCCACCAGGCGCGTACGCAGGGGGGGGGTTTGGGGGGTAAACCCCCCCTTTGGAAATTTTTTGTGTGTAAACCCCCCTAAAAAAAACCTAAAACCCCCCCCCCCCCCCTTTTGGATTTTTTTTTTTTTTTTTTTTTTTTTTTTTTATTATTAAAAAAAAAAAAAAAAAAAAAAATTATTCCCATGGCCGACCTAAAAAAGGTGAACCTTACCCCCCCCCCAACGGAGCAAAATGTCAAATTTCCAAATTTCGAGACCAAAAAAAAAAAAAAGTGTCCTCTTACCCCCCCCCCCCCCCCCCCCCCCCCCCCGCTTATTCAGCGGTCGGCTGAGTCGTTGCGATTTTTTTGGGACCAAAAAAAAAAAAATGTGTCCTCTTACCCCCCCCCCCCCCCCCCCCCCCCCCCCCCCCCCCCTTATTCAGCGGCTGGCTGAGTCGTTGCGAAATTTTCAGACCGATTTATAAATGTTAAAACCCCCCCCTTGAAAAAATCCTGCGTACGCGCCTGGATTCCACATTGACAACAAGTAGAGTAGTGACGGAGGGGGAATATTACTATGAGCGGCCTCACGAGCCAAAATTAACAGTGATTAGAATAAATAAACACTGATTAAAAAAATAAACAAATAGTTACTGGAAAAAAATCTACAATCTTAAAGAAAACAGAAGATAAAATTTTGATTTATATGAGTGTTTATTTGTTTATTTCGTCATTGTTAATTTTTTGCCTCTTTGACCGCTAATAATATTTAACCGCTAATATATATTCAACCTAAAATTGACATCATGAAAGCCAACGTTGAGCAATTATCAAACCTTGTCAGTATATGGTGGACCCTATGAAAATAATCAGCTGTTGGTGTTTAAGTGTAACATCTAATGGGAGGAAAATTGAATAAATGAATTAAATGAATTAACTAATTAATAAATTCAGTCATTCATTAATTAATATATAAAGTTTCTGCAAACCTATTTACATGAAACATTATTTAAGAAAAAATTGAGAGTTTAATCATTAACAGTCTTTTCCAGTGTAACTGCTCCCACTAGTAGTTATCAAGTTATTTTATGTTGGGTTTGCTTCTTTCATCTTACCAGTTTGGCAACGATGTGCAAGAGAACGTTGAGGGCCTCGAGTCTGAAGCTGATGTCCTCCCATTCGCTGTTGATGGCGATCAGCGGCTTCGTTTTCGTCCAGGGAAGAAAGTAGTAATGGTTGCCATCGAACACGGTATTCGTTGGTTGCGTAGTCGACGGTTGAGGTGGGACGCGGTCGTCGAGTTTGTTGCCGGAGTTACCAATACTCACCTGAAGGGTATAGCGAAGAGGGGGAGAGGGAGAAAGAGAGATATATATATATATAATAGAGAGAGAGAGAGAGAGAGAGAGAGAAAGAGAGAGGTGGAGGGGGAAGAGAGATGGAGAGAGACAGGGGGATTTAAGAGTGAGGAGAAAGAGAGAAGTTGAGAAGAGATAAAGATATTTTTAAAGAAAGAACGAGACCAAAAAAGAGAGAGAGAGAGAGAGGGGGGGGGGGGGGGGGGGGGGGGGGGGGGGAGAGGGGGGGGGGAGCAAAAACAAGGCATGGCTCAGAAACATATTGATATATGGATAGTTAACAAAGGTATTCGATTTTCTCTTTCATGTTGGGTACAAATGTATTACCCATAAATGAAATACAAGTATAAATTGAGCTGTACAGGTTTTATCATTATTTAATTTAATTTTCTTCAAGCGAGGTTTTGAATTCTATGATTTCAATACATATGTACACTGATTGTTCAATGATTGAATGGAAACAAACAATTTAATTATATTCAAATAATTTTCCAGCTTAGTATTATTTTTTTCGTTAACACATTCATACATCAAAGGGAATGGGTAACTTGGCCTCAGATTCTATTAAAAAAATCCTGGATTTAGCTCATGCTGTAATCAGAATTATAAATCTTTACGTCACACATAAATTCCATGACTTTTACAAGCCAATCGCCTGTCTGATTATCAAGATATCTATGATTGAAATTAGAAATTTCAGAATACTTTTTCCTAACGGTTTTTATAACACTGCAGTCTATTTGGAAAAATGAGTATGGTAAGACCGGTCACTCAAAGATTTTTACTTTTTTGAGGCACTTCATGATCATTTTGAATCGCAATTTCTTTAGGGCTTCAATATTACACCATATCACAGACACTGGTAACACACAGGGCCATGCATTTCAAATTTAATATTAGCCTTTAAAACAACAATCTTAGGGACGACTTATCAAAAACAAAGCATGCGGGTGAATAACTGAATAATCTTTTTAACGTAACTTTTATAAATTGCATATTGCGCTGATTTAAAATAATATTTAGGAGATTAGATTTCTTGTTTCGTATGTCCTTACCTACAACTAATATATCTTTTGGTTTATTTGTAGTTCTACTTGGAATAGGTGAAATATCACATTACATATCATCATCCAAAACATAATCACATCCTAGCAATATAACAAAAGATATAACGTTGAATCAACTTTTCCACAAGTGTTGCATAATTATTTATATTGATATATTTTCCTTTTAGGCAATAATCCGGTAAATCATCTTGAAAAAGAAAAAAATTACACTATTACATCCTTCCAAACAAAATTTAATATTTGTATATTGTATTCGTAACAATACATGACATAACAATAATTTACATGCGATTTGACAATAATACAGTCTCTATTCAGGAGTTTAAATCTTTCAATTGTAATTGTAGTTCAGTATAAATCTTACCCGTAAGGACAATCGCACCATTAAATCTGAAGATACAAGCATTCTACTAATTGTAGGACTGACATGGATAAAATACAAAAGAACCCATGCAAAGAGGAGTTCAAAACGTGACCAGGTATTTGATTAACCTACAACATTTTTTTTTGAAAGTGGTGCTGAATTGGTATGATCGTATTGGCTAAATTTAATTCGTTTTGGGGTCTAAAATTACCTTAACAGCAATTTTAGGTCCTAAAGGACACTAAAAACGTCGTAAGTAAGAATAAGAGCAATAACCATGTACTTTGAAGGCATTTTTGGTCTGAAACAAGAACTCAACTATCCCTTCAACCCTCTTTCGCACACAAATTTTCCCGCCAACCCAAAACAAAAATTACCTCAAATTCCACTGGATGATCTGTCTCGCTGACCATGGTAGCATTAATAAAGGCGGCATAGAGATGGTATTTCCGAAGTCGTCTGTATTTGTCCACCCTCTGAATGTCATGAGCACTGATGCTTACGATGGGCTCATCGGGCGGGTCCCCAAGCTCTGTAGCCAAGGACACTAGGACACGCCCCCTGTAGGCCGCACCCTCCCCCTGCAATGAAAAAACAACAACATGAAATTAATAGAATGTGGTTGCATGCTGCATGAAACCTATATAAGCCTTTTATACGTAGAGTCTTTCTCTTACTCGTCCAATATGAAACGTCCATATTTATAGTGATACAACTTTTTAAAAACCTATACCTTTTCGTGAGATTTTGTTCAAACCGTCACAAATAGGTTTCTCTTTTATTTGCCTTCTTTCAAACGACTTGGTTTTATGATCGGATTTCCCTTTGTTCAAAATTGAAGTTGGACTCGGTATCGATATCCTTACCAGAAACCGGGGACAGTGCTTTTCTCATCATTTTAATCGCAAAAACCCTTTACTGGATTTTAGGGGTGAAATGATTCCAAATATAAGCGAACAAAAATTGATGTGCGTCCCTTGATAATGACGTACTAATATTTATAAAGCGCTCAAATACCTTTCTGTAGTAAACGCAATTTTACAAATCTAGATTATTGTTAACTTTTCAATTGAACCCCTGGGGAACCTTGCACTGATATCGCAATAAACTTATTTCGTCGTTCGTTGATTAGGATTAGTTACATCATTAGGAATAGGAATTAGTTCTATGAGCTATTTTGTCGTTGTCCCGAGTCAAGGCCGCGTCTGCAAACCTGAGTTTGAGACCTTCAATACAGGAATGGACTTTTAAGTAAATGTGAAACCAATAAAATATCAAGAAGCAGTGGTTTAATGTTGACCCATCTATGAAGAAAGGGCTACATTATCGGGGGGGGGGGGTACCGCTTTTTATCTGCAAGATGAAATCCGTTTAACTAAACCAAAGGTTTGAGGTTGCAGGAAGAGTCCTATAATTTTGATTCTCATTGTCCCTTTTCACTTCTCCCTTTTTTTTATTTCCCCCTTTTTGCCATTTGATTTGGGGCATGTGCCCCGTGCCCCGCGCGGCTACGCCATTACTTTTTTACGATAAGTTCATGAGTTAGAAGCTTACCCGTCCCATGTTCAGAGCCTCGTGGTCATCATTGAAGGTATCAAACTCGCGAGGGGAACCGTAGAAATTGACGAAGCATGGTCCAAAAGTCGGAAGGAATCCTAGGAAAAATAATAACACAAGAAGAGATTCAATCATGTGGTATTTCTATGGCTCTAAGAAGAAGAATAAGAAGAATGCAATTTTTCTATTTTCGTTTAAGTTCTAAAAGCTTCCAAATTGAAAGATAATGTAGAAAATTCTGATAATCTGTACGATACCTAAAGAAAAAGAACGTGTAAACGCAAATATGGGGTTATGCATGCGATTCAATCAACATAATGTAAACACTACAGTGCAATCGCTACAACAAACGTCATATAATTTCACAGCAACTAAAGTATCTAGCATGAACCTGCGCAACAAATACTGTATAACAAAAATCAAAGCTTTTCATTAAAAATGTTAATTCATCATGGAGCTACGAGCTTAAATAAAAGAAGCATACTACTAGTAAGAGCATGCAGTGCATGGATGTTCACTTACTTTGTTCTCTCCTGTACTAAACCAAATATGTTCACTAGTACCCCACTCTCCCCTAAGATGTTAAGAAACATTGCGACAAAATAAATGTTCTGTACCAAAAGACGGAATAGAGATTGCAGAAAAAAAACATGCTTCCAACTACAAGCAAAGACATATTGAACAAGTCATGTAAACTAGCTAAGAAAGACAGGGAGATGCGACTCGAGACCAAAAGCTTTAATAAAAATGGTATCCAAAAAGGAATAGAATGAGAAAGTGCGGAATTAAACATTGCGAATTGTTGTATGTTAGCAGTGGCGTATCAAGTGATAGACAGAGCCAACGGACACCCCAGTTGGAAATACATTAATAAAAGCAATAATTTTTTTGAATAATTCATGTATATTTGAGTAGGAGGAGCTAACAGAAAAAGAACAAGACGAAGAAGCATACTACTAGTTAAAGCGTGCAGTGCAGTGATGTTCCCTTATTTTGTTCTGTCCTGTACTTAACCAAAGATTTTCACTATAACCCCACTCTCCCCTAAGATGTTAAGAAACATTGCGACAAAACAAATGTTCTGTACCAATAAGACTGAATAGAGATTTCAGAAAATAACATGCTTCCAACTACAAACAAAGACATTGTACAATTCATGTATACTAGATATAAGAAAGACAGAGAGATGCGACTCGAGACCAAAAGTTTTAAATCAAAATGGTATCCAAAAATGAATGGATTAAAAAAGCGCGGAATTAAACATTGCAAATTGGTGTATGTAGCAGTGGCATACCCAGTAATAGGCAGCACCAACGGACACCCCCAGTTGGAAATACATGAATAAAAGCAATATTTGTTTTTGAATAATTCATGTATATTTTAGTAGGAGGGGCTATTTCAGTTGAACCGGTACATAGGGAGTCGGTCACGGCAACATCTTATTTGTTCAGCCCCCCCCCCCCTAAAAGAAAGAGAATTGATGACAGCATAAAGTTCATCTTTTGCCTAAGATTATGAGAAAATCCTATATGATTATAAATTTCTGGGAAAGTAGGCCCCTAAATTACCCCTGGCATTTTGCCACATTTTGTATACTTTTTTTGATACACCACTTTCATTTAAGAGTCCTGCTAAATAAAGTGGTAGCCTATGAAATTTTCGTGGAGTCAATTGGAATAGCATTGTTGGTAGGTAGATCAAACCTACCCCTCCCCCTCCCATCATGCCTTCGAACAGAAATGGAATCTAACAGAATAGCATCTAGACCTAGATCTAGCACTACTACTACTAGTACTTTACTAGATCTAGAAGTCTAGTAACTGTTAGAGCTAGGCCCAGCACTAAAAGCAGTTAGATTGTCTTTCTCGTGGACCCTACCACTACCACTAATTATCAGTGAAATGTTTCCGATGTGGAAATGTGGAATAAAAAGCAAATAATCACATTTTAGTTTCAGGCTATGACAAACGATCGCTTCCTCGGCGATCTGAATGTAAACGCTATCTTTCCTCAGCTTCGCTTTGGAAAGATAGCTACATCCAGATCGCCTCGGAAGAGAATAGTTTTTCCCATCACCTTCACCCACGGTAATTATTTGCTTACTATTACTATTACAACCATGACCATCACTATCATTATCGCCAATACTATGATTATCATTTCTATTACCATCACTATTATTATTGATATTACCATCACTATCACCATCACTATAATGACTACAAAAAGTATTACTATCATTATTTATGTTACCATTACCTGGCACCGTATCTGCAACAATTTAAGGCATTTTAAAGAGGGAAAATAAAATCAGCGAGTTCATTAGTTCACTTTAACAAAAAAGGTTGGATGACGTTAAACCCTTGAAAGTGAGTTTTGTGCAAAGCCTTTATAAATGATATTGCGATAAGTGACATAATAAGAATGTGAGCAAGTTTTCTGATAATAATGAAGCATATTTCACAGCACCAGCACACGTGTTATTTTTCTACAAAATCCTTGATGTGCAGAATGATGACGTGCTGAAAATTATTCAGTCTAAGAAGATAGAATTATGTGATATGATCAAAAGTCAGAAAATGATTTAGTGCCCGTTATTTTTATTTTTTAATGTGAGTTTCAGTAAACGTGCGTATGCTCTTTGTGTGTAATCGCATATATTGTCTCACCAGTCTGTTCGGCTAATAAAATAGAGGAAATACGATTAAAACAAGAAGAAAAATATATACTTAATTATTTAAACCAAGAAACCTTTAGAATTTTTTTGTATGCTATATTCAATAAACAAGATAAACTAGAAAGAGTATTTTATGATGACTTTTATCTTGAAAAAAAAGAAAAATGCATGATAAATGTTAACGCAGTGTAGGGAAAAAAATTCAAGTTTCAAGTTGATTTATTTCCACTTTATCGAAATTTCGAAAATAACATTATTGAACATAATATACATAATAATAATAAGTTGCCCCCAACTAATCATACAAAACTCGGTTAATATGGTACATGGATTGATTTTAAGCATCATTTTGTAAAACTGATATCTACCTACGCAACATTTCCATGCAATCAAATTAAAAACAGTTTCAGTGAAAATGATTTTATACGAGTCAGTATTTAGTTATCAAACCATCATTCTCGTCAGTCTATTTCTTGACTTCTTTTGAACATTCGTCTGTATATTGTGTAAATTATTCACGTGTACCCAACAGTTGTTTCATTGTTTGTTTCATTTTAAGGTATTCTTTAGGGCCCATCTCATGTTCTATATCATGATGCTTTGTAATCGTGCTATCATGTAAATATTACTTGAATTAGTTTGAACTATCAAATTTGAGTTAACTTTTAAAACCCGATCGACTCTCTCAAAAATTCATAGGGCTGCCCACTATAAACTATTATATGCCGAATTACCTTTATTTTAAAACAAGAGGAAATAAACACTGTCATGAAAGTTTCTCTACATTTCGGATGTAAAGATTTTTAGTGTTAGGATCAAAAGTTTAATTCTCAAAGACAAGACATAAATACCATCATCTCCTCTTGATCCGATTGTATTGATATCGATGAAAGTGGTGGCGATGAAGTCATCCTTTGACAGCCGATCCCTTTATAAATAATATTATTCAAGGAAACAGAAAAGAAATACATACTTTAAATAACTAAATTATGTACATCCTTTGTAAATTCGATGTTCGTTTGTTCGATAGTCAAGAATGAACCGTGCTTAGGTTAAATTAGGGCCTATGTTTAATACTTTTAGATGCAAGCTTTAATATGTTACATTCTCAAGAAACATAAGTCGGGTCAAATCAATTTTTACGTACTTGTAAATTACAAAAAACGGTAATTGGGTGAATAATTTAGTTGTTAACTATACATTCCTTTATTATAATTCACTCACTTTCTTTGCTGGCGACTTTAGAGGAAAACACATTTCATGCTTGATAATTCTTCCAACTACTACTATTTTATCAACGAAAAATATCACAAGTTGAAATATGATTATCTGATACTTATTTACTCGTATTAAATTATGCGTTTATATTCTTGTAAATTCGAGTTTCGCTCATAATAACTGCTGTATTATGAAAGGTGTTAATGAGAGTATTATCTTTCATTATCTATATACCCACCTGATACTCAGAGAGAAATGATAATTAAAAAGTTGAGTTAAAGATTTCAAAGGAATGCACTCTATCAATAATGGGATTAAAAAAAATAACTACGAAAAACATTTTAAAGTATTTATGTCATATAAAAATCGTGTTTGGAAAACGACTTACCAGTCTTTCAATACAAATTTCAACCGCTCGCACATCGAAGGAAACTACGGAAAGGAAAGAATAGCAGAAAGATTATGTGATTAAATCATAACGATAATAATACTAGCATTTATAATAATGATATTGATATAACAATGATTATGATAATGATAATAATCATCATAATGATAGGAATAATATTATTGATAATTGTAATGGTTATAACAAAAACAACGACAGCATAATTACAACGGATGAGGAAAAACAAAATTAAAAAAAAGTAAAATTCTTACTCTGATTGGTAGTCGTAGTTCCTGGTTCCATTCAGGGTGATCATTCGTGTATTTCACATCTGTCTCCAACTAAGATAACAAACAAAGTTGAGATCAGTTAATATGCATTTTTTCTCTTATTTGCTTTGAAATGCCGTCGTATCTAATACAAGAAAAGAAAAATATTATTATCATAGAGATATCTGTATTGAAACAGTTGACAATCTAAAATTCATTCGACCCAACAATCCTTACGAAACGTTGTCAGTTTGCAGATTAGTTTCCATTTATCACCCACCAATTTTTCAAGCATAATTATTATGTCCTTTCCAGCTAAAACAGAGTTTACATTAATGATGCACTGTTTCTTTATAGAATAATAAAATAAGTAAATACTAATTGGTATTGATTAAATTCTCGTATATCAGCATCTTTGACTTGCAAAATTAAATAAAAAAAAGATGTAGCTATTATATACCAGTCTTACTGTGAGATCGTTTACGTTTAAAACGATTTCAATGGGCTGTTATGCGATTTTAACAAATTTTTTGGCTACCCGGTGAAGAGGTAGAGGAAACTTTGTCTCAGTTCTATGTTGATTAAGGCACTGGTTTATGATCACATATCCAAGAAACACAAACTCTTTCAACGATTTACTTCTGGTAATTTGAAATAAGAATTGTGATGGTACTAACCGACTTCCCGGCGAATGAGAAGACAAGATAGGGATCGACCAACTCCTTCTTCTCCTCTCCGACACGGAGGACTTTCTTCATCCCCTCGAAATAGGCTGCATCCACTGAAAATAAAAGTTTGATATAACAATTATCTTCTTTAATTCATGAGAAAGAGACAGAGAGAGATAGAGAGATAGAGAAAACAGAGAGACAGAGAGGGGGAACAAATAAACAAACAGACATACAGACAGCCAGACGAACAGAGAGAGAAATAGACAGACTGACAGACAGGCATAGAAAGGGAGAGAGCGAAAGACACACAGACACACAGATATTTTAATAGAGTGAGGCAGAGACAGAGACAGTGGTACACAGAGAGATAAACAGACAAACAGGCAGAGACAAGATAGACAGAAAATATAAGAGAGACAGAGATACAAAGAGAGAGAGACAGACAAACAGGGAGAAATCGAGCCGATTACTGTCTCAAGAACTATGTTCATGTAAGAAGCCTAAATTGGTCGGTGATTTTTTTTTTTTAATTGATGAATTAACCGAAAAAAAACTTAATGATCAGATATCCTATTGTAATTTTACTATTTTATTGGCAAAACAAAGTAATCACAAATGCTACAAGTACAAGTCTATGTGTACACAATTTTAAAGAAGCAAAAAGAGTGTCAGTTTACTCTGTGGTAGATCTTCGGCTTGGAAGACTTGAAGATTGAAGCACCCTCTACGAACATCCACTCCTGCAGGCTGAATCAGATTTCTGCCAAGTAAAACAAAACGTACGTGTAGTTTAAAGAATCCCTTTTAACTGTCAAGATAAATCAATACGTTCGTCTAAGCAATCATTGCTATCAATCGAAATTCTAAGACTGAAGCACTCTCTCCGAATATCCACACCGTCCTGCAGGCTGTGTCAGATTCCTGCCAAGTTGGTAGACATTATGATTAATGTAGTGTGGTTTTCCAAAAAAAATAATCGGAAGTGTAAATGTTCGCTTAAGCAATAATTGATTTAATAAAAACAGAAATCCCACTCCATAAAGGCAACATAAATTAGGAGTTTAAGCAAAGTGGTTAATTTTCTGTAAACACCACTTTTCCATAATTATAGATACTGAATATCATTCTACGTTGTAGTGAAATCTGAAATGACCCCTTTTTTTAATTTTCTGGGCGCACATGCCACAAATTTGGTTTTTCGCACCAGCGTATCAAAAAATGATTGGGCAGATTCCTCTCCGTACCAGGAGAGGGGGGCAAAACTCGACATCCTGCAGGGTGAGGAAGATGGGCCACACGCACAGATGACCAATGATTTTGCCCCCATCTCAAATGTCATTAAGTTTTAATAAAAATCACCGAAAAAAGGGGAAAATCAATACTTACGTCTCAATGTCTAGATCTTCTTCAGCTTTCTGGAATAACTGTTAGATAAGAAGCAAAATAATAATCATTGTACAGAGGTGGACCATCCCACAGATCAAAGCAAGGTCTCTTGCAAAACATAAGTATGTTTCAAATACTATTTTTTCCTGACCTTTGATGCGATTCCTGACATTCTTCCTTAACACTTTCAAGTGGGATTCGGTGAGTTCATTATGTAGGATGTATAAAAAAAGTATACCCAAATTTGGTAGATTCTCATTTAAAAGTCGAAATCTATGTGACCTTAAATTGTGTTTATGGTTAAGAACAACTAATACCCTGTCTAATGATACATTTACATTAATTTTGTGCATTAGAATAGATATTGTGTTAATGTCAACTCAAACTCGAGTAAAGGCTTATTACGATCAAAATATATGGTATTCCGTTCGTTCTGATCATGATGACGACATAATATTGGCTTCTCTCGCATCTCTTGTTTCATTGAGTGATTCGAAATGGATGAAGGTCATTTGGGATGCTGTCTATTGTTTAAAATGTAAGTCTATTTTTTATTTTTGTCAGTAGTTATCAACGTATTTGTTTTTCCTTGCATTTTAATTTAGTAAGCTTTGCATTTTCATGTGCTTTTCGAGATAAATATCTGATGTACCTTAGCGCGTGTGAAATGGCGCAATGGACAAGTGAGCAGAGAGTATTTAGATACCATGAGACAGGAAGTTAGTAGGCTGTTTACAATAATTTAAGTTTATCTCATGGATTTAAATAAGGTCCTGTGAAAGCTTAGATACCTTGGATCACTTTAAACAATAAAGCTCTGAAGCATGATGCTAGAAGTCAAATCCTTAAGGAACTTCAGACAAAAGAAGAACAGGTCTATGGCTTGACCCACGTTAATTGCATCAGCCAGCACTTGGTACAAGGCGATTTTGACAAGACTTTTTAAATACCCGGTGTTGCTCAGTCACCAGTCAAGAAAAAAAATGAGTAGGGTATCATTAGACAGAAAACAAGTTACTCTGCATATTGAAATATAATTAACAATCACATTGGTTATGACTTTTTGATTAAGAGTTTAATAAGTTTGGTATACTTTTTATATACGCACTGTACTTATTTAATCAATGAATTGGAACGTCAATTATTCTTGGATATGAATATAATTATACCATTCACAACATTTCTTCAGTCAATGAATAAAGCTGTGAGAAGAAGCAAAATAAAGATTTTAAGCTCGTAATAGCTTATTCGAATTGTAATTGACTCCTTGTCTGTTCGTTGGCCTTTTAATACATCTAAGTTCTCCATTTCTTTGTTTTGTTTGTTTTTGTTCTGCTTATTTTAAATCTATCCTTCGCATCTTTTGGAGGGGAGAGGGATAATCTTTAACTTATAATATGAATAATAAAATGACATACTGGCAAATCATCTCCTTGTCCTATCACCGAGATGCTGACCAGCAAATAACCTTTGGCCCCTGAAGACTTAGACTCATCCATAGACGTTAGCAGAAGCCATTTGTTATGAAAGGTGTGTTCTTCGCTCTGATAGACTGATCCCACGTCTAGATTGAATGAGCCAATCATCGCATCGCTCCTAACCATGTGCGAATCGAGGACCTGTATAGGAAATGAGAGTTATTTCGTGCATAATGAGAGTTTATTTCGTGCACAATACGAGTTTATTTGGTGCACAACTAGAATTACATTTTCCGTTTAATCAAATCGATAGTTAGAGAATTACGTCAAAAAGATAGGCAAAGGGTGACAAAATTAAGAACGTACACGGTAACTTTAATAAATGACTTATTCCTAAAACCCTGAATCACAACATGGAATACATTAATGAGAGATTTAAAATCACTGCAATGATATACAAAGGGGGCAATATTCGTTTGACTTTGTACAATGAAACACAAATGAGAAAATGAGAACTGTGGATAGTGAGAGGATGTGAGAGATCAGGGGGGCGTTTCACAAAACTTGTCATCAGTGACAAATGACAATTTGTGTTATAAGCTACTGAAATCCTTGCTTCTGATTGGTTATCAGCAGATTTGTCACTGATTTTTGTTATTTGTCATTGAAAAAAGGCTTTGTGAAATGCCCCCCTGAATGGAAAGAAAAAGAAATGGAGGAAAAGAGAAGAGAGGTGCGATGACTTAGGGGTGAGAGTGGCAAGATAATATGCATAATTAAATACATCACTATGGCAACGATGATAATGTACATGAATATTTAACTTTGCCATTATATAATCAAACAGGCAGTGGAAATATGAGCAACGGGCTGTGGCGGTGTCTATGTCTACCCATAGAGGGGGCACTTGTAACCCGATTAATAAAATGTGAATTGTTTTTTTAAAAGGTCACCGACTATGGGAGTATGCAGGAGGAGATTGGGACCCTATCATCCTCTCTTTTCTCATCATTGGCCCTCTACATTTCCTTTCCCACCTCTCTCTCTCTCTCTCTCTCTCTCTCTCTCTATCCTCACTCTCTCTATCCTCACTCTCTCTCTCTCTCTCTCCTCTCTCTCTCCCCTCCCTCTCTCTCTCTCCCTCTCTCTAACTCTCCCTCTCGCTCTTTCCCCTTTCTCTCCCTCTCCCATCCCCCTCTCTCTCTATCTCTATTTCTTTCTCCGCTTTTCTTTCCCCTGATTTCCCATTTGATTGGAGAGGGGCACCTGGCCCTGTCCGCCGTTTCTACGCCACTGCTTTTAGATACATTATTTAACCTCGTGTATGCCGAAGTAGGGTAACCACACCTCTAAATGGGGTTTTAAAAGTAAAATCCAATTTAAATTGCATTAACGGGAGTGGAAAAAGTCATATTGCTATTGTTTAAATACCTATGCTCTTTTACCATCATAACTGATGCGGGTGATCAACCAAATATAAATGGATAGATATTGGGTACAAATAACAACACTGACGCAATATCAATTAGTGTGTTTGCTGACTTCCGGTTGTAATTAAGCAAGCGAGGCTCATAATATCCGGCGACATAACCGATACAATGTTGAAAAATTGTGTAATGAAACGGTATGATCACTCAACATAGTGCAGGTCTTGCTATCGGTCTCATTGGATGTGACTGGTGTGTATATATAAGCATAGAAATACGCACTTAGCCATTAGGCAAGTCGTTAGATGTTAGCATACAGGATCATCGGCGTAATTTTCACACATTATGATAATCTTAGCATCATTAGGACTTTGAAAGTGATCTCAGCATGACGTGTGCTACCTTCCCACTGACGAAATGACCAGGAATCATTTCGCGATTACGGAATAGCTTTGGTCAAGAAACGTGTAATTCTGTATGCTGGTGGTGATTTCATCTCACTCAATGAGCAAAAATAAAGGTGGAACTGAACAAAGAAACAAAATATTCTACCGAATCGAGCTATAAATTAGTATCTAGGGCCTACCTTGTGAGTATCATACGACAACAAGCAAATTGACTATTCTCTACGAAATCCCAGCGATTTATAGACCGTCAGTTTTTTCAACAAAACTTACTTTTTCGAAAGAAATTTCAAGGTGAAGAACCGTCTCAGGACAGTGATAAAGAGTATCTTCAAGTTTAAAACTTTGGAGTACAACTTCCTCATCGTATACAGCATATTCGTTCTTCGCTGACAAGATCAAATCGAAACCGTATCCATTTTGCAGCCTGGGGCATTTTGCGCGTCATACGAATACACAGGGACGCCAATTGGACAGGAAACCAAGATGGCAAGCAACAGTTCAACCTTAGAAACACTTTTCTCCGAAACCGGCTTTCACTTGATAATAGCAAGTAATTCCATAAGCGCCTTTCTATGCACAGTTCTCAACATTCTCCTACTACTAGTACTGGGTGCTGATAGAGAAATGCATGATGTAACGCGATTCCTGTACAAAGTACTGGCCTACCTCAACATGCTCTCTTGTGTCACTTGGCTGTTGGTCTTGCTCCTCTCCTTTTTGCCTATTAGCATCAATTGCATCGTGGCACGAAAAGTCTCCCCATTCATCTCAACAGTATTCTTGTTCTCTCTAATGACCACACTGAGCTTCATCGGGGTCAATAAGTACATCATGGTGTCACGCCCTCTGCGCTACCTTACCCATGTCACGCTAAGACGCGTGAAGATATCTGTAGCAACTACCTTGACTGTGTGCTGGATCGGTATGGCATTCTTGACGTTACCGATTCCAGGGATTTCGTCCTCGCAGGAAGTTTCGTTCCCATGTAGGACTGATGTAGGAACAACGGCTTATGTTATCAACGTTACGGTCGTAGTCTGTGTCATGCTTCCTATTGTCGGCGCCACATTATGTACAACTGTGTCAAATGGTGGTCTCCTCTGGATCTTGAGGAAGCATACGAAGCGTGCTGTCCATCCGCAGAGGCTGGACACCCATGGGTTAGAGACAGTGGAATATAGACAAGTAAACTCGACCGCAATACAAAGAATTAAAAGTAAAAACCAGCAACCTCCTCGGAGTACTGCCTCGGCACAAAGGGATGTGAAGTCAGCCAGATCCTCAGAAGGTGGAAAAAGTCGTCTTTCAACCACCATTAATCCAAGATTTGTATTGATAGATGATCATATAACAGAACTCCAGAATGAGCCGCCAACTTCTAGAACTGTTAAATCTACACAAGAAGAAGATGAAATCGATGCCACCAAAGGATCATTTGCGGATATCAACCACAAAAAACGGGACGGTAACCTCGATAAAGTTGTACCATCCATGAGCAAAATTGTCTTGATAAATGAGAATCACGGCGGAGAGGATTCCCACAGGAATCACCAGTTGCCTAAATTCATACTTGACTCAAGGAAGCAGGGTAATCAAGTAACATTTTCAACAACTACAACCAACTCTGTGAGAAACTCAGAGACTCTTTGGGTAGACCGTAAAGGGGGGTCATCAAACATGGACTTGAAATCACAGAACTTCATAGCCCTTGATCCCCGAAATGAAGCATTGGCAAGCGCAGCTAATGTCGGTAGTCATAGAGCACGTCTACAATCCCCGAAGAAACCGACATCGAGATGTGCTGACGGAAGTCAACGATCACAAATGAAGGGCATCAAAACCCTGGTCATCATAACCTTATCATTCTACTTATGCTGGTTGCCATTTCTTGTTGAGGCTTTCTTTGTGCCTATCAAGAACGAAAAAGTGGAGGCTCTGTCGTATTGCTTACCATGTCTCAGCACATGGATACAACCGCTTGTGCATTTCATGACAAGTGAGAGGGCAAGAAAAATAGCCAATGAAATCTTTGCCAATGTGATGAAACGTTAGTCTATAATCTTGGATTCTGTAAATGACGTTTTGAGAGAACTTAATTATAAACGAAATGAAAACTTAGTAGTAAAGGGAGTTGCACATAAATCCAGTACGTGATGTGTAATGTAGGTGGTTATGACTTCTTCGTCAATTTCCTTGTGCTCTTGATTTGAATGAACTTTTTATTGTTGCATCATGTATATTTTTTGTTTTACTTGTCTTATTTTTGTTTAGATGTATTGCATTACTCGATGAAGAAAAGAATAAAAGTAAAAACTGCCCTTTGAAACAAAATGTCACGTTATAAGAAATTAATCTAAAACAGCCTGTTTCATTTGTAATGCACTATGACATGCATTTATTATTTGATTATTTCTTTCCTTTAATGTCCCGTGCCAAAATAGAATTAAATCCTCTTTTATAATGTAGAATTATATGTAACTAATTTTGAAGGAGAACAACAATTTATTATCGATATTCAGCATTACATCGATATATGGCCAGGTGAGGGTCTTGTAATGTTGTTGTTGTTGTTTATTGGTCTTAGTGAACTGACCAGCAGCACAGGCTGAAAAGGGTCAGTTCACATCTAAAATAATACAATATATACAACTATATTATAAACATAGATTGTACTTTTATTTTTTTCTATGTTTGCCCCCCCCCCCCCCCACTCTCTCTCCCTCTCTCTTTCTTGCTCTCTCTCCCTTCTGTCGCTCTATCTCTCACTTTCATTTTTTGTCATTCAGGGGTAAGAGTAACGTGCTCCCATTCGTAACGTTCCTCCTCGTAATTATATGTTATCGATTATTAATAAGTCTTAAAAGCTTGAGTGTAAGCTTATTGTTTAGATGTACGATTTTTCTTCATGAGTATTCTTACCTGGAACTGTATAGTTTCATCAAACAATTCAACAGGGCTGATGTTGAACTGGAAGAAGAACAACTGAAAGAAAACGGAAAGAAATATACTGAAGTGATGCGAAAAAAGGTGATATTTGAAGCTAGAACGTCTGTACACAAATGTATACGCAGATGATAAGAAGCCAGAGGAATTGTGTTTAAAGGTCAATACAGGAGTGTAGTCAGAAATATATGTATATATATTTTAAATTGGGCAGAATCCTTATGAGATAGGAGGGAGTATAACATGCTTGCCAAAACGTTTTTATTCTTCTTCTTTTCCTCCTTTTTTTTCTCCTTCTGTCAACAATATGAATAAGAGAGAGAAAAAAAATATCCAACAATTATGGGCGGGACAAGGTGACCGAATCAGGGGCAATCCAGGATTCTGGAAATGAAGGGATGGACACAATTTCGAAACAAAATCGCTGCAAGAGAAGGTTTCATATTTTCTGATGCCTGATCGATAGGTTTACAACAAACGGGGACCAAGAGCACGATTAGTGTAAAGTTAGGTAGGCTATCCCAAATTTGGTTTTAAAAGGGGCATGGATCAGTACATTTCGCCCCTGCCCGAATTCATCAATGATAGGAGCAATTGAAAAATTATAGCAAACTTACTTCGTCCCAGTAAGGCTTGTTGGTTGATTTCTTCACCTTGGTTACCCGGGTACTGTGAAGAACGGTTACCCGACACACCGGGTTGGTGTTGGCACCATAAAGTTGACGCGCTTCCCAGATCTTGACGCGCATTTGAAAGTCACGTGGTTTTTCGGAAAGACCTTCTCTCTTCATGCGACCGGGCAGAAACCTATTCGGAAAATGATAAAATACATTGGAAAGGGTGGATGGAGATGAAAGACAATGCTATATGTATTGGTATAGTAGAGTCGAGTCGTTGTCTCCTTCCCATCCTCCTCCTCTTTCTTCTTCTACTCCTTGTTCTTCTTCACCATCATTACCATCCCCATCTTCTTCTTCGTCGTCTTCTTTAGTGGCAGTACAGGCCACCGTCTCATTGTTGTAGTGTTGAGGTGCAGTGCAGGTATAAGTTTTACGTACAAAATTTCAAAAGGTAAATGTAAGCAGTAATGGGCCTATGATAATTTATGTACGGTTGATATGAGATGACTTCTAATAATTATGCTGGTTCTATTTTACAGAAACAGCGACAACACGGATAGACTGAAAGAGCACTCAGTATAAATAACCCGTCTCATTTCGCAGTTACTGAACACACCCTCAACAATGGACATAACGTTGGATGGGATTATACCTTTACGTTCTAAGAAATAAGGGTGCAATTGGGGTGCAGATTTGTACCCACCTTCGCGTATTTGGTAGAGGGTGATGATCTGCTCCTTTTTAGGTTGCATTCTCTGACAAAATGTAAATGTGCACCCTGGTGCGAGAAGTTGGAAGATGCACAATATGCACCCGCCGTAGTCTGTATTGATTTCACTTTTCATAATACAATTTTACCAAAAGCAATCAGCTCAATATCAGTTGAAACAAATTGAAGTCAGTACATGTTCTATACAGACTATCAATCTGAAACGCCGATAATACCAAACAGCAACAACAACAATCCCTTCCAGGGATATTATAATCATGCAAACCCATTTCATCAACCCATCGTTGGCTTAATCGGTAAGGTCAGCGTATGATGATTAGGGTACTGGTTCAAATCCAAGTAATTATTCCTTCCTATATTTGCCTGTATAGTATTGCACCCAATAGGGTGTTGCTATTGTAGCAGGGGTCTGCACCCCTAAGGGTGCAGATTGGTACCTATATTTTTTTAGCGTGTATCATCGAATTTGAATCGTACTTTTCAATTGTCAAGCAAGATGACAGATTGAATCCACGGAGATTAGAAGAATCAATCCTTCGCTGAATAGGGATTCTGGGGACTCTTTTTCAAACATCCTTGCCTAAGCAATCTCTAAATAGAATCCAAGAAGCCACTAAGTTAAGGAATCACTCGGCTCGACAAAGGCAACGAGGTCGCCAAATAATCTGAAGGTAGGTAGAAGGTTATTGCAAACCACATTTTATGCTAGCACCCGACCCTAAAAAGTTTTCTGTCTCATAATTTTGAACAGTTAAAAAGGATAGGACCGTATATTGACGCAACTTTAATTTTCTAGTAACCGTCGCGTACGAGGCGTCATTTCGATTGCGTCATTGATTGCGCTAATCAACTCTGTGAAGACAATGAGTTCATATGCCGGTAATTCAACACAAATAGTTGCACTGTTCAATTTCAAACCAATTTTTTGTACATTGTCACTCTCACATGGGGCGTCAGAGACCGCGTCAGGTGCTGACGCAGTCTTAAACAGGAAAATGACGCCTCGTGCCTGTGCAACGGACATATACAAATACATAAACTTACGTTAGTCCTACACCTTCCGAGCCCGCGAGAGGGCCTCCGGCCATTCCAGGCTCGCATACACTCGATCCATCAGCTTCGCCTTGCCCTGTATATTATAAGACTTTGTTAATATTTTTATGTCTCGAAATAACAAATAACCAACACAATTTCCTTAAAGCCCGTCTGTACTACTTTGGCTAAGAGGGATTAGACCACCCAGGGTGGTCTATCTCATCAACTCAGCTCTCAATAAACATAAGAAAAAGAGGTTCATGGGGGACCAATGGTCACTGATTATGCATTTTTTTCTACATAGAGGGAGCAAGTAAATACAAGTAGTACAGTGGGGCTTCACGATATTTATATTATATTTTTCTTCTTCTTCTTCTTCTTCGTCTTCTTGTCCTTCTTCTCTATGAGCAAAGGTCCACGTCTGGTGTATTCTCATACTGTTGAAGGTGCTGGGCGGGCTTATGTACAGTGTCTCAATACAAACAAATTAATCAAACAAATTAAACTCCTTTTAAAAAAGTCTGCGTGAAGATGAAAAGTATTCATATGCTTGCGATAGATGGCAAGTGTTCAAATAAATGCTTCAAGTATGAAATTTATTGTCAAGTATGGATCACTGTGGAAAACCTCTTAGATAGAAATCAACATAATATACATTTTTAAGAGAGAGTGGGGAGACTTTAAAAAAGAGACTTGCGGAATAGATGATAGAGCGAGAGAGTACAAGAAAACAGAACAGAAAAAGAGAGAGGGAGAGAGAGAGAGAGAGTATAGAGAACAGATAGGAAAGAGAGAGAGAAGATGTGGAGAAAAAAAATTAATGAGAAAAAGAGGGATGAACACTAATAGTTGTGTTCACAGTAATAGGCCTGTTCTCATCAGCTCGAGATTGATAAATAACCCGCTATTTCTATTTCTAATTTGGGAAATAATCCCGAAGTTACAAATCGCGTTTTCATCAGCTCGAGACTCGACGTCGTAACTTGAAACTCGAGCTCGAGAAACTAGCTCGAGATATTTAGCTCAGCGTTCGCGGATACATGCATAGTGCGAATCTTCGGGCTGGTGAGGACGCACTGGAAAAATAGCGGGATATATTGCAAACTAGCCCAAATATCTTCGCAAATTAGTTGGATAATTTGCGATCGGGATAGTTGAAATAGCGGGATATTTGCCAATCTCGAGCTGACGAAGACAGGCCTAGAAGACAGGCCTAGAAGACAGTATTAAAATCAGTCGGTGGCATCAATTTATTTAATAGCATTAATAGGGATTCGTATTGAGAAAAAAGGTGAACACCATTCCCCGTGTACCCAGGCGCGTACACGGGGGGGGGGGGGGGGGGTTGGGGGGTTAAACCCCCCCCTTTGGTATTTTTTTTTGTGTAAACCCCCCCCCCCCCCATAACCCCCCGAAACCCCCCCCTTTGTTTTTTGTTTTTGTTTTTTGTTGTTTTTGTATTAAAAAAAAAAATTCCCATGGCTGACCTAAAAAAGCAGACCTTACCCCCCCCCCCCCCCAACGGAGCAAAATGTCAAATTTTCAAATTTCGAGACCAAAAAAAAGAAAAAAATGTCAGCTAACCCCCCCCCCCCCCCCCCCCCCCACCCCGCTTATTCAGCGGTCGGCTAAGTCGTTGCGAAATGTTCGGCCCGATTTATAAATGTTAAACCCCCCCCCCCCCCCTTGAAAAAATCCTGCGTACGCGCCTGCGCGTACCTAACTATAAATGAATGCTACTTTACCTGCTCCACGACCCATTTCTGACGGACCAGACGACGCTGACTTTGGCTCTTGGTATTTGAGAAGAAGCTCAATCTCACCCTAGAGAGAAAAACAAAGATGAATTTTCAAAGATTTTTTCCCGCTAGTTCTTATATGAAACAATGCACAAGATACATATTTCAAACAAAATATCTCAGTTTAAAAAAACTAAGACATTCATCTTGTGTACATTTTTCCATAAATACCCCCATCTATCATATGTTTCATTCCTTTTCGGACATTCTTCACTAGGATCAAAAGCCTTGTGATGTACTCTTCCACATTGGTTGGTTGGTTTCATCTCACTGCTATTAAGTAGTTGCGTACAGGGGACCGACGGTTTGGAAAGTCCTCTCCGAGGAACTTGGTAGTGAGGATTAATTCCTTACCAGACCGCACTAACCGGGACCTCCCGCCCGGTTACCAGACCAATGCTCTATACAACTAGCTATCGCGCATTAACTCTACAAAATTAATCATCTTCAAGGTAAAGGTTTCTGGTAGGTGGGTACAGAACAGAAGTTTTATGTTCCTCCCAACACATGCAGTAACGAGATACCCCAGTAGACCACGGCCGACGAGACCGACAGCCCTGGCAGACCGGCAGGTCGCGGTGTCATCTATAAATTTGAAAGGCTGTCAGAATGTCACCGACACAACGGTCTCATGCATGTCGTTTTTTCCGAAGGTTCATAATTTCGAAGATTCGTTTATCGAAGGTTCGTAATTACGAAGGATCATAATTCGAAAATTGAGAAAAGGCTCATGAATCCGAAGTGAAATAAGGTTCATGATGCCGACAATTAAATAGAGCTCTGTATGGATTTTGGGATATTGAACCCTATTTCATTTTCGGAATGATTAACCTTTTTACATTTTCGGAATTATGTACCTTTTTACTTTTTCGGAATTACGAACCCTATTTCATTTTCGAAATTCTGAGCCTTCGGAATTATGAACCCCATTTCATTTTTTGAGATAATGAACCCCAGGTATGTGAACTTGTGTGTCGGAATTATGAACCTTTGCAAGTATGAACCCTCCTACCCTCCTAGAAAAAAAGAGCCTTCGGAAAAACAAGTAACCACGTCTCGAGGCCTTTAGTCATGCGCTATCGATGACCGACATCATCACTGTTACAAGTTTGAGACCACCCCTCCTCGGAAAATATCTTACCGTGGTAAGTCGATCGGATCCATCTTTAAGTTGAAGAGTACACTGTGTTTCTCTAGTCTTTGATCGTATGATGTCTTTCAGGGACAATTTGCAACATCCAATGAACCTGGAGTAAATGATAAATACAACTTATGGCTACTTCAAGATAATGATTCGTTATAACAGTTAACATGATTGTAAAGGCGGGGGTTTATATAGTTAGAATTATGTTTAAGATTATGGTTGAGAATGCGCCTCGGAATAGAATTATCTAGATAGACGGCGATATAGAAATGCCTATTATTATTATTCTATTATGCTGCAGAGCTGAAAGAAGAAGTACAGGATTTTGACCGCGGAGCAATTGTCGCTAGAGAGTGTGTCTTGCATCTGCTTTTTAAGAGGAAATCCACCATGATATTAAGTTGGTTTTAAGAGAAGCAGAAAAAGAGAGAAACAGTATAGTGATATTTTTTTAAAGCAAAAATCGATTAAAAATAAGAAAGATTTGATATTTCGAAGGTGCGATCAATAAAACACATTTGGCAACTCTGTGACGTATCCTGCGAGGTACCTTCCCATTCGTCCTGTATTAAAAAAATTCAAAAATGTATTTTAACCCTAAATATAATAATTGCAACTATGTTTTTATACAACCCCTGCATGAAACAAACTAGTCCGTCATCAATAGGTAAGAAAATTAAACTTTATGAAATGTTCTGTACAGAGCTAATTGGAGAGGATCTCGCAAGATACGTCACAGTGTTGCCAGTTTTTTTTAGTTTAACTGATGACAGCTTCAAAAATTCATAACTTTTTTTATTTTTGATCGGATATTGCTCAGACTTACACTAATATGTTTCTCTCATTTTCTGCTTTTATTGAAACCAACTTAATATCAGGGCGGACATCCCGTTTAAAGACACAACAATGAACAACACCCCTTCGTAATAAACAGGTGAACTGATTAAAGGTATCCACTTATTCTGGAAGCAAGAAGCGGCCTTTATCTACCAAAGCCCCCAACCAACATGTTTCTGCTTCTAACAATTTCCTCCACTATAAAAAGACTTGATTTTTTTCTTATGTTGTTACACATTTACTGTAATTGAATTCTTGTTTGTAATATACCTTAGAAATATTTGCTACTTTGTAAGATGTCGCTTTATATCAACGAATGTAGAAACAATCCAGATGAAATTAAATCAAATTCAAATCAAATTGAATCAAAACTTACCGATGCCTACCGACTCTTTCCCAATCTTTCACGTCAATCTCGATGAAATCTCCGATCTCTAAGGCTTTCGAACCTAGGTCCCAGTCCATTACCTGTTGGGATAGTACATTAACATAATTTTGTTGCTGCCAGTAATTATAATCCTACAAGGCTGATTCAAGCGAATTAAATGGCAAAAAAGTGTGATTGAATGACGATGTGTGTTACGTTGCGTTTAGAAACGACATTTTACTTAACTGATATTAGGTGTTAGGGGTGAATTTAGTTTACATTCAATAGTATGTAATCTTATTCCGTGACAATTCAAAGTTTACCCCCTTTTTGTAAACAGGTGATTATCATGTCGACTGAGTGTTTTTAATGCTTACGTGCATGTGAACCGAGGACATTTTTTTTTCGCGACATTTACTGCGCATATACAGTAGAAAATACAATATAATAGACAGTCCTCGTTTCGTATATCACGAGGATCAGAATTCACTTTTTAAATGTGCTGTGGCTCCACTTAAAGATTCATTTAGGTACTAGGCTTTTAATTAAAAAAAAAACAATCTAGTGATGGTCCTTTTCTTCGTTTATTTCTGTCATCGGGTCATACTGTAGATCTGCAGGTCAACTGAGGGAAAATGCTTTCGACGGGTACCTGCTGGTATCATGTAGGTACAGGCCACGTGATGTGGCTGACCCGACATTTGCTCAGGCAATATTTATTGAGGGCTTTATTTTGTTTCTAGATATTGAGTTAGGGTTCCGGTTAGGGTTGTAGTGATGCGATAAGGTTTTTAAGTTAGTTTTAGGGTAAGTAACATGGTACTTTGTTTCGGGTTGCGATTGGCTTTTTAGCTTCAGGTTTAATGTTAGGGTTAGTGTTGGGGTTGGGTTAAAGGGTTGGGTTTAACCGTTAAAGGGTTGGGGTTGGGGATAAGGTTAATTTTGGTTCCTCTGTTGACGGTAAGAATGTTTTTATTATAGGAAAATTGTCATGGAATAATTGTGACCGGAGGACGTGTCGTGCAATTAACCCGCATTTATAATGAGAATCAATTGCGTATTACGTAACAATTTGCAGACAACTGAAAGGGGTAAATTAAGAAGTACATACACCTTAAAAAAGAATGATTTCATCACCTTATGAGCACAGTTGAAAGAAAATGGAATTTGATAAGCCTAAGAATTAACAGCCCGTTTCCCATTGGTTGCTGATGATATGCTACGCTTTATACAATCAATCATTCTTATTCTATTAATAAAAAAGATAAAATGTTTTGAGAGGAATCAGTATACGTGAATGCAGAGCTCGATACAAGGTATTAATCAATGGTTAAAAGAACAATTCAAAAAGAATTACAAAATGAAAAATGTTAAAGATTCGAGATCACTTTGAATTTCAGACGGTCATTTTGTTATCGAGCCTTCACAGCGTCAACATGTGGTGTAACGTTTAGAAAAGTATTTATTTGGGTCAAAAAGTATTAAGGAATTCTGCGGAAGTCTCTTCCTGCAGATATTTTTTAGAGTATGTTTTCTCCCATTTGAACTACGAAATATGATATGTAGGCCTTGTTATTTTTAATATTTGAAAGCTTTGTGGTCTGGTCAATTTGGTGGATTTAGTGTGACAAACAGGGGGTGTTTTAGGTGTTTAAACACCCCCTTGGCAAAAGGGTAGTGTTTTAGAATGTTAAAGACACCTTTTATCTGTGTTTTATCTATACCCCCCCCCCCCCTGGACAAAAAAGTATTTTTTTTTGTGCTCAAGGGGGGGGGGGGTGGATGTTGAGAAAAAAAGAGGAGTGTTCACTCCCCCCCCCCCCCCTCCGTTGAGCCCCCCAAAAAATTAGGGCTTAACTCTCCCCCCCCCCCCTTATTCCCTGGCTGGCTGATTCGCCGCTAGATATTTTATCTTGAATTGGGCAAAAAAAAAACACCTGCTCTTAAAAAAATCCTGGCTACGCCCTTGACTGGCATTGTAGTTCTTATTTTGTGATTGATGCTTATATTGGTATCTTTACTACGGATGTGGTGTAAATTTTATTTAACGATAAGCGTATACAGGATACGTGACATGTTATTACTTATTACTTGTATCTTAACTCTCAAGTACCAGCAAAAAGCATTCTCATCTTAAAACAAGAGGCGAATTCAAGGCTGCATTGAATATAATTGTTTCTATATGCATTAATATAAAACATCACCATTACCAATATTTCCCGCGTACATATCATTAAAATAATCTTTCTATAAAGGCATAGTGCCTGACTCGATAAATGAGAAGAAGTGGGACAAGGGATATTTGATTACGAGACAGATGTGCAGTGTTGGTGTGCTGTTTCATTTTTATCGTTGTTTGAGCTAAAAATTATCATGACAATGGTCGAACACGATGATAAGGGAATAGATTGTGATCCTGTATGTCTATTGGATGAATCCAACCCGCGTTTCCTTGAGAAAAAGGGGGTTAATATATGTACAGTATATACTGAGATTCATACAGTTAAATCTTGTTCTAAGCAAACAATAATTGTACAAGACTAAAAAGAAGAAAACGTATATCGATCAGTTGATATAAATAATTCATTACATACACTTAAATTCTCCATTCTAAGAAGATTGAAATATTACAGAATTTGAGTATCTTGTCTATATACTAAAGTTGAAGTTGAAGTTTTTAAAGGGACGATATTTTGATATAAAGATATACTTACCGTTTCCCATGTTGGGTTTTGATCACTTTTCAGGTGTTGCGTCTTTCGTTGTACCCCTGCATGTAAAGAGACACAATATTGTTTTATGTAATGTGCTTTGTATGTCAACCCCCCCCCCCTCTCTCTCTCTCTATATATAATCTCTCTCTTGGTCTTTCTTTCTTTCTCTCCATCTCTTTGTTTGTGTGTGTGTGTGTGTCTCTCTCTCTCTTTCTTTCTCTCTCCCATGTTTTGTTTAGGTCGATTTTCAAATGCTAAATCTATATTTTACTCCTGTAAGAAGAAGACAAATAATGTTTCTCTCCCTCTCTCTCTTCCTCTCTCTCTCTCTACTCCTTCTCTCTTCACATTGAGAAACGACTTGGCTTACCTAAATATCAAGGTATGAATAACGATAGTATTCTCTCTTGACAAATGAAAAAGATACACAATTTGCCAAACCTCAGGGGGAAAACATTTTTCAAAGAGACTGGTTTTAAAGGTTTCTTTAAACAGTTGATGTCTAGGTGTTTTCTTTAGCGCAATTCACGTGCCATCACATTGTTTAAAAGCATTATTATAATGGTCGGATGATGTTATAAAATGAATCTTGGTATAATTTCTCCAAAATACCCACTCCCCTTCCATTATGCTATTTTTTTAAAGCCACATTTACCCTAAATACATCACACAATATTATTCAAGTAGGGTGTGTTGGTCTAGTGACATGATTTTTCGCTTACTGTAGGGTGCGAGAGGTCCCGGGTTCGACTCCCGGACAAGCCCAACGCAATTATTTTCCGTTCCAACTTTGTATTTTATTGATATTCAATCCAAATTAAAAATCATTTTGATTTTGAAGCAGAAACTTTAATTCCGCTTTTATGGCTAATATAGTGTAACTTCTTAATCATGTTATATTATATATACCTCTTCATTTTTCAACGAGAAGGAGTACAGGAGAATGTGACTTAGTGTGTATGAGATGAAACAATTTTTCAAGGTCAAGACACATTTTCAAGACTAATGTTTTTGATGCCCTTTCAGATCAGATTATTGCTCTAAGAATACCATTCCGATATTAAAATCCTTCCCTTTGACATAATATACGACAATGCTATTTTATACCTAAAGTGCCCCTTTTCACTTTTGCACGCCGTATGTTGTTTTAAGGCATAAAACAGATCTTCCTTTTCCCAATAATTAACAGTATTTTCACCACCAAGTAATTGATTTTGGATCTTTGACATATAGTTACAAAAAAATCATTACACCTCATAACCAATGATACTTCACATCCAGTGTCTTCTAGATCACTATCACATGTTATATTTTCCTTTGATTTGACTTATCTCAAACAAGGAGAGTAAGAGAGGAATTATAGAAAGAGTGAAAGAAAAGAAAAAATCCCAGATTTATCGACATAATAATAATTAAAGGGTAGAATATACATATGAGCTATCAGCTACAGATGTCTATGAATCCTTCGGATAAGCAAACATAATAAAATATAATATAATATAAATACAATGGAAATCTACACTCGTTCTGTATTATGCGGTTGGGTGAGCTGTGAAAATGATTATTCGTACAATCGTATGACATATGCTATGCATAAAATTTTGTCAAATTCGACCGCCGAGAATTTATAATTCAGAGGGTGAAGTATTTAATCAATTCTTCGTAGAATTGTTAGTTTTTAAAAAAAAGTAATACAGATGAGAGAACATGATTTGGTTTCATAAGCCTCATGAGCGCCATGGGCGTCAGAGCCTGGCGGATACCGGCGCTATATAAATATCCATATTATTATTATTATTATTATTTGTATCGTATTCACAAAAGCGTTGAATTACAGGCAGTAGATTCAATATTGATTCATTATTTTTAATGTGGAAATACTTTGGTGTAGCACATAGCCAGTTCTTAAATGGACACTGCGTGCAGTTTGCCTGACCCTTCCCCTTCCTGGCAATTTGTTTAACTTAGACAATTTGATAACAAACCCCTTTTCGTTATTCAGAATGAATATGAACATTTTAAATTTTTCAAACAAACAAAATCAATGTAGGCCTTCTATCTTTTACTTCTGAATCAGGCAGTGCAATCAATTATTTATTTCAAGGTTTTTCTCAGTCATAAAAATAAACAAATATTTTGTTTAATGGTTCACTGTCTATAATATATATATATATATATATTTATTCACTTGCAAACAACAAGAGTTTTATTAATATTTGAACAGATTTTTCACCTACACACACCTTCTCGACTTGAAAAGGATAGGGCCCAATCAGTTTGGTTATTATTCAACTGTTGTGTTGTCGCCTAACAGGCTGACGTGTTTGTTATTGCTCTCCAAGTTGCATGTTATATTTACTGGATTTCTGTACTTATGTGGATAATATAATGCATACTATCCTGTTGTACTATATGCAGGGATATTTTAGAGCTGGTTTTGAGTAGTCATAATGCTGTATTTATTTAGATATTTGCTGTAGTCTCCAATTAAGCATTCGTTCCTGCACCACAGTCGCATCATTAAAGAGAAATCTAAAAACTCATTTGTTTTCTTTGTAACTGTTATTTTCAGAGTGTAATGCACTTGGAGAGCATATAATTATTCTGTTTTTATTTACTAATGTAAAGCGCCTTGAGCATGTTTATGTAAAGGCGTTATATAAATATCAATATGTATGTATGTATGTATGTATGTATGTTATTGCACTACCAGCAAATTTACCTTCTAATTCATTTGAGCATTATTAATTCACCCCGCAATAAAACAGATGTTCATGTATGTATTAAGCATCCCAGCACGGCAAGTAGAACATGTATTTTGATAAAGGAGTAAAGCCCATTGGTTTGATATATGTTTGTTAAAATACCCTCTTAAGTATGTATTATCTTTACTTTCCCAATTATACTGGCATGTACCGGGCATGTATCATTCATCACACATGAATTTGTTGTGTTCACTTTTGAAAGCTAGTGTCCCCTGTTAACGCGTTTCCTGATAACAAACGAAGCGATAACATTTTCGCTCATAACTTGATAATCCAACGGGTTATTGTACAATGTCTAACAGTTTTAACAAAGTACATTTTAGGTCAAGCTAATGGTGGTAGTTGTTTATTTGCTTTTGTTATTAACAAAACCACCGTACTTTTGCATTTGAAAAAAATTAACTTGTTCCGGTTTTCCTGTGGTAGTGCACATTTTTCAGCCTGGATATGGATTGACGCCTTTGGCTATAATACACCATACAATTAAATTCTTCGTATTGTTCGCTGAAGATTAAAAATGATTTTCTGTAGTTGTGACTCAGGCATTTTGTTTCCCCTTTAAAAAGTCCGAATTATTGATCAGACGAATAATGGCAAAATGCAGCTATATATTATATCCAAAAATCACAGGCTTTTTCAGAAATTTACTAGTTTTATAATGGTAAATATTGAAGAAAAAGGTAAGATACAATAGAAGTAAAGGTATTGAATAGTTGATGGCAGGTTCTCATTAAACCATTTTCATTAAACATGTTAGAATTTAAATTGGTTGACTCACCGATCTCCATCCATAATGTTTATGTATCTATTTATTTTATTTACTTTTTATTTTCTCGTGGGTGTAGGCCTATTCAGGCCACTTATTTATGTTCATAAAAGCAATATTATCTTAATAACTTATACATTTTTTTCTTATCATTTTGTGAATGCAGAATCCAGACCTCGACATAAAATCCAGATTATTTTCTGTCTTACTAGTGTCCAATATGATATTAGTATAGGCCTATGACCACATACTGCACGAAATAATCTTTAATTCATACTCATTCAATGAATTCACATCAGCGATATAATTGACAGATACAAGAATGCAACCTTACCTTGGAAATTGGCGACCAAATACGGATCTACTTTTCCAAGCAAATCAAGTTTGGGCAAATTCTTGCCGCACTTTGCTGTGAGTTGAAGCGACATCTTGAAGATCAACTGCTCCCTTTTCCTAATTAAAAGATGCCTGTAATCTCCAGAATCTCCAACATCTTCAATTTTCTACCATATTGGTAGTACTGGATCTCTTAAACGATCTTGATTTGCTTATTAAGCGTTATTTCATTGACAGACGATGATGATAAAACTCGGAATAGAAATTCAGTCGGATAAATTGGAAAGGGGCGTGGGGTCCGCCTCTATATAGATCTAACGATTAGAAGGAAAAAAGTTTGACTGGTCTAAATGTCGAGTCATTGGAGCGTCGGTCTGACCCCATGGAAATACTTCCTCAACTCGACTTGTGACTGAAGTGGGATAATCACGTAACATACGTCGTACAAACCAGCCAAGCCAAGCCTACATGCAATTGTGAGCTACTGATTCGAGTGCACTATATTCAATAAAATAGACCCCGAGTTCAATAAATGCAATGATGCTGGTAGTCTATTTATATGCACACCCAAGTAGATATTCTGTCAGTTTTAAATTACGACTTCCCACAACAAATGCCTACCATTCACTGATATATGAAACTATCAATCCATCTAGAATTTCACCTTCACAAACAGAGTTTTCAGTCGTACATTGTACATTTTAAGGGGGCGGGTGGGTAGGCCTATTTGATATGAATTAACAAAAACTAATAACTAAATAAATAATCTAAAAAATTGTATCTAAATAAGATAAAATGGCCGGAATTGTCCAATCATTTACAAAACGCACTGAGCTACTTAAAGTCATACTCAAAAGTACAAAAGGCACAGCATTCTTATCATTAATAGTAATTTACTGAATCTTCCAGACTTCTTCCCCTTCACCTTTTCTTTAATAAAAATCAACTTGGTGCAAGGCCGGATATTTCCATTTTTTCATATGACACAGAATACAATAAAGCAGGTAAAAACTCTCATAAATGCAGTCATATTCATAATATTTATTGGAATATCGTTTTGAAATAGATCCACAAATGTTACAAAACCATCCATAAATATTTACAGTGACAAGACAAAACAACATTTCGATCATATTTGATGTCCACAAAACTTTAAATTAAATAGCAGTCGCTGATATATGAGAGCACTGGCAATTTTAACAGCATCAATTCCTTGTTTTACACCGACTTCAAATATATAAAGTTGATAGAAATCGATTTGAAAAAGAAGAAGAAATAACTAAATAAAAGATCCAAACAATCCAATTTGTTGCCCAATTAGGCATAAATCTTTTTCTATAACACCTTTTCTCAAGTTCATATATTTTTTAAATATTATACTATATTTCAAAACAAAAATGGAACTTGCATTCATTAAATCAACAAGAATGAATATAACTTACACAGAGCTTTCAAACAGCCTTGGAAATATCATGCAAATCACTTTGTTACCAAAGGTAAGTCAATCTCTTGAGACAGATAAGGCACAATAAAGAAACAGCAGAAGAAATAGAATAACTTTAAAACAAGTATCTTCTGTAAATTTAAATTACATTTGCCATGCAAGTAAAGACATGAAAAACCGATTAGAAACAGGTATAGGATTACACTTGGACATTAAATGTAATTTATGCAATAGGGATTGTATCTGCACAATGCCTATAATACAAAGATTACAACAAGCAACTGTTCTCTCTTCTACAGCTCACATCCACCTACAAACTACCAGGTATTTAAATCGATTTTGTGGTTAATTATGAATAAACAAATTGTTGGTGAATTTGGTACAGAGCAGCTGCTGCTCTTTTTCTTAAAACAAACAAAGAAGTGATATCAATACTAAGACAGGATATTAGTAGGGTGATCACACTGCCTGTGCACACAGTTAAATTATTAATTAGAATATTGTCTTTTCAGCCATGTGTGACATGGCCCGCTGATCGCCCTCGACTGTTATTCTGCATGGTGAAAATGCACGTCAATGTATAAAACTCCCCTACAAAAATGCAATATCCTCATATGTTTCACTCATTGAATCAATTTGTTGTTTACACTTAAGGTAGCCACAACTGTACTGGGGTCACCAAACTTTCTTTTTCTCTGAAATTCAGTCCTTGTGGAATGTTATGGCCTGTTGAATTAAATGGTTTCTCAGAAAATCGTCATAAATCCTCAAATCTGACATTTTTTCAAAAGAAGCTATACTGTGATGTAGCTGAAAGTCTGCAGATTCTTATCATTTGTTCGGTTTTTCTGAATAATTTGTGAAACATATGAGGAAATAGCTGTAACTGTGATGCAAGTAATTTCCATCGCCATATTTTATTGGCATTGCAAAAATATTTGGAACTTAATTTTAATATTTGGTGTAAATATGATCTATAAATAAATGATTTTAAAAAATGCCAACAAAATGAACAGTTTGACTTTCCTTTATATATAATTAGCTGAAATGACCTAATTTGCATATTTGATGAATATTCATATTTTTTTTTTCTTCAAAAAAAAATATTTCCATGCCTGTCTGATATACATAGGTTTCATTGATGTATCATGTTCGGTTTTGATTTGATTACATAAGCGCATATTAATTAGACGGACTTAGTTATTTTCACAACTTTTTCATATTTGCAGATTCGCAAAAATGGCAAAAATTACTTAATTTGTTTGCTTCTGTTTTCAAAACGGTAATAGATATATGAATTTTCTTTTTTGTAATTTTTACCACAAAGATGATTTTTTAGTATCTGATAATTTAATTTATTATTTGTGTCCAAGAAAGTGATGAATTAAGTTGTCAACTGTTGAATTTTGCCATTTCTGGCAGGTTTTTCGGTAATTTTGCGATATAAAAAAAATAGTATAAAATCACAACGCATTGACCAATTTCAATTCTGTTTTTTGTTTTTTGAAGCTTTCATAAAGCTTGATCATTTGCAATCATCAAATAACATGTGTTTGTTGTACTTATTTTTGGTGTGCTATACCTAATATTAGGCTATGAGGCTATCATTCAAATATATTTTTGATGGATAGATAAAAAAGAAAAAGGAAACATTAAATGAACATATCTCCAAAATATTGATTTTGAAGATAGTGATAAAGTACAGTAGTGATATCGATTCTAAGACAGGATGTTAAGCTACAAGGCTATCATTCAAATATGTCATTGATGGATAGATTAGCAATGTAATTTTTGTCTGTGTATTTAGCAATAGATATAGTAAACAAAGAATATCAAGACCAATTTTGTTTTTGACGTTCAAATGATAGCATTTTCAAACTATCTTGCCTTTCATGAAACATGTACATGTATATTAATGCATAATCCATTCGATGAAACATCCTGATACACAGGAAATAGTAACAATAAATAAGAACGCATACAAATGTATTGCTATTAAATCAATGTCATGCTGAAACACAACATAAGGAAGCAATGTTGATTTAGTAATATAACAATTGTACCTAAATTTTGCAATTATAATATCTAAAAAAATACCAAAAATGATAGAAATGCAAATATGGTCTCTTTTCTCACTTTCTATGACCAACAATCATCAAATAAAAACAAAAGTTACAAATTGAGAGAAATATTAACTATAAAACAAAATATCTGACAAGGGAAAAATTAGCTATGAAACAATAGAATCTGAACGGTAGATATATATGTAAACTGCCTATATACTTTGTTCTTAAAAGGCATTTGCAGTAAAATTCTAGGTTTATTTCATTCAACACCACCTCAACCAAAATGCAAATTTGTGTATATCTATTTAATTCAACTGAGCTAATGACACTTGTTAACGCTATAAAAGAAAATCAACTCATATGCTAATATGAAATCTGAATCAAAATATATATTTTTTATAACATATAGCTTATAAATTATAAATTGCATTCCTGGCTTTTTAACTAGATGGAGAAAGAATATCTGAGTCTGATGAAGAAAAAAAAATCATAGTTGAGGCTTCATATCCCTACAGGTTGCTATTAGGAAAGAAAGAAATACATACGTTCATATTGCACTTCATATATAACATTACAAAATGAAGAGAAAACTCAATTACCGTCATGGGCACAAATATACATTTACCCTTCTCACTTTCTAACAAAACTCAATAGGGCTAAATAATACATGAAGTATACTCAATTATACTTTTTTTTGCTCTATTTGAGGAGCATAATTCTGGCTGACAAACAAAAACAGCTTAAAACACACACAGAGAAATGGTAGGAGAATATATGGAGTGCTCATTCACTGATTTCTCGAAATATTTGTTGATTTTAAGCTTCTTTAAAAGTTGAAATTAATGCAATAATGTATACTACTACCTCATGACAGGCAGGTGAATAACACAAGTGAAACCATATCATCCCAAAACTAAAATATAGCAAAAAAAATTGTCTACAGAATTGTCTTTTTGCCAAGATGATAATACAAGATGTTGCAAACTAAACTGTTATTTTATCAAATTCAAGGCTTTGATCAAAATGATATCTAAATTCATTGATTAGCTTTCGAAGCAATTATCACAAGTCTAATACATGTAAAAACAATTTCTTCACAAGCATCTAACATAAGTTGGTAACAAACAAAAATTAAAGGTAGTTTCATGGCTTTATAAAACAAATTTTAATGGTCGATGTTCAATTCTTCTGTTAAAAAACAAAAATACCCATTTTTCCAACAGAAGTGACAGATGAGCACAATGATAAATAATAGAGTAATGATGACTTTTATTTTAGAAAAGTCTGAAAAACAAAAGAAAATTTGGATAATAATAATACATACATCTGAAAGTTGATATATTTACTGGTAGGTAGAAGGTTAAATTGAAAAAAACCCTCATTTTCCATTAATGCTTCTTGTGCAATGTTTTCCACCAAATAAATATCAGAAATCCCACTTTGAAATTAGTATACTCCCTAAGACTTTTGTTTAAAGCAACAGTGACAATCTATTGTCCATTTTACTTTGTGCTTAAATCAAGAAATTGTAATATTGTGGTGAGTCAATGGCCAAGTAGTGGTTCTGACAAAATACTAAAATAATAGATAGCCTTGTAAGTGAGGGAACTTCATACCTGTCAATTTTTTGCAGGAAAAATTACCAACAGCTCACTGCAAAATTAGGAATACAATTACATGAGCGCTTTCAGAGAAAAAGAGGAATCTAGGTTTCATAACATGAGGCTGAAGGATAAACAATTCCTCAAAAGTAGGCTGCTATGCAACTTCAGGAAGAAAAAAAAATAAACCTGGACAAAGACAAATAGTCTGCAAAAATACTTGAGAAAATTATCCAAAATTAATCACTGATATGCACCACCACCTATATGAATTTTTTAATATTTAGTATTTTTCTGACTTTGACCTTCAATACATGTACCGATAATACAACTAATTATGGACTTGCACATACAGTTAAATAACAACTAAGTTATTCATACCCTTACCATGCTTTGTAATCTTTTAAGTATGTGAAAAATAGAATTTTCTCTTTTTACGTTTCTTGGTAATATGATATATTAATGCTTATATCCAAAAGTATTCAACAAAAGCCCTAATTCAGCCAGTCCATCTTTCATTCTTGAGTTACAAAAAACACAAAAGGCATAACATTTTTAAGGGGTATGAATAAGTTTAGTTTTTATCTGTATGTCCTGTATCACTCAACTATGGTTGAAATCTCTTCATTATCAACTTACGGATAAAATTTGATAAATACAAATACACTGAATGACATATTGTCCACCACACACATGTTTGATGCACATGTACTTGTTACATCCAAAGCAGAAATTTCGTACAAGTACATTTTGTCAATCAATGTTTCACACATTTATTTTTCCTCCTTTCATTACCCTATGCAGTATCACAATAAAAGTCAAACAACAAAGACATTTGATCCTCGTACATTTAGTCCTGTTTCGCAAAGTACAAAAACACTCCACCAAGGCCACAATTTCCACTTGCAAAACGCTCAGTTTTTTGTCTCCTTTTTACAGACACAAGGCAAAAGATGCAAAAGTTTAAAAGCAGCTTTTGCTTTTATGAAGCAAAGTATATCGGTGATTGATGAAGATGATTGTCAAGAAAATGGCAATAGCATCATTACTACTAAAATGATTAAATATTCATGCCTCAATTTGACAGCCTAGCTCACTTACACTTTGGCATGTTTACCCAAAGATAAAGATGTTTATACTGCTAATGTTTAGAGATTCTATTCTTAATCAATTCAGCACAAAGAAAAATTATTTTATGTTATTTTGTTAACCCTCTTAATTGTACATCTACAATGTATACATACATGCTGGACTTTCATTCAACAAAGAGGGCGTATTTTAAAACCACAAACTTTCACGACACAAAACCTTCATGAATTGTAAGCAACAGCCACTTTCACAGCAAAGAAATTTCACAAATTTGCAAAAATGCAGTGTCATGTCAGTTAAAGGTAATACAAAGTTTGGAGAAATTTTGAAATAGTGGATAGTGATTCTTTACAATTTTGATTTATTTGGATGCCCCTGTGGATGTATTATAAGCGCTAGAAAATTTAGCCGCTAAAACACTTCTGCTTTTAAGAAAAATTGAATATCAAATTTATGGGTGCTCCCGGTAAATTTTGATAAAATTTAAATAGCGCTTATAGCCATACAATGGTAGCTGCGACCATGAAAATCTCAGAATATGTAATTGTGATATATAATTTTCAAACGGGAATAGCCAATCGGTCGATTGTAGTCAAGAAACTTTGTTTTATGGCTTAATTAATATCTTGACCTTGAGCGGGAGCTATACAACATAAAGAGTTTTTTATTCACAATTTCATAACTTTAGACTTGATTTCAACCTCGGAAACGATCACTAAATATTGTATGATCCCATATGCTTCCAAGAATATGTTCATTTGAACCAAATTCATGACCCCACACCAAAACTTTGTAGTACCTCTAATACTCTGGTCACACAAACGGGACTAACATCAATAACAAATGCCAAATTTCTATGACAAATTTGCTCTCAGCCAATCAGATGCCATGATTTGAGTAGGCTATAGCAGTCGTTGTAACTTGTTATTGATAACAAGTTTTATGACCCAGGTCCCACATTGAGCAGAAACTATGTAACTCCAATGGCCAAGCATCAGTCTTACTTGGAGACGTTATGGGGTAGGTTTGGTGATGTGACTCACAGAATTCAGGAAAATCAAGTGTATGCGAAAGTACAGTACATGACAAGATAACGACATATAACCTTAAAATGGAATGCTTCATTCAAATAGTTTATTTTTCAATACATGTATACCGGTAGTCTCTAGCTACATTCTACCTAAAACACAATCACTCAACTTTCGAAAAATGAACTCATGGATAAATTCACCCCCCCCCCCCCCTCTACATTGTATTATTGATGTAGAAATCATGTAGGATTGCTTGATATGTATTTGAAATGTTCCCTAACATATTCAAATTTATAGATGTTTCTTTCCTGGGGACCTAGTGACGTATAAACCATTAACCCGTTATTAATGAATGAACTACAATACTTGGGAGTCCAGTCTGAATACATTACTTGTTGCTATGTTAGGCAAGCCTCGGTCAAGCATTCAGGTTTTCTAGAACAACCTTTATTTATAAAGATGCATACAATTTGAATATGTTAGTAAACCGGTGTATTTAACAGGGATGAACAAGCTATTTGAAATTGCACTGAAGTTGATTTTTCGAAAATCTTTGCGATCGCGTTCCCCGGTCATCTTAGCCACTAGCCGTCATCAACAGCAGCTAAAGAAGGGCATCTTTTGGTGGAAGCTCTGCGTGAAGGAGTCGCTATGGTGACGGATGCGGCCGGGACCGGTGCTTCCATCCTGCTTGTTCTTCTCCACCGTGATAAGGGGCATCTGGACCAGCTGTACGGGTGCCTTGTTGTCCCTCATTGCCTGGCCCAGGTTCAGTACCTGTAGTAGGGGTAGAGGGGATGGGGGACGGGGAAATGTTATTTTATATATTGGTCATTAATTGTTGTACAATGTTGACTAATGTCCTTTAAAAAGTCATTGATCTACATTTGCCACAGTCAACCCAGGTGAAGTAAATGGGTTCCTGGCAGGAATTAATTCTTTGAAATGCTAGAGCGCCATAATGGCAGCCTTGCTTAAGCCAGGGTAATAATCGAGGCAGCTCCAGGAGCGTCAAAACGTGACAAACATGTGCCCTATATAAGAAGCCACCATTATTATATTCTACTTTATCTCCAATATGCACTCCCATCACACGAGTACAAACTATAGTTCAAATCTATAGTTCAAATCAGCAAAATATGTACCGGTACATGTACATGTATATGGTTAAAATTTTGTTTGGGTATTGAACAATAAAAGGGACAAAATTTAAATGTGTATATATTCATCTTCCAACAAATAAACAAGTATGATAATTTAATAAACTACATGTAATACCACAAACAAACAAAGTTTTTGTTACATCCTGCAAAGGCTTATCTATTTCAGAATCATATACTTATAGATATTTCAAGAAAAGTGCATCCATTTATATAAAAAAAAGGTCATTTTGAAACATTTTGCAACAGTTTTTCACACACAAAACCATACACCTATCAGTCGTCCTTTTTCTTTTCTGATATTTCAAACGATCTAAATCATAATCAGTGTCATTCTTAGCTCAAAACTACATCTGTACGACCAAGAAGTTACCTTCTTGGTACGACCTATCATAAATGAATGCACATATCCTCTTGTATGTATATTTCCTAACATTATCAAAGCTGCACTTGGACATCACATAGGTCTACGATTAAATGTGATCGGTAAAACAAAACTACAGGACAATCTCATATACACTAGAATTTATAACACAGCTGTCTGATATTTGCATATTCTGGAAACCTACATTCAGTTACTTGATAAGACCTGTACCAGTAATGTGGTTGCTTTTTATTATCGAAAATGACGTCACGTAACATTGAGCTTTTCCTTGATAACTGATAAGAGCAATATTTACACTAGAAAATCAAGAACGATTCGAGGTCAAAGGTCACATCAACTCACTGCTCAAAACAAGATAATGCCTTATTGACTCTAGATTATTCTGATTCTTATGACATTAATGAATCATAAAGAGTAAACTTTCCAAGTTCAAGCAAACTTTAACTATAAGAACCCAAAGTATGCACTCAATGAAGCAAATAGACATATTTATAAGACAAATCTGCGAGTCATACACTGCCACTGCCAGAGCCAGATGATAGAATTATGTATTCTATTTTCTTTGAAAGTACATTTTAGCAAAATTGACTTTTCAAGCTCAAACTTATTAATTTGTAATCATCATTTTAATCACAAAACAATTTAAAGGCCCGGTCACACATAGACAACGCACGGGGGGGACGCACGGGCCGCGCATTGGAAATTTGCAATTTTTTCCAGTGCGTTGTCATGCGTTAGGTGTGCGTCATCCTTCGTTACTCGTTCGTCGAGCGCGCTGGACCAACGCTATGGGTTCGCCGTCATTCGCTGTGTGCGTCAGGATATTTTGAGCATGCTCAAAAGTATGCGCGGAGCTTGACGCATGAATGTACACGCCAAAAGGATGCCAGACATGCGCAGAGCGCGCTAGACCAACGCCAAAGTCTTTTGTGTTTTTCCTAAGAATGAAAGGTGGACTGGTGCAATTTTGTAAATTATCTTGTGTAATTATTTTTACAATTGTTTGTCCCATGCTCAAGTAAAATACCCCAGGGCAAACTGATTTTACACAAAAAAAAATTGAAAGAAAGAAGGATAGAAGGAAAAAACGTTTATTAAATATTTCTTAAAATAATATTTTAATTCCAATGAAATTAAGCATTTAATTCTCACCTGGCCACGCATGACAGCCATCTGTTTCTCATACATATGTTTATCAAAGCCTTTATCCTCCTGAGAAAGAAAAAAGAAATCAGCATAAACTACAAGTAACGAAAAGAAAGTTGAGAAACATGATTATATCATTGATAACATATGCTGCTGTGCACTTGTGTTATGCACGATATTGTGAATGCCCTTTATGTATAAACCATGAATGAACAAAAGATTCATTCATTCAGATTCAGATTCAGATTCAGATTAATTTGATTGGTCCATTTGGAAATTCAGTTGTTGGCATTACATAAGCACATGAACAATATACAATAGAAAATAATATACACAAATAGATAATACACAGTAGCAAATGTACAATGCAATCGCAATCGCATGACCATAACTGGTCTTTATCTTTAACACAGGTCACTATGTGCAAATGAGAGTTGGGGTTTTGTAACCTAATGATAAATATCAAGACCTCTTTTGTTATCTTGATAGTATAGGAGAGTAGAAACGATCTTTCCCCTCCTAATAATGCCACTTTTCTGTGAAAGTTTCAGCACCACACACTGCTGGTCTAATATTGTAGAATTACATTGCAAACAGTGATGATCAATTTGTTAAAAACATATCCAGTCTAAAGATAAATAAGGTCATGTCTATTTGCATTTGTACTGTAAATTGAGTTAAAGATACACAAATATGCATAAGGCCAAGCTTATAGAGAGATGGATGCATTATATGCATAAATTAAACATCAAATGCACAATTGCAAATACTTGCAAAGTTTTTATATAGTGTACTCCAAAGTTATTTCCACAGTTGAACATAGTGACAGGGCTGTAGGCCCTGTGTTTTCATAGAATGAATGTTTGTATCTGTTTTGTGTTCCTTTCACTAGCACGTGTCTAAGGGCTTGCAAAATATTACATTTTTACCTGATAGAATGCAAAATAATCAGACAATATGTGACCCAGTGGCTAAAAATTGCCAATACAGTTCACAAATTCATGTACACATGTGGGGTGGTGATTTCATGGAGAATGTGTTACTGATTTCTTATCCAAGAATACATCTTAAGTGTAAATTACCGGTAAGATTTTTGTCTTACACTCATCTGAGAAGAATGCAAAAAACGGTCAGAAAGCAAAACCAATTGTATGAAATTGAAATTGTTCTATAGTGGTAAACTACAAGTGCTACAGAGTACAGACTATCAAAATGCCTTGAATCTCCACTTTCAGACAATATATATATCGAAAACTGAATTCTTTCCAGTTAATCTTTAGCCAATAAGTCACATTATGATATTTATCAAATATATATCATACTTACACCAAAGAGGCTGTAGAGCTCTGTACAGAGTTCTTCCATGAAGTTCATATCACTAATTTTAGGGAGTACATGGTCAATGGTCTCCTTTGAAAACTTTTGCTTAGCCTGAGGTAGCCACGCCCAATGGTATGGATCTGCAAACATGAAAACAAAGAAAGTTTGGATTAATAATGATAACGACAACTGTTGTTTATACATCACCTTACATAGACAAGGCAGAAGTGACCAATGCCAGTAAACAACTAGGCGTTGTGGCGTGCGCCTGTAATCCAGCTAACAGTGGAAGTTACAAACTGTATGTCTCCTAGCTATACATTATCTACATGTATGTTTAACTATTACTTGTTGATATTAATACGGGCATAAACACAAACAAATAACAAACAAAGAAACATGCTGAGGTCATACTCACATGTCCTCCACTCATCTGGGTGCTTGAAAGGGAAGGCTAGTCCATTATCGATGGCCGCTACATGAGTGACCGGCGAGGTGACCATACCCCAGTCCTCGCCTGATTCATCAAGGTTCTGTTGCTGGTTCTCTACCATCGTCGTCTTCTCATATTTGATCAGCCAGTTGTCGTTACCCCTATCTGTATGGGGAGAAAGATGGATGAAAGGAAAGTTGAGGATTTGTTTGGCAACATAAAGCTTTTGAATTTATCCGTTGAATGCCAAAAAGGTGTAACTAAAACCCTATTAAACAGAAATAAAGTCCTGATTTATAATATTTTTGGCACCTACTTTCATATCTTTGTAAGGATAATAAAAAATAATAACAACAATAGTAATAATAGTAATAATAGTAATAATAATAAGAAGAAGAAGAAGGAGAAGAAGAAGAAGAAGAAATCTTGTATATGTAGAGTAGCCTCATCAGTATTAAAAATTGTTCTCCCCAAGGGCCCTGCAATCATATTATTACCTGACTTTAGACATGCTACCATGAAAAGGCACTCAAGCATTCAATGAATTACTTCCAACCTATTTACCTCACCTCATGAGACTGGTGTAGGTTTATAGAAGCAGTGTAATGTAGCGTGGGTTCCACATTACAGGGAGAACCGACATTAAAGGAGGCACCAATCTCACTAAGTGGATGAAGTATTACTAAACATGGCCATCCAATATGGGAAGGGATTCACAGAGGATATAATTTTGTCTTCTTTTCTTGGTACCTTTATCCCTACCTCTTTCCATTTATTTCATATCTTATATACTAATACCACTAATCGCCGCGGGGGGTCCAAAACGGTTCCTCAAAAACCTCTTTCCCCGACCCCGCTCGCCTCCGCCGTGGCGCGGGAACGGTGGCAAAATTCCACGAGGCCTGTCTCCCGTAACCCGCGTGCCACCTCGACCCCGCGATCGACGTCCATGCCGTTAAACGCGGTTTCGGGGTTTCGGGGAGGACGGGCGGACGAAAGCACGGCGGGCGTCGTGGATTGCAAGGAGGTGACGAACCCGCGAGAGCGAGTTGACAAGGCGTGCTCCCGCCCTCTGTCTAATTATCAAAGAGAGACGAAGAGACACACAATATACGAGAATCCACTCGCGTCAACGGGTGTAGCAAATCTCATCGTAAAAGGGTGCGGCGTACCCCGAGTTAGACCTCTTACTATAGGATATGCTTTGTAGCGTGTCAGAGAAATACACATTAACCGATGACTCACCCCGGTGATGAGATGTAGTAAATCTACGCTCTGACGGGCTGTGCTTACCCGTGTTATGGATCTTGCTATAGGGTATGCTTTGTACGCCAGACGGCCTATGCCTGTACGTGTATGCGATGATTTTACGCTCATGTCACACACACAGTCGGTTTGCGACTTTCATTCTATGATTGCCGTGATTTGTAATTTGTATATAGTTAACGTGAATTAGAGGTATGAAAGCAGGGCTAACTTTGTGATTATTCCGTCCATGTTTACTGAATTTTGATAATCATTCTTCAAAGTAAAGTTTTCACAAGAAATCCATCGTAACTTACAGTTCAGTTGCAAGCTGGCTGCCTTGAGGCTCGAGTCCACACACGGACAGCGCATTGCGCCACTGCACTGCTGCCGAGCACTGTCGGAACTGTGACTGTGTGTGAGCTGAGCTGGGCTACATAGAGTAGAGTATATCCAATGATATATAATTTAAGACCACACGTATCTCAAACTGAATATGGAATTGTTTTTAGGATGTCGACACTGAAGGTTCTCCCCTTCAGATTTCTGCAGGCAATAAGTTCTTATAACAAATTGTTTTTCTCCTGATGGGGATGGGGAGGGGCAAAATTAGAGGGAGCCGAGGGGAAGATTAGTTTACCTGTGTTTCTAATGATGTAATCTAAGACCACAAGCCTCTCAAATTGAAGTTGGAATTCTTTGGATGTCGACTCTGGAAGGTCCTCTCCTTCAAATCTCCGCAACCAAAAGTCTGCATCCTTGAAACCACTCACAAACAGCTGGAATGATCCAACCTGAAGAAACACACAAACAAAACAACAAAATTAAAACAATGTTAAAAGTATTGTGGTTCAGTGGGTAAGTCACCAGACTATGAATCATACAGTGCAGGGTTCAAGTCCCTGCCACTTATCAAACGTCCTATTTGGCAAGAATTTATTCTATTTTTTCTACATTCTTGACCGAGTATAGTTGTGGGTAACTGCTACGATTGATCCTAAAAATGGACTTAGTGCTGATAATGGTTGCAGGAGCTAAAGCCAGAATAACTTCAAAAGCTCTTGTTAACACCATATTAATACTCCTGTATCATAATATATATGCTCTACAAAATACAAAGTATTATTGGTGTTACAGGTAGAATCTTCTTTCATTACAAAAAATGTATTTTCTTCAAATACAGGGCATACTGTACAAAATGTATGTTGTGGTTTGCACTTAAATGTATTAATATCTGGTACATTTAAAAAGTATCATAAACATATTTCTTTAGAAATACATACTGTATCATTACCGAGTTGAGCTATTTCTGTGTTTTTATTGGATTTGTATCATATTGATATTGTAGGGATTTATTTTCTTCCATAAACATAATAATAATAATAATCTTTTAAAGCCCACTCCAAATTTTATTAAGTTAAACCGAAAATGGAAATTCTTTTTGCCTAATTGATCGTGAGCCCGGCAGACACTGAGCAGCACCAGATCGACGTTGCTCTATCCCTTATTGTTAAACGCCAAACAAGGTAGCAGCAACTCCTGTCTTTTAACGTCTTTTGGTATCACACGGCCAGGTTTGAACCCACGACCTCCTGGTTGTGAGGCGGACGCTCTACTGACTGAGCCAACACACCAACATAGCAAAAGTGCAAAATAATCAAATTAATCTACCGGTAGTTATATTACCCCCTTGATAGTACATGTAGTTCATGTACTTCCTTTTGAGAAGAAAAAATAAAATGGGTGCCAGGGTTAAAAAACTAAAAGTTACATAAAATAATGATATTGAAATGAGTGTGTTCATAGTGTACAAATGAACATAGTATTGATATTTAATGAGAATATTTTACAGGTCCGAAATTATCTTACACTGGAAAGTGTTCATAACTTCATAATCATTCTTATGACTTAATATTACTTCCTGGCATAGTCTCTGAATTATACTTGCCGATGGTGCCTAAAATAAACCAAGAGGTTCGACTCACATTTCATTTCATGTCCTTCATCCCTAGACTTACCATATGTTTGTAATTCAATCATAATTGATTGTATAGACTTGTACTGGTAGATATTACTGTAGCTTACAGTAGTCTCCACTGTGTGATGTGCATGCACAGTACATGTACACAACTTGTCACTCATGGTTTAAAATTTAGTACATGTGTGTATGAGTTTTACCAAATTGAATGAATACTTAATTATGCTTCTGCGTTTTCAAACGTTACTTAAAAACTTCAGCTGACAGCTGACAGAGACAGCACTCTTTGATATACAGTGTACCGGTACACTGTAACAACTATGCACACAGTGCTGTACAAATAGAATAGTGCACCATAAAAACTGTTAAGCCTTATTAGTAGTACCATGTAATGGTAATTAACAAAGAATTGGTATATATAGCAACGACAAGGTGATTTTCAATACCAGTCATGAACTCATTGAGTTGAAACTGCATGATAAATGATTGGAGAAGTACTTCTATAGCTTGTAATCAAATCATGTACATTTTGTATAAAAATGGCAAAGTGTTAAACATTACACCAACATTTTGTTCACAACCTTTTTGAAGGATTACACTGGATTTTCTGAAGGAGGGCTAAATCCAATCTCATACAGATGTACATTATTTAATTTGGTTCAAAAAGTTCTGCTTCAATAAGGCTATATTGTAGCTTGTATGTAATACTACCTTTATCTGTTAAGGCATGCTAGACAAATATCAAGCTTGCACTTTGCTCCGACCATTCTATTCATTACATAGTACAAAACAAATCTCTAATTGTAATTTTAAAAAAAGAAGAAAAAAAATATGTGATGGTTCACTGAGCTTGTAAGCTGTAAAACTAAAAATGGATGAAAATTGTCAAATTGTAGTTTTACTATTCAAATAAGCTAGATGTAGTATGTACAACTTGTAACAGTGCTAAAAATATCAGTGTATAATAATATGTACACGTAGTGCATTCAATGGAATAGATGCTCATTGACTATCGGTAGTTACTGTGCGTTGTGCATACACATTTTATAAATTGTGTATTGAAGTTTTGGCTAGACAAGCATTGTGTGATTTTGTTTGCCAGACAAGCAGACAGATTTACCCATTATCGAAGTCTTGAACAATAAACGGCGTGAAACCTTCAAAATGTTGATTTTATATTCATCCAGGTAATGGGGGCTTTGCAAGTAAACCAATACTGTACAGAGTACATGTAGGAGTGGATTCTCATGGGGAATCCCACGACATTTGGATGTGTACCCAATATCAAACAGACACTGCTTGAAAAGTCGAGCCACTCTCCCTCTCCAAGCGCTATAGTTCTCCTTAGAACTATAAGCTAAGAAAGATAACAAACAGTCCTTTTCAGGACTACACACCCCCAAGAAAGATTACCGAGTCAGAGTCTTTTTCAGGACTCCTCAATCCTCTCTCTCTCTCTCACATGGTGCACCCGCAAGCCTACTGTATAGACACTACATTGTCAATCATCAGGACTAAATCCTTCAGTTCTATGACCAACCATCCATTCCCCATATTATTATCTTACTTTTCCCTCCCAAAGACTCTCCGAGAGGCAGGGAGGACCTCCCTGCTTAGCGGTATTTCTTGATAGGCCTACAGGTTTGCTGTGTGCAGAGTCTGCAGACTTTTACACCCATTAAAAGGATTTCCACCAAGTCTGTTATCAGCGAATTATGACCTTCTACAGATGACCCTCTCCCTTAAGTTTTCAAACACATTTTATTGATGCACACTACTCATTTAATAAGCATGGCGGACTATAATTTCTGACAACACAGAAAAATATCTGATCCAGATACATTGACATTAATTTCGTTTTGCTTTGTTTTTTTAAAACTTTACATGTAGCTGAAAAGGGTAAAGTTCAACATCACATGCTATTATCTGGCCCCTATTACCAACCAATGGATTCTCTTCTTGTATGTAAATATCATTGTATGAAAATGTATTGCTCTATTGATGTTGGTTAATAATACAAAAAAAAAATCATAAGCATATGTGAGTAAAAGCCAAGAACAGGGTATTGATAGGCTTTTGCCAATCTTTTGGCCCATTGTTTTTTCACATACAGACATATACAGTAGTAACAGAATCTACAGTATATGTGTTTAATTTTTTTTTAAAGACATTATAGGATGTGAAAAGTGAAATAGATGACTTATACATCAACGGAAAGCTTATAAGCAATAGATTAATTACAATAATATGCTATTTTAATGTCTGTCAGAGGAGTAGCAGCTCTCTGTTTGTCGACCTAAAAGCTAGCTACACTGTACATGTACATCGACTCAATGACATCATCTTACATGTTTGTGGAGTAGGCATATTCACAACGACTTTGCATTAATTAAGCAGGGCTCATTGCCTCAGCTATAAAGGCGAGCCGATCGGGTCCACGTGATATATGTCGTCACCGTAACTGCAGCTAATTTGACCCCTGGTGACCCGTTACTTGGAGCCTTGGAGGGTACGGAAAGTGAGTTTTTATTTGCTTTTGAGCAATACTGAAAGGGAAAGTGTTTGAAGATAGGGTCTTTAATCATGTTAATCATGACATTTATATACAGTGTATATGAAACTTGACACTAAAATAATATATAGGATACTTGCATGATAGTCTAATCATATCATTGTTGGCATGTACATGTACACTCTCCTAGAATTACAACTCTACAAAGTATTACTCACAGCGCGTCACGCAATCTCACCGGACTTGATGCAAGTGACCCTTGATATTTCTCACACTTTGTTTATATCACAAGAAGATTCCATGTATGAGAAATTTAGTTGTAGATATTTCCTCATACATATAATAAAGGATGATTTAAGAGGATTAGTGTTCATGAATGCAATCATTAGTCATTGCACTTGATTAGATCTGTATTCCTATGGGAAGTTTGTGAAATTAATAGATACATTAGTACGATTGTAACAAGATATTTTTGTTATGTTTCAATGGTGTTCTACAGTCAATTACACTGATATCTGTTATTTAACATATTTCTCAAAGGAACCAAGTAGTCCCTGAATTAAGAGAGAGGGAGGGGGAGGGAGAGAGAGAGAGAGAGGGGGGAGAGGGGATGGAGAGAGAGAGAGGGGGGGAGAGAGAGAGAGAGAGAGTGAGAAAGAGAGAGAGAGAGAGAGAGAGAGAAAGAGAGAGAGAGAGAGAGAGAGAGAGAGAGAAATGGAGAGAAAGAGGGGGGGGGGGGGGGAGGGTGGAGAGGGGGGGGGGGGGAGAGATTTAGAAAGAGAGAGATAGATAGAGAGAGAGGGGGGTAGGGGTAGGAGGGGGTGGACTTGGAGGGGCGATAAGAGAGAGAGAGAGAGAGAGAGAGAGAGATTGTATGGTATGTTTATATGAACCAACAGTACAGTAAATGTACCCAGTATACATGGACATAAATGTGATGACAGATTGCTAACTCCCATCAGGCATCAGTCATGCATAGATTTTGCCCTTATACTAGATTCAAGAGTAAGCCCCCCCCCCCCCCTCCCCTCCTCCCTTCACACACAATCATACTTGAGCACGAATTAACATATTTTGGGTCAGCTGTTCAATTACGGTATGTGGGCTGGATCAAAAATAGAATGGGGGGGGGGGGGAGAGAGAAAACCCTGAAAAGTTGCAAAATCATGCGTGTCAATAAAACAAATATTTACCAAGGAAATCATGGTAGGGGTACCGCCGTATCGATATTAATTTCAATCATGATATACAGTGCAATGATTGGATGATCTTTTCGTTGCCTTAATGAATAATCTGTAACATAACACCAGTGTTATTAGGAGGATATTTGCCTGTAGGAGGCCTACATGTACAATACAATGAATATCATTATTAATGTACTGTATGCTTAGGCTTTGTATGTACAGTGTACAAGTAAGTATACAGCTCAATACTGTCATAACTCACACAAGTACAAGAGAGTTATTGAATTCTCAATCAATCTCAGTTCACAATGTACATGAACAGTGTATGTTCTTCAAAACATTTGTTCTCATTTAATTACTTCAGTTAACTAGCCTTCCTATTAAACTAATACATACAACCTTGTATACTCAAAATATGGAGTTAAATTTGATTGTTTTCAACAAAAGAGAAAATAATGACAACAATTATTTTCTAAAACAATGCAAGCACATTCCCACTGAAGGGCTGAATTTTGAAATTCAAAATGACAATTTGTCAATTTGCTACATGTATGCTCAGAGTCAGATCACGACACATAAATACAAATATACATGCAGACCTGCCAACCTCTGGAGTTCAAAAACTGTATTCTTTATTCCCAAATACTGTTACGCGGATCAATGCCTCTTACAGTTCCTACATACAGGTAGAATTTTTTTTATGGATCATTGGTTGAATATGCATGATTTCGTCACGACTGGAGTTCGATGAACCAATGAGCATCCCTAAATTGCCGATGTAAGATGCTTGTAGGATACTTTACAGGACAGAATGGTCATTTTGGAATTTTTTGTTGCTGTTGAAAATCATATTTTATTGAGGAAAATCGTACTGTCGTATTTTCTTCTAAAAATCGTACAAAATACGACTAAATCGTACTGGTTGGCAGGTCTATATCACTTATATTACACATTCTGTACCCACTACAAGTACAGAGTACATTCGCATTATCATATTACCAAATTGTTTTGATGTACATGTACTTGTTTGTCTGTCGTATGATTCATATGTCAAATGCAAAAGAAACAATTAACATAAATTGATAGATGAAATGAAATCCCTCCTCCTCCCCACATTCATTCAATTCACTTTAATTGTTGCTAGTGCATATCATGGTTCTTTTTTATTACATTATTTTTTTCTTCATTGTCTCCTGTTGCACTTTTATGTCACTATAAGAAGGCGTCAACTAATTTGATGGTGGAATTTCGTGATCTATTTGTTCAAAACCTTTATCATCTCATATTATTTTCTTTCTTCAAACAATCGTCCCTACTTCTCTATTCTTTAATTTGCATCAGCTCTCTTTCCCTTTCTCTCTCTATATATATCCTTCCCCTTCTTCCGACTCATCCCCTTCTTACCCCATCTTGATCTTCCGTTCTTCTTCCTGTATCAACCCGTCTCCTTTTACTCTTTCTTTAGTGATCATGCTATTTGTGTAATTTTACTTCTTTATCAACATGTATATTGATCACTCATGTGTATTTTGATTATTACTGTTTTTTTGTTGTTTATATACCGTGTAACATTTCCATTTATTCAATTTGGACTAATAAGATTGAATTGAATTGAATTTAATTGAATGTGTCTGTGCAACCCTTCTACATGTACTGCATGTCTTCTTACCTTTGGTGGTAGCCCAATACGATTGAATCTTCTACCAATGGCTTCAAACTTCTCCAAGGTGAACTTTTTCGTCTTGGCTTTTGCTCTATCAATTGGAGAATAGTTGAAAGTTTCACTAGCTAATTTGACAACCTGCAGAAAAGTAAGAAATAAAAATAAAGAGCACAAAAAGATACAAGTGTCATTCCAACATCTGTTATGTTTATGGGTACACTGGATTCTTTATTACAGACCAGCTAATATTTATTTCTCAGGAGTCAATACTTCAGATTTGCATTCTATTTTTTTTCTTCCAGTCTCTGTCATGATAACAAATCACTTTGACAAGTAAAGCAAAGAATGACTTAACATTTCAATTATCAAATTTATTTGGCTTTTCAGAAAACCACTGATTCACAGAGGTTTCAATATTGTTCATAGGAAAACACTCTAGAATTAACAATGCTGGCATTCTGATTTAAAAAGTGCACTAGATTTTCCCTTCATAGCAGAAACTAAAGTTTAGATAATGAATCTTATCACTTAATCAAGTTAATGTCAAATATAAAGCCCTCTAAACAGTTAATTATCAACTTTAAACTGAAACTAATTTTTATCTTCAAGTTATAATTTGAATAAGTTAGAAGATGATAGTAGAGTAAAACCTCAAACATAAATTTAAGGAAGTGAAACTTAAACAATGGCAGTTTTCACACCACTGATTCCTTAACGTTTGTTGATGCATGTACCTAAAGATCATATTTTGCCTACAGACCATCTGAGAGGCCTTACAGTACTTTGTATCAAATTATAAGGTGCAGTACACATTGCAACAATAATTACTATCATTCTAATCATGTAATGATAAATGACAACTTTCGGAACAATCAAAGTGGTGAAAATCATTTTCAGATTGTGTAGCAACATAATGACCAAAATCAAAATGAAAAATTTCACAATTTTTATCTATAAGACAAACAATACTTCACAAATGGATGGTTTCACTTTATCTTTACAAAGAATTCTTTACCCTTGTCTTTGGTACTACATTGAGGCCGAATTTCTTGTCCACTAGGTAAGCTCCAGCCTCGGAAAGGTATCCCTGGTTCGGTAAGAGACAACCTCTCCCAAAGCAGCATGGAAAGCATGTCTTCTGCATCCATTTTGTCCACTTCGGGTTCAGTTGACCGTAGGGCTCCTCGCTCTTTGGCTTGAAGACACCAATCACCTTCTACAAAAGAAAAAAACATGCAATGAAAGTTGATGATTTTGTACAGCTTCTTCTTCTTCTTTGCTATAAGTACAGGCCACCATCGGGTGTGTTCTCGTACTGACGATGGTGCTGTGCAGGTGTATATATACCGTACAGTGTCTCATTAAAAGGGCTTTGAGGAACTGCAGCTAAAAAGACATCCGTAGCTTAACGGAGCTGGATCTGGAGTACCTCTCTCTTACAGCTTGGCAGAGAGGTACAGGTGACCGCGGCCTGCGGAAGTGAGTTCCAGAGCCTGGTGGCATCAGGAAAGAAACTCCTTTGCAGTACTTGCGTCTGGGCATTTGGCACTTCGAGTTTTTGGTCATGGCCTCTTTGCAAAGCAGGTAGCGATAGAGTCAGAACTGTCTCGATATCAGCGAGTTCTCAGAACATCATCGCTACCTTCGCCTGGGCTCTCCTTTCTAGCAGAGTTGGCCATTGCAGTTGGTCGAGCATAAGCTTGTGCTTATTGATCGTGATACATGAACTTCTCTCGTAAATATTTTTTCGCCCATCTGCCGTCAGCTTCTTTTGAGGTACTTGGATTCTGAAAGTGTACATGTACATTGTATATGTACTTTGTTCACATAATAAATTAAAGACCTTCATCTGTAAATATATTTGTACAAATCATATAAATTATAAATCTCAGAAATGAATGATTCAAACCCAAACTGATTTAAAACATTGTATGCATTTGCATATACAGATATACGATTCTAAAATCTATGTGAGTTGAATTTTGACTACATGAATCAGAACATTTAAATGATTTATCTACTTCAAGTTCTTGTATCCCATGCCTAGTAACCAAAAACTGATTTTGCTTTATTGTTTTTGTGTTTTGTATTACAACATGCCCTAATTCATGGGCAAAAGTATGTCCCATGACATTCAAACAATCCTCATCGAAAGACGATTTCCTCCCCTTCTCAATTGACATGATTGAACTTACCCCAGTGTAACTCTTGACGAAATAACTCCCGCTTGAGCCCTGTGATATCCTTTCAGGGTAAATGCCATGAATTATCGCCTGCTCTGCCTCTCGAATAATTGCTGTAAAATCTGGGTCATCTGAAAATGTGTTGAAATCCTCGAGCGATGACGAGTTTCTGCTTCTACTCCGCACCGGCTGAAGGAGGGGTTCGTTCTCTGTTTCTTGCCGGCTGTGCCCGGCGGGAGAACTCGTCATGGAATTGTCCAGTGTGGCCGTGTTCGGTTCAAAAATTACATCTGGAAGACCATGTAAATGAGGTGGCTCGATCCTGTTTTCAACATGAACGTTCACATTCGCGACATATTCATCACTCGATTCTAAGTCAAGTAGTTTCCCATTATTGCGGCTGTCGCTATAATCAGGTCCTACCGGCAAAAGAAGTTCACAATCTGATTCACCACGTCGATTGTCAATACGTTGGACTACGGTACTCATCCCGAACACTGTGCCCCCACAGCTTTCTGCATTGAATGGACGTGTGACGTGTGTGCAGTGGCGCTAAACTTACGCTAAGATACAGCGCAAGATCAGACCTTTGGTCCTCTTTATCTCCCGATCAGTCAACCGATTAATAGTACTAAGAACTCATTAACCATACCGTCTGCATTCACGTAATCAAATGTGTTGGCGACAAACAATGGACAATTGATAACTTGGCTAGGCTAGGTCGACGACGTGTATTTCATTCGTGTAATAATGTACGTATGATCACCCACGACATCGTACGTCGTTTGCCAGCTGAAAGCCCCATGACGTCATTTAACAAAAATAAAACAGTGTGATCCAACATCATTCATCATATTCATATTTGGGGAATTTTGTCAAAGTCGGAGGCATCCAAATTCGATAGTCATATTTTGAAGGGGCTGAATATCAAGTGGATGAGATGAGGCTTAAACATGACAATTTCCTTTTACAAAAAGTGTTTGTCTATCGTAGAATTGGTTCTAGGACAATTACCCCCTGGGCAATTATTCAACCCCCGGCCAATTACCAGCGGGACATTATTAATCCCGGAAAATATCCCCCTCCCCCCCCCCCCCCGAGGTGACTTACCCCCGAAATAAAACAAAATGAAATAAAACCAAATAATTATTAAGGTGGATATCCCCTTCAATGGATGAACAGGGGGAGGCCGGGGGGGGGGGGGGGTAATTGTACTAAGGTGATATTTTCAGGGTGGAGGTTAACCTCTTTGGGGTTAAGTGTCCACGGGGGGCCGGGGGAATTATCCTAGGGGTAATTTTCCTTGGCCGGGGGGTGGGGGTGGTTATTGTTCAGGGGGTAATTCTAGTTGGATTCTATGTTGTCAGTCCTTGAGGGGCGGCAGTTTCCTCGAGCGGCCCGAGGGAAATTGAGTCCTCATAGACTGCATGCATGACCTCATTGATTCTTCGAGTTTTTCGAAAAAAAGGCTGCCTATATTGTTTTATATCCCGCATCCAATTCTATTAGGTCTAGATCCTAAATATTAGATCAAAATCTAGGCGATCGAAACTTTATTTTTTAAAAGCTCAACCTAAATAGCCTTTACCTGACCTTTTGCACCATCTTAACGAAAAGAACTAGCACGACAATCGGAATGCAATCGTTGTGTGTCCTGAAAAGATGATTATGCGGACAGATGATTTATCAAACATTAATTTGAAAGAAGTTTGCATGCCAACATTTCAGGAATCTTTTAGAACTTGTACGCTGAAAAATGTTATTTAGGTATACTATTATATTCATAGGGGTTCTATAGTTGTAGCAGTTTGGTGCATATTCCTGGTAAAATGCAATGGCAAAACGTTACAGATTTATTTTTGTAAGCACAAGACCCCCCCCCCCCCCCCACTATTTATACGCGATAAAATGAGATCCTGATTTTTAATTTTTTTTTTTTGGTATAGCATTCTTTATTGTATTCATTCAGTACAAAATATATCCAAAAAACGAACATCTTCATCGATTTACATAACATATCAAAATATGGAAAATTGTACATTCCTCAAAGATATATAATATAGTTTAATACACATGTATATAATGTTTTCAAATTAATTATACTGAATGAAGTAAGTCAAAGCCGCACAGACAGACAGACACACCACACACGCTCACACACTCAGACACACATACAAACTTACCTCCCCTCCCCCCTTCATTCCAAAGCTCAACAAATCCCCCCTCCCTTCCCAAGCACAGTCACATCTACACATTTTGTTGGAAATCCTGTCTCTTCCTTTTCCTTATGACCAAATTATATTTTTAAAAAGTTTGAGTCTGAGAAAGAATTATTTGCCTCGCCGTCCTTAACTGTGAAAGTTGTCCCATTTTCTGAAGTGAAGTGTTATAGTGCCTCTCTCCCCCGCTAATTCCTTTAATGCTTGCCTATTTTCTATAATTCTTTTTCTAATTTCTTGAGAAATTGGGGGTCTATTTTTAGTTGAAATTTATTTAAAAATCATATGTTTTGTTAAAAGAATAATGTGATTTAACAGTTCTTCTTCTACGGCATTGGATTTTTTTTTATCCCGATATGAATTTCTTGCCAGTGTAGATGTTGTTAACGCTGATAAAGCAAAAAGGTCACCGCAGTCCTTACAAATATGTGCTACATCTTCACAGGTAAAAACAGATGTTCAAAGGTCTCTTCGTGTTTATTGCAAAGGAGCAAAACTTGCTCACTACATGTTTGAAAGTGTATAGATGCTTATTTGTATAAATTATATTATTTAACATTTTATATTGAAATTCCCTCAGCTTTCTGTCCAGAGTGGATTTTCGGGGTTATAAGAAAATTGTTCTCGTGTCATTTTCGACCATATTATATTACGTTCTAAATTGCATATAATAAGATTTTTCCGTTCTTATACGTGTATAGATATATTTGGATGTTATATGCCTTGCAAAGAGTGGGGGTTTCCGTTAATAATAAATTCTAAACTTAATTCGGTATCCTCACAAGGATTTTCATATATTTTTTATTCAAAAGAGTTTTCCACGAGTATGGAATGCCTGCATATAACTGTTTTATTATATTTATTTCAATGTTGTTTAAACCCACTTTTCTTAAATTCTGTGATAGATTTTAACTCAACTTTCCTATCAGCAATATGATGTATTTTAAAGACATTTTTTAGAAATGGGTCTTCATGGAAATATATATGCCCCTGAATGCGGATACATCTATTATTGTAAATAATTTGATTTCTTTTTGAAATGGCGTTCTTAAGCAAAAAGGCTTTTGTCCCTAACCAAGCCTCTAGCATGCTACGGTAAACATCTGGTAATGACAGTCCAAGTAAATCTGGCGATACATTACTGAAAAATATCAAGAGGCCGCCATATTTTCTAGTCAGGTATTCAAAATAACGTTTCCAAATCATATTTGAATCTCCTGTTATAAGTCTTTTCATCCACATGATTCTTAGTGTTCGAATAAATAATTGAAAATCTGTCAATTTAAGATCTCCCTCATCGTAATCTAAAAACATAGTACTCCGTTTGATTTTAACTTTTCCATTCCATAAAAAAATCAAATGTTAACACTTCAATTTCACGGAATGCCCAAGGTGGTACTGGTGTGAGTGATGATACATAATTATACTAATTTCGATAGAACAATAGTCTTTATTAGTTGAATTTTCCCCCATCAAAGTCAAATCTCTTTGTTTCCACCACATAAGCAGCTTTTAAATTTTACTTAAGATTTATTTGTAATTAATTTTCTCTTGGCTTTCCACGTCTAACGTAAAATGTATACCTATATCTTTACAATGTAGCATGCTTTTAATTCTCTTCGTTTCAGTTCTAAAGATTCAATCTTCTCATTATCTATTGCTTTCAAAAGATCATCTTCAAGGGAGAGTATTTCTATTTCTAGATTCACAATTGTTTCCTTTCTGAGCTTTGCTTTTTCTTTCGAATATTTTATGATACAATAATAGTTTATTTTCACTTTATAAATCCCATAAAACTCTTTTACTTTCTATTTCTGTTTTATAGTCCTTTTTCAGTTTAATGATTGCGGTTTTCATTAGCACAATGAACTTTTCATCTTTACTCAAACTATTATTAAATTTCCAATAAGATCCTTTGAATTTGATATCATTCGAAGGTAAGTTCAAAAAGTTTAGTTGTACAGCTGAATGATCAGGAGCTAGATGATATTATATTGCATTTTGATATTATTTCATCAAATTTTTCGGATTCAAACCAATAACCAAGTCTACTTTGCATAAAAGGATTGATTATTTTGTCTATAAGTAAATTGCTTTATCATTCCATTTCTCATGCACTCTCCAAATATCAATCAAATTTAAAGTATCCCCAAAATTTTCAAAGAGTCTACCAAGTTTTGAGGGAACCTTTCGTTTACCAGTTCCCATCATGTAATCCAGGTCAAAATTGCTGATCGTGTTGAAATCACCTCCTATTATTTGCTAATTATTTTTTTCCATTAACCGCTGTAAGGGCTTTTTCAAACTCAAGTACAAAATTATTTTGTTATAATTCTTTTGAACGAACTGGAAAATATACATTCGCTATTTGTAAGCCTTAAATAACCCTTGTATAATGCACTCCATTATAAAAAACCTATACCATTATCATCTGCAATTGCATTAATGACTTGAATATCTAGTTTAGAATCAAATAAAATCCTTTACTATGGTTTGTCCCATGACTAAAATACGATCTACCATTCCATAGTGCCTTCCAGCGCTCAAAATACACGGGGGCGATGGGCGATTCGCACCCGTGAGCTCTATAATCGCCCCCGTCAGGTTGCTCACGGGGGCGATTGCAAAATTAAAAATCGCCCCCGTGGAATTATAAAATTAAGATTATCTTTTCTGATATAACTTTAACACAATATTGAGTATTAATTTTCAAACCTTAAACCAATGAAATGGAACTAGATGGCGCTTTCTCTACCATCTCTACGAGTATTCCCGATACAAACAACGGAAGCTCGCGGTGCGGCCGTCAGCACAGTGGCTATATCGGTGTGCACGCTGACGCCAAATATCTGCTGGAGCTGGAGATCGACAATCGCGCAAGGACTGAAACATGGAGAAGTTTTTCGTTGTGAAAGTTTGAATCCTCTGAAATCTGTTGATTCTTAAAGACCAGCAAATAATGTAACCCGACCAGTAAATCAATATTGAGAAGAAGAAGAAGGCATAATGTTGCAGGGGCGGATCTAGGCGGTTCGGGGGTTTAACCCCCCCCCCCCCCCTCCCCCTTGGGCTGCCAAAGAAAAATGTGATATGCACAGAAAAATACTATCATGTGTCCAGACCTACACAGTATTAGAAGATGTCAGTAGATGCCAGGAAAACATCACTAACGGGGGTTCAAAAAAGCACCAAAAAATCGCCTCGCTGCTACGCGGCTCGTGGACGATGCTCCACATCGTATTTGGGGTACCCCCCCCCCCCCCCACCACCCTTAGCAAAAAGTTTGATCCGCCCCTGTCTTTTTGGAAGGATTATGGTAAAGACTTAAAGTAAAGAAAGAATGTAAATAAGGTTGCTCCGAATAATGAGGAGGAAATTATGTGCAGAACGGGAAGAAATGGAGAAAACGTCCTCATGGGGATAAAAGTCAATAACAGCTATGTAACAAGTAAATTTCTAAGAGGAAAAATACCGACTTAGATAAATGATAATAATAAAATACCAAGGAGTTTCACGGGTACCAATTTAATGGAAATTTGAATTAAAAAAGAGCCCCCGTCTGCACTAAAAGCGCCCCCGTGAGAAGGCTCACGGGGGCTCTTTTTTTTGGAAGAGCCCCCGTGGGCAAAAAATTAATTTGAGCCCTGGTGCCTTCCATTCGTTTTCTACTTCTTTGGTGCTATACGTTTCCTGTAAAAAGATCCGACCGTTTATCTTTACACCACATCAATATTTCTGTCTCTTTAATTTTTCTCGAAATCCCAAAGGAAGTTCAAAAGAGTTGACTTTTGGCGACCACACAATCAGTAATTGTTGATCTGCGATCAGTAAAGGTCAACGAACTTTTAAGACGGGTCCCATCCATTGAACTTTATACCACTGAAATTTGCACTATGCATGCAGAGTTCAGTGATTCATCCAAAATTCAGAGATAAATAATTATATAGATGGGTCTCATCTAGGTCCCTCTCGTTTACGTGTTATAGTATCCCAAAAACTGAACATACATTTTTTTGTTCAATTCTGTGTGTGTTTCACACTTGGATAGTATCTTTGAAGACGCCCGATAGAATTTATAAAAACATTTCTCAGAAAAAAAGCCTGGTAGGGATAATGTGGTGAATTCTTCCAAATGAATACATTGATCGACTTTTCCTTATTATATTACTTATTTAGACACAAAATTGGGTCACTGTAGGAAGACATATCTTGCTGAAGTGTCATTACTCATTAGTCTTTTGGTGTCATTTTTCAAATTCAGTATCGCTGAATGATTTTGTTAAAATGGGTACTTGGGTTTAAGCCCTTTTGCGACACAATAATTATTTGACATTTAAGTTTATAAATATTTTCATGTAGTGAAAGCCAAATTGTTCTATTTTCACATGATGCATGCTATGTCTTGGAACAATCTTTCACTGAATTTGTATTTAGATAGAAGGCATCGTCAATTTATGTGACCATTACCGAAAAGTCACCGTTCACGGAGTGGGGGGGGGGGGCGGGATGACACCCCTTGTTCTTTTCCAAACGCGCACTTATTCCATAAAAGGAGTGGCAATAGGTTGATCGAAAGTTACTTTTTGCTAATGGTCGCAGACATTGATTATGATTTCTGTAAAAATAAAAATTTAATGAAAAATTATTTCATGACATGATACTAGTACATTGTAATGAAAGTATACGGCTTTCATATCATGTAATATTCTAAGAAATGAAAATGTCGAGGTGTGTGGGTTACAAAAGAGGAGTGCTGGTATAGATAAACCTGCTACCTGTTGTATTACAGAGAAATTTCAAATTATTCTCACAAATCCTGGCCATTAATCAAATAATTTACAAGTATCCTAGGCCAGACATACATCCAAGCTTTTCTTGTCTTATCATCACTTAAAAGGGTATATTTGGATGAATTTTTTTAATGTAAACTGCATGACATAAATTATGTCAACAATCATATTTCAAATCAAAATTTTCTATTTTCCAATAATTATTGGCTTTTTTAGGGATACCGTAACAAAGAAGAAGAGGATTGTGGTCGCCAAAATCAGCTCAACAGACCTCACAGGTAACTCTATCTATTTTTCACTTATCTCTGTATTATCACAACCATTTCAAGAAATTAATGTAATTTGATGATGTGAAGTAATGTTCTACTGATTTAATCCTCCGGTTTTAAGTTAAACTTTAACATTATGATTCTAGCATTTCACAAACGCGCGATTGCCCGATGACATCTTGTCCCACATATTGATATTTGTGCAAGTGCAATTCAAGGCAGGAGAGATGAGCCGACGCCCATTCATATTCATTCGACCACTAACTCTAGGGGCCCGTTTTTCAAAACCGTCCAACTTCTTGATTAAATCATAACAGTTTTGTCCAATGTTTTATGCGTCAGCACATTTTTTAAAAATGACTAAAAATCAACATTCCTGAGGCCCATAAATGATACACAAGAAATTAAAAAGAAAGGGAGTCTGTTTTATGACGTAGAGTAAAGGAGCCGGTAATCGGCCAGCTCCAGTTTTCGGCCGATTGGTTGGATGCAAGGTAAAATCACTCTAAAATACATCGCATAATAGCATAACACATATCCCACACATACCATACCATGCCAGTGTCACTGAAGAACCACATTTGCAATGGAAAATATATCCTAAAATATCACATTTTAGCGATGTAATCGCCGGTCCCGCTACCCAAATCTGAAAAATTGAGTATCTTACGCGTGTCTGTAAGAAATATGGGTACCATAAAATGAGCTTTATTTCAAGTATTTTTCAGATTTAGAGCCCGATTTTGTGCTAGTCGCAAGCTCAAAAGTATCTCATCGCATGTATTACATCAATGCAGCCGCACACCGCGACGCACACACGATATCTCTGTCTAATTCAGATTCCAACTTCCGATCACTGCTGTGCCTGTCTTCAGCCAGGCGAGCACCAGGGAGCTCCGGCGTGGGATACCTGCTCCGCCCGCTTGTGCTGTACATCAGCGCGGAAACGCACGGCGCGCGCGAGCGCTTCCTATTGACTTTGTACATGCGGCCGCAAACTGAAACGCTCGGCCGATAACTGGCTCCAAAACAGTGAAAATTGAAATGAATATTGTCATGGCAATTCGTGATTTTTTTCTGGGATTCTTTTTTTGTTTAAATAATAATAATATTTGCTTCATGGTTTGAACAAAAAATGATAATAAATAGGAAGTAAAGAGTCCTAAAAATAGGATTTTGTCTTAAGTGGCCGAAAACGGGCTCCTTTACTCTATCAAAATAAAATTACTCCCAGGACCCAGGGGGCCGTTTCTCGAAACCAACTCCCTGACAGTCATATCTTTGTCGGCGACCTACGGAGATGTCATGAAGCGGATAAACCGTTTCACAAAGCCATGACAGACATGATATCGATATATCGCGATACTAGCAGCTCAAGAACATAGTCTTTGTCACGATCCATTTGATTTATGAAGAATAACCCAAAACAAGTTTTGGGGCTAAAATTGTTCAAAAAGAAATATATACATATAAATTCTCCTAAAATAAATAATGAATAGTGTCATTATCAAATGTAGATCACCAAACGATTTTCTTATTTCTGTAAAGATTCTTAAATTGAAGAAAAACCGGTGAGTGTTTTTTTTTTAACAGTCGAATGAAAAGTTAGTTGAAGGATACCGTAATGTGATAGCTTATCAATACGTACTTTTTTGTTTATTGTGCAGGGCGCGACAAACCCGCTTGCCCGACGTCCCGGGGCAACCAAATTGAGCCGTCGGGCAAGTAAATCAAATTATCACTTGCCCGATTCGGGCAAGTGATACTTTTACAGTAATTTCCTAGTGTCCAAGAACTCTACCATTCACCCGTCAACTTCTTACCCGTCGTCAAAATCCAGAAGCAAAAAAGCGATCGTTCCGATTTCGAAAAAACTTCACAGACAGCTAGCCAGCTCAGCTAGCTCAGCGCGCATGCAACAGTGACACTTCAAGCCATGAATGCCGCTCCGCCTCCACGCACGGCTGGCCGTGAGCTAGCTAGAGACAGCTAGCGCGATCGTACCAGCTGCGAGCTTATTCGCGCTCTCTCTCTCTAGCTCTGCAGGCCGCACCGACAGGCCTTTGCTATTCTCTGATTGCCGATTGGTTGAATCACGCCAAATATGACGTCATTATTCTAGGGAAATGAACACGTGCGAATCGGAATGGAATAAACAACAGGGATTTTCTAGTAAGTACAAAAAGTCAAATGTTTGATATTTATTCATAATGACTGTTAATGATTGTGAACATATTATTTAAAACTCGCTGCTCATATAAATCAGATGAATGTTTTTGTCTCGTTTTCAGTTTATTACTGCGGTCTCAAGATCCGACCGAGCGAGTCATTTTGATAATAGTATCGAGACCCCCAGAATATAAGCCGTTGTTGTTTTGTTTTCATGGTTTTAGCGACGTTGTTTAGTCTAGTTTTCGCATACTTTTCCGAGATTTATCGTAAAATATCTTCAATATTATTATTTAGTAAGAATTTACAAATTTTGGCATGATATTTATAGCAGTGAATGATGAAATAAAAATGTCCGTACTTTATTTAAAATAGTTGATTACCCATTATTTACATGACGTTTCTTGATGGAAGAGTTGACCCAAATTATTAACAGCTGAAAATTAGCCTACGTTTCCAAATGACAGCGGCTTGCACAGACACACATGTGATGTTGCACCATGGTACATGTGGCTACCATTAATGACATGTTTGTATCATATTTTTTACAACAGGGTCATTATGCTTTTTTACATGACTGAATATTAAAAACTTAAACCTGCTTGAACCATTCTACCTTGCCGAGATTCATGTGAATCTGATTATTTATGGAGAATCAATAAAATGCGTTTTTTAAACCTTCAACCATCCTTTGTTGACCATTTTCTTTGACATATTAGGTTATTATTCAGTACAGTTACACTGTACATGTATGTGCATTAATTTGCTATCTAAAACACTAACTTATCATTACGAGATAATAAATGCTTTAACCTCGAGTCCTTTTTCGCTTTAAAGTTTTGGGCAAGTGGAAATATTGTTTGGGCAAGTAAATTGAAAACCCACTTGCCCGACAGGGCAAGTGGTGAAAAAAATTCTTGTAGCACCCTGTTGTGACGAGGAATTTTAGGCAAAATACCTTTTCTCAGCCAGTTTTTATTCTAGAGTCTCATAAATACTCGTTATATAATTGATTTGATATTGAAAATATAATTTGGAAGAAGTAATTAGAGAGGGAATAATAATGCACATAGGCCCCAACGGTACGATGGTATCCGAAGAAAAGACTATGGATCGACTATGGAAAACGGTGTGTAACATTCTTACCTCTCTTATTTATATGTTATAGTTTAATGATTTGTGATTTAATGTTTATATTCAGCTTTTTAAAGTTTCTGTATAATTTGTATTCTCACTTTTGTACATTCGCATTTCGCATCCCAGGGAATTACGTACCGAACTCGTCTATATTTTTCTCAAAATGATAGTGAAACTAATCGTCCATTTCGCAGCCCATGGAATGGCAACAAGCTGACTTGTGATGGCGCTTTACAGCAATTAAAAAGATATGACAGGTTTGGAGCAGTGACAACTCGCTTGTCGCGGAAGTTGTCGCTCATCTTGGCAAAGACGGCTTCGTGAAACACTTTGCTGACAAGTTGCGTGACAGTGGCGAGATGTCATTGATCTTGTAGTTATGACTCAAGGGGCCGTTTCTCGAAACCAACTCCATGACAGTCATATCTTTGTCGGCGACCTACGGAGATGTCATGAAGCGGATAAACCGTTTCACAAAGCCATGACAGACATGATATCCATATATCGCGATACTAGCAGCTCAAGAAGATAGTCTTTGTCACGATCCATTTGATTTATGAAGAATAACCCAAAACAAGTTTTGGGGCTAAAATTGTTCAAAAAGAAATATATACATATAAATTCTCCTAAAATAAATAATAAATAGTGTCATTATCATATTTACATCATCAAACGATTTGCAAATTGCTGTAAAGATTCTTAAATTGAAGAAAAACCGGTGAGTGTTTTTTTTTTTGACAGTCGAATCAAAAGTAGTTGAAGGATACCGTAATGTGATAGTTTATCAATACGTACTTTTTTGTTTATTGTGATGAGGAATTTTAGGCAAAATGTCTTTTCTCAGCCAGTTTTTATTCTAGAGTCTCATAAATACTCGTTATATAATTGATTTGATATTGAAAATATAATTTGGAAGAAGTAATTAGAGAGGGAATAATAATGCACATAGGCCCCAAAGGTATGATGGTATCCTAAGAAAAGACTATGAATCGACTATGGAAAACGGTGTGTAACATTCTTACCTCTCTTATTTATATGTTATAGTTTAATGATTTGTGATTTAATGTTTATATTCAGCTTTTTAAAGTTTCTGTATAATTTGTATTCTCACTTTTGTACATTTGCATTTCGCATCCCAGAGAATTACGTACCGAACTCGTCTATATTTTTCTCAAAATGATAGTGAAACTAATCGTCCATTTCGCGGCCCATGGAATGGCAACAAACTGACATGTGATGGCGCTTTACAGCAATTAAAAAGATATGACAGGTTCGGAGCAGTGACAACTCGCTTGTCACGGAAGTTGTCGCTCATCTTGGCAAAGACGGCTTCGTGAAACACTTAGCTGACAAGTTGCATGACAGTGGCGAGATGTCGTTGATCTTGTAGTTATGACGGTTTCGAGAAACGGCCCCCAGATATTGATCAATGACAGAATTTTCAAACATTGTTTTAAAAAATGAAAAACTTTGAGTTACTTTATTTTTTTCTTTCCTTTTCGCCATTGTGTCAGTTTGTGTTATTAAACAAATTGTAATCATCCCCTCGCCGACGAAGTCAGAGGGGATATAGAAACGCTCCGTGCGTCCGTCTATAACAAATTTGGTTTCTGATCGATAACTTCAGTAATGTTCGACAGATTTTAATGAAGTTTGATGTAAAGGTACATGGTATCAAAATACAGGCTAATTTTGATTTCGGAGTATGTAGGTCAAAGTTCAAAGGTCATAGCTCATTAAATATCTGAAAAAATACACATCTGGTTTCTGTTCGATAACTTAAATGTAAGTAATGTTTGACGGATTTTCATAAAATTTGATATGAAGATACATGGTATCAAAAGACAGCCTCAGTTCGGTTTACGAGTATGTAGGTCAAAGGTGAAAGGTCATAGCTCATTAAATATACAAAAACACCTAATTAATGAAATATGGTTAACTTCCTGCCTATTAATATAATAGTATAGTCCAATGGAGGTAACGTGTTCCGACGTATATAGGCCATTTGTACCCTGCAAGGAGATGCTACGCTTTGCGTTGATTTGTTACTATTTTTTACAAAATGAAATATATAATTGGGAGAACTTTCTCATTGTTTTTCAATCTTTTTATTTTGCAGTTGCTATTTGGTATATTGACAAACCAGACAGCAAGGCAAAGAAAGTGAAAGCCCTATACCATGGCATCCAAGGAGACCAGGTCTGCTTCCATCTCTGAAAGTGACTCTGATGATGAATTCTTTGATGCATTAGCGAATGATGAATCAACAGGCGATAGCAAAGAAAACAAGACTCCATTAAGTAAAGATGGTGATGATAATCCAACAATTCAGTCCGTGGAGAATTGCACGTCAGGCTCAGCAGAGACCGCGAAGGACTTGACTGTGGATGGACGACCTGAGCAAGAGAAAAATATAGATGTGAGCTCAGTATCACAGACAGAGCCCAGCTTGGAGGAAATGTGTGAAAGTATACCTGATCGATTAACAGACACTGTCAGGGTTTCCGACCCTCAAGGGGGCGGCGATGCCTGCTCGAGTCCTGTAGACAATTCAGATAAAGAGAGTGAACATACTAATTTTCAAGATGCTTCCAGCAGTCAGCCATTTTCTTCAGGTGATCAAGGAAATGAGATCAATCAAGATGGAGGAGTTTTTGATGGCCTGAAGGCAGAGGAGGATGAGGATGATGGGCTGCATGAAGAAGGAGAGAACAAAGAGGAGGAGAAGGAGGAGGATAAAGTGGTAGATGAGATGGAGTTGAGGAAAGAAAGAGAAGATGCAATGACAGATGAAGAGAGAGAGGTATGTTAAATAAAGGGCGATCCAACCCTTGTAATAAGTTCATTTAAAGCCCCAATGTCCTACTTGTAGCTACTTGCTCCCTCTATATAGAAAACTTCTCCAATCGGTGGCTGTTGGTCCCCCATGATCCTCTTTTCCTTATGTTAATTGAGAGCTGAGTTGATGAGATAACCACCTGTCCAGTGACCTTGGAGCGTGGTCTAATCCCTCCTATAAACTAGTACAGATAAGCTTTAAATGGAAGCAGAAAAGTAACATAGAGTAAACAGATTGGTGAAAGTTTTAAATGCATCAGATCAATCATAAGAAAGTTATCAATTTTTTCGAATATGAGATCACAACAGCTACCAGAATTTCAAATTGGCAATTTTGTCAGTGTATTGTGATGTTGTAACAGATAACCCTTCCGTTTGCTGTGTACAAAAACATCACTAATTTGTGTTTTTCTACCAAGTGCCTTCACCCTTGGGCTGCTACTCAAAATTTATTATGGAGAGTATATTATTACAGGTCCTCTAAAAAGAAAAGAGAATCCAGAGTCATATATTTTTCAAAAATAAAATGTGTAATCACTTTGCTTGTTAAAACAAATGGGAAAGTTATCCTCTACTAATCACAGAGACAATACCCAATTAAGCTAATTTGAAGAGCCCATAGTATACTAGCGATTGCATCTTTAACAAAATCATAACTTTCTTATTTCATCGTCCAATTTCAATCAAACTTTCACCAGTCTATTTGTCTGATTTTCTGCTTTCTTCTAGAGTAGCTTGCGTTTAATGTTGAATTACCTTTTAATTAATCATGAAATGGTACAAACCAAGTCGTATTGTATCTACTTATTTCCTTCTTAAATAACAGAAATGCCTTGTGCTCTAAAAAAATTATCTTAAAATCTCCAATGTATTTTGAGCTTCTTACATCCTAGAAACAAGTAAAGCAAATAAACCTAGACATGAAAGTTACATGTACATGTCTTGTTAAAAGTCAATTAATTTACCGGGTGATGACATCGATTTATTGGTTCATGGTAGTGTGTAAAGCTAATTGAAGATCACTTTTCTTCACTTATCTTTGAAAGTTGAAATTGCTGAATCATATTGATGCCTTAGTGTTCTGATGTGGAATTTCCATCTACCTTTTCCTATGAGTTGTACTGCTTATATTGTCTTATATTTATTGATTATTCTTTTACCAAGGAACTGAAGGACGAAGCTCAGTCGCACAAGGCAAAAGGAAATAATCTATTCAAACAAGACGGTAAGAATGAAAACGAAAGTTTGTTTTTTAGGAAATCCTGTTTTGAAGGAATCCTGTTTTATAGGTATGGGGTTTAAGTCCCGCCGTGGCACTAATGAACTTTGGCAAGACGTTAATCTACATTTGCTATTCTCCACCCAGGTGTAAATGGGTACCTGATATGCTTGAGCGCTAGTTACTTTGGCAGCTCCGCTACAACCAGGCCAATATTTCAGAGCCTGGCGGATACCGGCGCTATATGGATATCCATATTATCACTATCATATATATGTAGCTAAGTTGCTTATAAAGAATTACCCAATAGAGCAGGAGATCATGTCCTTTCCTGTCTTCTAGCAATTTACTAATAAAATATATAAATTGCATTTCTGACCATAATATTGCTCTTTTGATACATGTAGTATAGTATTCACTAGCTACACATATCCTGCATTTTTGGAGATCAGACACGATCAGTTCTAATACTGGAATACCGCTTATGGATATTTTCAAGACTGATATCACTTATTTTTGTCATATATTTTGCTTCATCAAGAAATACAATTAATTGTAAATTTAAAAGATGGCAAGTGGCAGTGCAATGGATTTAAATAATTTCTATGTAATCAAAAAAAGGATGCACTTCTACATACCGGTAGATGGTAAAGGTGTATTCACCTCTAGGACCATGAATTTTCCATTGGATAATTTGTTTTTCTAGAGTTTCTGGATGCAATATCTTCATACACACAAGCATTGGAAGCCTGCCCTCTGTGTTACAAGAAGGAGAGGTCAATAATGTATGCAAACAGAGCAGCATGCAGAGTGCGCAGAGAGCAGAACGAGATGGCTGTAGAAGATTGCAATAAAGCTCTGGAACTCCATCCACACTATATGAAGGTATGATGTTAGAGCATTCACACATGGTGCCTACATGCTTAAAGGGAGTGTAGCATGACGAGACTACATGTCTTTCCCTTGGCCTGACTTTGGCCAATCAGGTATAATACGACTACAGACGCGACCGTAGTTTTCATGCGCATGCAACATACGCGAAACCGAAGCATGAGGAGAACTTTGGTCTGTTTTGCGAACGCTAGCTCGCGCTGACTGTTAATCAAGCCCATTCGTTTAAGTGCAGTTGTCCAAAAGAAGTTGTAGATGGCGTTAACCAGTATTTGCCATGCTTCACCCTCTTTAACATCAAGGCAGAAATACTGAAAGATAGATAGTCATGGAAATCTTTAGTGGTATAGAGTAGAGATAGTTACTCCAGTTTTTTGAGGCGTGATGACTCGGTGGTAGAAGAGCGGTCTTGTAAACTGGGATGTCCCGAGTTAAAAACTTAAGTCAATGTGCTAGCGCCATATCGCAAGACATTAATCCTCATTACTCAGCACCAAGTCCCCCAAAGAGGACCTTAATAAAGCTGACCGTCCCCTGGTTGCTTTCATACACTTACGTTATAACAGTCAGGTTAAAACAGACCATAGAACTCCAGTTAGTTCCCCACCCCCCGACAGTACATGTACATACAGTCTCTGTGGGAGGGAACTATTTTGGTGCTCCATGAATTTGCCTCTAAATAAGGATAATTTCCACTGAAGTAACTATCTCTACTCTATAAAAGCCATAGATAAATTTGCCAACTTATAACAATTATTGCACTATCAAGTACCGGTAATCAGATCGTGTAAATAACCCAACACATTGGAATTCAAGCTTTAGTTTATCCAAGTTATGGTATTTCTATACAGCCTATAAATGTTTTCACTATAACTTTGTCTTGTAAACTACTGCTGTGGGAATTTGTCTTTGATTAGATGTTAATAACCCAACACATTGGAATTCCAGCTTTAGTTTATCCAGGTTATGGTATTTCTATACAGCCTATAAATGTTTTCACTATAACTTTGTCTTGTAAACTACTGCTGTGGGAATAGTGTCTTTGATTAGATGGAAATGATTTTGTTGTATGATAACTCTTAAATTTGCCTCATGTTTATGATATCTTATTTATTGACCTCCATCTTGGGTATTCTCTCCTCGTCATCCTCAGTGTATTTACTTGTAGTTATGCAGCATTACATCAACAGCCTGGGTGTTGAACTGTTGATTATTTATCCGCTAAACTATTAAGAGGTTAGTTGATTTTTCAAATAAGTTGCTTCGCTTTCACATTCAGTACCAGTAGTCACCACTATTGACCTTTAACCTCTTTGTTACTACCCCTATAGGTGTGGCTGAGGAGAGCAAACACATATGAGCTGATGGAGAAGCTTGATGAAGCTCTGGCAGACTTCAAGCAGGTTCTAGAGTTGGATCCAAGCTGCTATGAAGCAAGAGCAGCCTGTATGGTAAGATATAGGTTCCAGAAGGGCATTATTTCTGTATTAAATGGTGTGAATTAACAGCCTCCTGGCCTGTAGCAGAGAATATATTGCCTGTTTGGAGCCAGGAAGAGCATTAAAGAGAAGGTTGAGCTCTGGGAAGAGGTGACAAATAATTCATGAGCGTTATCATTGTATGCAATCTGGAAGAACATCAGATCAAAAATGTTCCCTGAAAAGCATAGCTCTTCAAATGCCTTAATATTCTAAATATGTAACATCATACAAATCGGGACGGATTTCTATACCACATGTTCGTTTAGTCCCATATACATATTTCTGTGTACAGTGCTTGTAACTTTACCAAGACTGGGCCAAATTTCTTATCATTTTGATGATTTCAGAACCTTGCAGTACACACCAATACTTATATGCTAGATGATCAACCTTTTCTGATCGATTCCACAACGTTTCTTTCACAATGCAATCACATCACCAGAACTCAACTTTATCTTTAATACACTTTTGGCTCTGAACAAATTGTACACTGATTTGGCAACCAACTGAAAGGAAGCTTTAGTCTGGTTAAATTGCATTTCAATAGTATGATTAGGTGTCTGAACGCTTGATCTACATAGCTCATGATGCAGAAAAGATCTGTATTGGATAAAGTTTGGGGAAATGTAGACAACTGTCATAATTGTTTGATAAGCTCATCAAGAATGGAGATATTGCCATTTTGTGAATTTGAATGCCTCGAAATGCACTGTGCGCTGATAATGGCTGCCGGAGCTAAAGCTAGGGTAATAATTGTGTAATTTATTTTGAGCACACTTTGTCTTATATGTCTTATGATATGTTTTATGATAGGGATTGCGCTATATAAGTGGTACTGTACATATTATTATTATTACACATGAGGTGTTGTGGTCTAGTGGATAAGTCACCCGACTGTGGATCGCAAGGTCCGCGCTTTGAGTCTCGCCGCGGCACTAATGTCAGAGCTAAAGCTAAAGCTAAAGGTAATAATTGCATCATTTCGTTTAATAAGCGCACTGATATGTCTTAGGACAGGAATAGGCGCTATATATGTGGTACATATTGTTATTATCACGCATATCTTTTTATGGATCTTACACAGAGACTTCCTGATCAGATCAAAGTTAGGAATGAGAAGCTAAAAGAGGAGATGTTCGGCAAGTTGAAGGACCTTGGAAACCTGGTGTTACGTCCTTTTGGCTTGTCAACTGATAACTTTCAGATGCAGCAAGACCCAAACAGCGGATCATACTCGATGAACTTTCAACAGAACCCAACATCAGGGGGGAATGGGAACCGCTAGCAGAGCGATTAGAGTATGAGGCAAAGAGAAGCACAATAGACAAAACAAATCTGCTGAAGAAATTGGATCATCATAAGCACTTCCATTGCACTATAAATTGTACTCCCAATCGAATGCAAAAGCTCATGTCGATAGGATTGGTTATTATGTGCGAGTTATTCCCTTTGCAAAGTTCCTGATTGTCATGTCTACAAACATGGGATGCAGTTTAGAGACAACAACTTTCGAATTCCTGATTGCATTACAGGGTGGTTTCAAGAATAAACATTACATTTTTACAAGTGTACATCTTCGGTTGGATTTATGGCGTTACTTTTGATGAGATACAGTGATGAGATATTAAATGCACTTGAGGTACATGAATATGATAACATTTCACAATAATATGATTATCATCTCATTTATCTTGAGTACTGAAATATATGCTCAGCATGAGTTGAGAATTGTCATATATTGCCACTTAGATATTTCTTTCATATAATGAATTGTTTTATTTGTATTTGTTTACATGTTTTTTGTGCCATGACAATGATGAATTTACAAGAAATTGTGACCTAATTTCATTTCTGCTTAAATCAAGCTCCTCTTTCCTACACTTTGCTACCTAATTGCAGAATCCTCTTTTATTCCTTTTTTCTATTTTGATAGGGACTATTGTATCTCCTTAAAGTTTTTACACCCCCTTCCCCATCACCCTGTCAAAAACAGCAACAACAAGAACAAAACAAACCAAAAATGAAAGAAATAAAGAAAGAATGAAAGAAACAAGGGGAAAACAGAGAAAGACTGCACAAGAGCAATGAAAAGTATTGTGATGATTGGTTCTTTCATTTTTTCGACACCTTTTACAGTTGTTTTCATTTTTCCTGTGTGCTACATCAAAATGAAATATTAAAGAACAATGTAGATATCAGCTAAGTTGAATAAGGTGAAATATTTCAGCACCTTTAGATCCAGAAACACAAATCAATTATTAGTATGTGTGTTAGTGTAAGGGTGTTGTGATGTAGAGGATAATTCATTGTAAACCACAAGGTACTGGGTTCGAATCCCTGCCATAGCACCAACATCTTTTGGTCAGACATTAATGTACATATGCCACACTTGACCCAAGTGAGGTAAATGGGTATCTGGCAAGAATTATTTCCTTGAAATGCTAGAGCACCATAATGGCAGCCATACTAAAGCTGGGGTAATAGTTGTGGAGAACCAGGGTGTCAAGTTTGATAGAAATGAGCGCTATGTAAGAACCCACTATTATTGTTATCATTATTGCTTTATTACTCAACTTTTTTTAGCTCACATATTGTAATGAAAGAGAACATGACATTTTTTGAATTTGGATTGTGAGTTACATCACACTGAAATTTTTTTTGGAGATTGAAATGTTAATTGACAGAAAAAATCTTTTAATGAACTAAATCATAAAATGCCCAATTAATCATGTATGATCAGATACAGCAGCAAATGAGATCAATTCTGTATTTTCTCTCATTTATGAGATTTTAGATGGGAACATAAGTCTGCAAAACAACAGTGTTTGTATTTACTTTCATATTCTCCAGGTCTATGATCTTAGAGGGTTTTTATATTATTTTAAATGACAAAAATCATTTAGGCTCGAGTCTTCATTCTTTGTGCTGCATCTTGTCTAAGAGGTAATACATGTATCTTGTATGTTTTATATGGCACAGAAAAGTATGTGTTTACATATACTTTGGAAAATCCTGCAGATTAATTGAACATATAATGTTGCTGCATCATAAAACCGAAGTACATCCATACATTACAATATATTTGTATTTATGGCACTGTTATTATCTATGTGGATATTATTATTTATTACCACGTGTATTTTATGTATTTTATGTAAGTCCGATGGACTCTAAACGTTTGGAATGATGTTGTATAATTCCTTTCTCTCTGAGTATGTTTTCATATTTGTTATTTTAAGCATCAAATGTTCTAGAGACAATGGAAATTACAGATCAGATAAATGTGTGTTCTGTGAAGAGGTTCATTTTTATTAGTTGAGTTGATAAGAACCACTGTTTTTAATTTCAATATTAATTCTACTCATGTTATTGACCTTCCTGATAACAGAGAGAAGCCTTCATTGGGAGAATGGCAATCCGAAAATGTGAAATATTAAAATGCCTGTTGAAGATCGTTTGTATTGTTTTCACTGCCAGTCAGTTAATGAAGCATGTTATGTAAGACAAAAGTCTGTCTCAAGTGGGGTCCTTGACCCAAGGACTTCGTACTTTGCGCCACATGCTTGTAATTGCAATGTTACTCTCATTAGCGAATACTAATCAAAAATTTCAAATGCTGGCAGCTACGTTAATGTTGTTCTTATAGACCACGTGTGTGTTGTCCATTAATTGTTAAGAAAGTACTGTATTATCAATTTCATCATGAATTCCAAATGATAAAGACTATCTACTTCTCGGAAAGGCATGAAATCATGGTGATATTTCAATTTTTCTGAATAATTGTTTCATAGTTCCATCAATAATCAGTGTATGGGCTGTAAGGTGGTTCTTTTTATGTCCTTTATACTTCTGTTATTTGTGACCATTTTTATTTCTTTCTCTTTTTTAATACTTATTACATGAATAATATATCATACTTCATATTTCATAAGTATGCAAAGAACATATGAGATAAACAATAAACTGATACAAATATATGAAGTAATATAGTTCTGCTAGATTTCTATGTTAGTCTGTTGCTCTTGCTCAAATATGTTCATTTGTAATTACATGGCCTAGATCACATATGATGTGGAAGTGCTCTCCTGAGTATTTGAGTTGATTCAGGTGCAAAGCATTGAGTGGGTATCTGTTCCCTAGTGTGCCATACTGTACTGCAAAATTGTTAGCGAATCTCTCTGGCTCTGTTCATCCTTACTCTCCATCTTGCTTCCTTAAATCATTGCTCTTTACTTACTTCATCTCTCCTGCTTTTATATCCTTATCTGTCTTTTCTTTTTCTCTGTCTTTCTCTTCTCTTCTCTTCTCTTCTCTTCTCTCTCTTCTCTTTTCTCTCTCTTTCTCTCTCTCCTTTCTCTCTCTCACACTCTCTTTTATTTCTCTCTCTCTTCTCTCTCTTTATTTCTCTCTCTTTCTCTCTCATTACCTCTCTCTATTTCTATCCCTTTCTCTCTCTCTCTCTCTCTCTCTACTCCCTCTTTTTATATCATTCTCTCTTTCTCCCTCTCCATCCTTCCCTCTATCCATTTCTCACACTTTTTTCTCTCATGCTCTGTACCAGTAAGTAATTAAATACCGGAATGCATGTATTATTTGGAACACCTGATATTCTTTATTTCATTCTCTAATACAAACAAACTCTGAATTGATAATTGAAACGACTGCAATAAAATTCCACATTTCAGAAAAATACACTTTCACATGTGTTGACATTAAATTATGGAACATAATATTTACCAAAAACTTATTTATAAACCTCTATGAAAAATGTGATCAGAGAAATGAAATACATGTTACATTAAAGTTAAGGAAATACACCCGTACATGTATGAAAACTTGAACAATGAATGCAACAGTTTACACGAACGTATATAATCGATTCGAAATTAGTTTTCTAAATAACAATAAAATTAATAAGTATATGTTTGTATAGAACCAGAAACAGATGAAGAAATAGTTTATGATACAGTATTGCACAAAATATTGGCAAGGAATTTAACATGTGTATCAACTACATTCTAAGTACACATATCACTTTCCTGCAATTATTTCTGCTCTTTCTCGTGAATAAACATCTGAAAATACATTTGATATTTACATTTTGTTAAAAATATGCCTCTCAAATACGGCTCCTCCTTAGTGACAGAACTTAATCTGATACAAAGTGCTGTCGGAGAGGCATTCAGTCATACTGATTCTTACTTCTCTATCCGGAGATGAAAAAGACGTTGAGCTCGTGAGGTAAAATGTATATTTTTTTCTTTCTCCAAAGCTTATCCATATTAATGCAATTGAAAAATTGCCTACGCCCTACATTAGGCCTACAAAAAAAAATGTTGTATTGCCGGTCGGTCGGATTTTTTTTTTTTACTCCCTCTTTGGGCTGATATTTCTCAGTTTCGAATGCTTTAACACATTTTTTTTTCTAAAAATCGGTTTAAAAAAAAAATCCTTTACTAAAAATCCGACCGTACATTTCAAAATTTTGGGGTCGGTCGCAAAGAGCAATACAACATCTCTTTTTTAAAGGCCTTATTGGAGCAAGAAGTGTCGGATTATGACAAAATATGAATACCGGTAAATTGAGTCCGCGTTAAACCCTAAAATTCGAACATTGATAATGTGGATAATATCGGGGTATTACTTTCTCAAATAATATCAAATATTTTGTTGAAGAAATCCGCATTTAACTTTGTTTCGATTCCCGTCTCAAAAAGTACGAATTTGTTTAATTCGTTTAATTTCCATTATGAATAAAAGAGTCCGAAATATAGACGAGATCGTTAGACCAAATCATAGTTTTCAAGTTAATATGTAATTCATAAGTATGCACTTACTTTAAACTGTTATGTATTTTCTCAGGAAACATCATTGATGATTATCATTCAATGGTTCATAAATCAATCATAATATCGATATCTTTTTTCGTTTTTCTGTCATCCTCTCAATTCTTCTTACTTTTTCGTTTAGAGAAAATCTTTTGTTATTTACAAAATCAACATCGTGTAAATCATATCTCTTTTATACATCGTTTAAAATGTCTTTTTTTTAGCCCGGCTTCTGTATCGGAAATTTATATGCAGACAGAGATATTAAACTTGATAATGTCGTCAGCCATTAAGTAAGAAAAGGCGATACAAATCCAGAATGTTCCCAGTCATATTTTGTCAACAAGATATTGCCTCGGTGCTTATTTTGGAGGACCTGAGCAGAATATAAATCACTGGCATGTTCTCTAAACCATTTACACGCATGTTTTCTTGAGAAAGACATGAAGCTAAATTCCCTCGTCAATTTACAGCATCGTCATCCCGGATGTGTTTCATTATGTGACAGTTTCCATAGCAACTGATCCGGAATGATGTTGATTGCATCACATGGTTGATCCCCCGTTTCCGTTCCGGGTTTCCCGAAAATGAAAGCAATGGATTTGCAGAATCAACCCAATTTAGGCCTGGAAGTCGTGATTATTTAAGCTTGCGTACAAGACTCTCTTTATCAGTAGCCTGCATGCCACGGAGAATACCTACGTAATTATCCTTATGAGTATATTTCAGTCACACTGAACGCACCATCTATTACTCGGGCTCTTACTCCCTCTTCTCTCAACTATACTTTACATGTTCTCAAATACTTTCAAAAAATCAACTTCAGGCAAGTTTAATACCGCCTTGCATATTGAACTATATAATCCGAACATGATTTTTATAGGCAAAATATATTTTATAATTTTGTGTATCTTTAAGTTTATTTTTCAAGGTCTTTGCTATTGTATTCTTTCATGTTTTATTTAAAAAAATGTCTCTATCTCTATCTGTCTGTTTGTCTCTGTCTCTCTCTCTGTCTCTCTCTCTGTCTCTCTGTCTCTCTGTCTCTGTCTCTCTCTCTCTCTCTCTCTCTCTCTCTCTCTCTCTCAAGTTATCTAAATGCGTTTCTGTTTAATTTCCCTGTGTTAATTAACTGTTAGTTTATCCTGAGCTTCATATCCCAACGGTACCCCCATCTTCATATACAGTTTTCTTTAAAGCCCCCATCCTTATGTATTACCCCCCCCCCTAAATTTAAGAGACCACAATCATCTCCCATAAACATGCATAAAGTCCATCCTCTCTAAGTTACGCGTCCCTTGATATTTGTCAGCTAATATACTCTCTGCGCAGGTCTGTAATTATGACAGTTCGTTCTCCACTGATGGCATCTATCTGGAAGTCGCTGATACTGAGATGATGACAATGATTGCGTGGAGTAAGGTATCCTTGACTTCACATGTCTGTAAGAGAGCCAGATCCGATGCGTAATCCTTCAGTTCTTCGCCATTCATTCTTGCGCCAAGAGTACCATTTCTGATGAAGAGAAGAAAGATAACGAAAAACCATCCTTAACAAAACTGTATCATAATTATTTAATGCTATGGGATTTTGGATGGAGTTTAAAATTGAAAAAAGAAGGATACATGTAGATGACATTGATTTGTATTCAGCAATACAATGTCAGCATAGAATATACACACTATTCTTTCATTTTGGTATTCCGAAGAATAAACAGCCGCTTGAAATATTAGCTCAATTTCAATACGACAGTTCAAATTAATTCAAGCTAATTTGCCATTAACGGGGCATTAATCACCGTTCGAATCGCAATTACCCAAAACCAGACGACAACTTATTCAAGAGATATGCTAAAAGCGTGATTACTCTTTCTAAATGCAGCTGTACTCAAATTCGAGGCATTTAAGTGCTTATTTCGAGACCATTATAATCCATATGGTTTCCCTGATACATGTAAGTCACAGATAGAGAGTGATGAGGGGGTGAAATTGACATAGCATTCGTCCAAATAGCACTCCCGGGGAAATATTGATTGACTGTGCTACCGGTAAATTTGTTTTCATCAGGGACCGCCTCAGAATGATGGTTTAGAATGAAGTTAGGAAACGGGGACTGCTTGAAAAAAATCGCTTCTCTGCTGGGTCTGTCGTTGTGTTGAAAGTAGTTTATTATTTTGAGATTAATTGAAATATTTTTCGTTTCTAATCTTAGTACCAAGGTACCATTTCACCTTCTCAACCAAAAAGCAATAAGCTGTTAGATCAGAATAAAGAAGGGGAAGAAAATGGTACGAATAAGCGCATGGACAGGTTTTCATCGAGCACTGCTCTGCTTAATCATCACTCCGGTGTATCCCCTCCCTCCCCTTCCCCCTCCGTAAATCTGTTTGGAAACCCAGAAGCATGCTTGTTTACTTTTCGCTGCCCCCCCCTCCCCCTTTCTGACGATCCTGGATCTACCCTTTTTCTTCCACCAACCCTACCCCGCCCCTTCCCCCAAAGCTTCTGGTAACGCAACTGAATACTACGTGATATCAAACAAGCAGGTCATATAGACCCACATCATTCATATCAATAAATCAGGGGAGAACATTTGTAGTACATGGGCTATTCATTAATCATGTAAACAGTGGTAAACTGCACGAGTGACTGTCTCAAAACTGGTTGTTATAGAAGTTTTGAAAACATGGGCCTTTACAAAACGAAACAAAACGAATATGGCTAACCAAATACTATGGAACAATGAACATAATTCTCTTAAATGGAAACAAAATATGTTAAATCCCCAAATGACAGATACTATATTGTTTACTATGTTCACAACAAGTACGTATCAGTTGAATATAAATTAGGCTAATGTGTTCTAAATATATTTATGAAAAAGGGAAAAAGTGTTCGTTAACAAATATTTGTTAAGACCGATAAAATCAATTAATACCAAAAAACCGACAAAGGGCATTAAAGCATAAACTGAACTAAACAAATCACAACCGTGATAACAATTGATAGGCCTACTTTTCAATTCTTTTAAAATAATGTATCATTCGTTTTTATAATCTCCCATCTCATTTCATCTCATAATCATCTTCCAGGTGTTCACTCAAATTCATCTCCTGGCAACCCCATTCCTCCGTCTAGTCATAAATAAGCCAGTGGAATTCATTAAAATTTCTTCATGCTCATTCTCATTGTGCAAGCGTGAATATTGTTTATCCATAGTGACCCACCAGCATGCATGCAAGACCGCGTTAAGTTTGGCCTTCATTCGTCGTTGTGCTGTCTGTCGCATCCGATTATGATACCCCTTTCATCACAGCCACAATCAAAAATTTATCATTCTCTTTCAAGACGTTGCATATTTTTTACCTAGTATCCATACATACTGTGGTTAATCGAAATTATAAGTACGACTTTTTTAATTTCAGTTTTAAGGAGATCAAACAGTATGACATGTGACAGAATCAAAGTTGTGAAAATAGTGATTTATTATCACGATATCTCACAAATACACAGAGGCCATCATCTACAAAAGTATGGAAGCAAGACTTTATCCTAGTTACAATTTTAACGGCCATAAAAATGTTGTGATAGCTCCGACGTTATCTACCGAAGATGTAGAGTTAGAAATGTGAACGGAATGCGAACTCTCAATAATGTGGATTTCTCCACAATAACTATAGAATGATGAGTGGTCACCATGACAAATGATTATCATATTCGTGGTTTACTTGGTGATTATTGGTCTCAAAGTATATGAAAGTCGGGATATTTGGTGCAATAAAGACAGGCATATACCAGGAGCGGTTCTAGAGGATTTTTTTATTTTTTTATTTTTAAAATCTTTATTTTTTTTATTTTTTTTATTTTTTTTATTTTTTTTATTTTTTTTTTGGGGGGGGGGGAACTTGAGAGAAGGCCCACCCCCTTCGAATCATTACTGGATAAAACAATCATAAACATTTACGATGTCTTTCAGTGTGATCGTCTATCAGCAGCCCTTGCAACCCACTGATTACAATTGCTGTTGAACATCATCTGTCCGCACATTAAGTCTACCCACCCCTTTCTCTCCTTCATTACCCCTCTATTCGTTTGTTTACTTCCTTTGCATCTCCGACCATCCCCATCCTTCTCCCCCCCCCCCCTCTCTCTCTCTCTCCCACATACATACACACACAATACAGGTGTATATTTCTCTCGTTGCTCGATTCAGGATACCTCTGATTCTAAGACCAATTGGCCTGTATTTACCCCCCCCCCCCCCATTGCATTATAGCCACGATTCTCTCCAAAATAATTGGATCTATACCAAATGCAGATGGGGTTCATACTCTTAGGCACACCACCATTCTCTCCCAGACACCCCTCTAGTTAAAGGGATAGTCGATATCTAATACATTAAATAGTTATGATAATTCATTTGGCGATGTTTGAAACTATCGTGATTCCTCTGAAGACAAATTAATTATATCGGTCTACAAAGATTCTTGTTAATATCATGTTACAATCTTCATGTTCTTAAAAAAAATGGTGTGCTACTATTGTCTGTATAGGTTCTACATGCAGACATACACGCAACTGAAATGTATTGATGTTAAGAATTATACTGCGAGTGCACACCACTCATGAACTCATTTTATACTTAAGACAGACAACACATTTTATGTAATGAAGAAGAATAATCTGAGGAAAACCTCTAATGTTACAAGCTAGGTAAAAAAAAAAAAAGGGGGGGGGGCGAGTGTGCCTCCTTTTCATCATAGTTACTCGTACTTGCAGTAAATATTTAGAAAACGCTTTGGAGCTACGATGATAATTATGAAGATGTGATTATCGATATAATCTACGAATTAATTTTATTGGAGAAAGATTCCACTTGGGATGTGATTCTGTGATCTTGCTGAAAACGGCTGCCCTTGCAATTTGGTCAGATTTTATGTCATACAACCCCCCCCCCCCCCTAATCTTTTAGGAGAAAATCCTGTAAACATTATTATCTCCTTATGAACAATCCCCTTCCCAATTTTCATGAAAATAATACCGTACCTATAAACTTCATGAAGAAAACATGGACTACATGCCTTTAAAGTTTAACATGTTTAATGACGTGGACTCCATGCTGGCGTAATGTGCTAGCTAATACGTGTTCGTTTCATCACAGTCTCTCACGCGTTACACGGATGAGGGAAGATCCTATTATGGGGTGCATCTATTCTCATCATGATATCCCGTCTCCCTGCTTATTCATGCGATGGTGCTCCAGATGATGATGATGAGATAGAGACGTGAGCTCAAGGAATAATAGACCACTTACTTGTGGAGAATACCAACTGTTGATGATACTCAGGAACGTAGAAATTTGTAATGTAATGAAACCTTAAGGATTTATTCACTTCAGACCTACATGACATTGTATGGAAAAAAAGTTATACAAATTTTGTCAGGGCGTCGCTCAAATTGAATATGTACACATTTGAAAGTTTGAGGACCTATTTTTTCTATTCTTGTTGGCAAGTTAGAGAATATATTTAATGATATTTTATTGCTGTTTTATAATTAGGTAATATTCGGTTAACTTTCCGGCTAATATTTGGTTTACCACCATGCCGCCCCCCTCCTCCCATTCCCCTAACTCTTGAACCATCATTGAAAATGGTCTAGCGATGCCACAGTATTCATTCAATGTCATCGCTAGCTCATTTCGTCATTTAATTATATTATATCCACTTTTCCCATATTTTCTAGATACGAGTTCCGGCAGGTGATATCATTATTTTTCTTTAGGTTACAATGATGTGCTGTAAATATTGTGAGGTGTGTTACTAAGGCAAGTGAAGTGAGGGTGACGATGTTTGTATAGCATGGAAACTCTAAAGATGATGATGAATGTTCAGTGCGATTTAGCGCGAAGTATATACCCCCTTCCCTTCTCCCCCTTCTCTTTCGCCCTACTCCCCCCCCCTCTCTCTCTCTCTCTCTCTCTCTCTCTCTCTGTGTCTCTCTGTGTCTCTCTGTCTCTCTCACTTCCCCCACCCCCTCTTTCTCTCTCATCACCACTATCCCCGATGCATGCTGAAGCAGACCTTCATAATTTCCATGGTATAATACCATATGTTTATATATGTGATTATAGTGGTTGTCATGGCAACCGGCCTATTACTATGATCAATAAACGGACGTATGCTCGTAATTGGTAATAATGTTTTCCTAAAATATCCCCGAGCTTAACCGAGTATACTCTAGGGAAACACTCACTGCATAAAATGACAGAAGACAGCGATGCTTTGATCTGAAAGTATCGGCGAATGTGTGGTCAAAATAGGCGCTTGATTGCAACTAAAACCCTGACATGAGGAGAATTGTCATAGCTATAAAATGTGGATAATTTTGATTGATTATACCATTTCTTTAATGATATTCCCCTTTAAACCGTCCTGTCTACACCATTTATCTACCCTGTTTCACGAAACCTGTTATCAATTACAAGTGATAATAACTGTACTGTACTGTTACAAA